AACAAAGTGATGATTAAGGTAATTATTTTGATCACAAATTCAATCAAATGGAAGATACATAATCACCGGAACTATTAAACTAATTTCAAACTACAAAACCAATGAATCTACAAATTATTCAAGTGAGATAACCAATTATACGTACATCAGATTACAGCGATAAAATGTTGAATATTCAATTTCTCTCTTCTTTTTTTTTTTTTTTTTATAATTTTTGTTTTTAAACTGTGAAGACTAGATTGCTACAGTTTACTACTTACATCTCTAGAGTGGTCTTCCATGCTTCCCGAATAACATTCCACCTCTAGGCAAGACTAATTATAATATATAAGACATCACAACAATAAATATCAATATCCATTTAAACCCACTAAAAGATACACCAAATTATATCACAGAAGAAAGTGTAATCTTAGATATTATAGAAAACCTCCACAGTAATTAGACACATAACAAGATTCAATGATTACAATTACGCTAGAGATTATTTAAAATTTAAATGATTCCTTGAAAAATAATGATTTATCCGTTATATTAGTCAAAAATAAAGATTGTATTGCTTCAAATTACATCATATTTAAATGATATAAATTTATTTTAGAAAACACTTAAGCTACAAAATTAAGATTAAGTAAAGTTATATTAATAGAAAATACTTCAACATTTACCAAAATTATTGTTTAAATATAAAAATCTATAATTTTTCATTGAATAACTACTCATAGCCCATAAAAATAACTACTTATAATAACTATTTAAATATAACAGAAAGCCCATCACTTTAAGTACTGATTTACACATTAAAAATAACCCGTATATTATTATTACTAAAATCTAACATACAAACCATGTTTTTTTTTATTTGTTTAATTATTTTTTTAATTTGATTCCAAATGCTTTTTGATCCCTATATGATACTTTTGAACTATCAATCTTCTTTTTTAAAGGAACATTAGGTTTTCATAAAAAATTTCTTTTTATTAATGAGATTTTCTCCACTATTTTTATTTCAATGACAACTAAGATAGATTCAGGACATTTTAAGAAAATGGAAAACCATTTGGTTCACTTTTTGTCAATAATTAGTTGATAATGATTTCTTATAGTTACAGAAATACCAAATTCTACAGGAACAAACCAAGCGAAATACCTCAAAATGTCAAATAAGTAATAGCCAGAAACTCGTAAGAATATTTAAGATCTTGTTTTTTATGATAAATGGTTTGAATTACATTGATTTTTTTTTTAGCACTTCTGATTTTCAACACGTGTTCAAAACTCTAAAGATGCTTCACTTTTGTTATTGTTTTATCTGATTTTTTTTTTCATGTGTTCTAAATCAACTGTTATAGAAAAAAACTAAAGTATTAAATTAAAGAAAGTAAGCAAAAAATGTTGATAAAGTCACTGGTTTGTTGCTTGTCCACAAGAAACAGCAACAATTATTATCGCAAAGAATTATTATTCAAAATTACCTTTTCCAATCAAAAGTATTGTGGCTTAATATTAAACAGTTCCCAGAACAGTATTTAAAAAAATTATTACAGTAGTGAATTGTTAATAAAAGCATTTATCTAATTTATTTTGGGATTGTACAAGTTATATTTTAAAAAAATAATAATAAAATTTCATTCCTTATTCAAATATTAATGTTTAATAAATACTAGTCCATATTTCATCCCCTTCTTGCAAGCCTCAAAAAATAAAATAAAAAAAATTCATAATTCATAAATTCATAGCAGAGTACTACATATATTGTTGTTTCTAAATTTTAAAAACAGATATCTATAAAAAAAATAAGAAGTTCAACAATAAATTTAAGTTAAGAAATAATAAAAATAAGGCTCTTATATGTTTTTACTATTTAGACAATGAAACATAATATACTGGTTAAAATATACTCTAAGAAAAGCCCTTTTCATAGTATAAGTATTTTATCAGTCTTGCAAAATAAATCCAAGCTAACTGTACACGTGGATAAAAATTTAAATAAAACAATCAATGGGAATCTGAACTTACTTTTGCTTAGTTCTAAAATTAAATTAAGGATCATGCAATATTAATATTACGCAACTGAAAGCCTCAAAAGCAATAGAGCGTTAGAAACGATACAAGATTCAATTGCATATTTTATAGCATACAGCATAAACAGTAGGGACAAAGCAATGATTAAAATGTTCAAAGGAAAGAGGCAGTTCAGAAAAAACATAATTTGATTAACATAATAACAAACCCCCAAAAATATATAACAGAACATATTCTTTAGAAAATGTCATGAATATACAAAATAATACACAAAGGTTAAAAAAAGAACCAATGTAATACCAGGTGCACAGAACTAACTAATGACTACCTGTGAAAATACTTCTAGTATACTCTACAGCGAAAACTTACACAAAAATCTCAGTCAAATCTATTCACAGAGCAATATAAATACAAATCTACAGTCAGTTCTGATATAATCAATATCTTTTCAAAATATTTTTTAATTTAAAAAATTAATAAAATTGGAAATTCTCTTACAAAGGATCAATGATAACATAATATAAGATTCTAATGAATTGCAATTTAAAAATAATTTCTTTAGAGAGAGAAAAAAAAAAAATGAATGAAGAAAGGAGTTTCAAAATGTATTAAATAACATTTTCCATTCTTTTGAACATTTACCAGACAAATTCTATCAAAGAAAAAAAATATACATACTCTAGCCACATAAATTAATCTTTTTATCAATAAAGGAGAAAATCAAGAAACATAAATAACACTTAGTATCTGTTTAGATACGATTAACATTTGAACTTTGAAGAGAATTTTCTCAAAAAAATTAACTTTACTAAGCGTTTCATTTCGAATAAGTGGGCTCTTTAGAGCCCAGTATAAGTTGATCCATAATTGTCACTACCGCTATTTCAAATCTAGTTTTAAAAAATAATAAATAATCTGGAGATGTATAAATATCAATGAGAAAAAGGAGATTGAAATTCTTTAGTCACGTGAAGAAAATGAGTAAAAATAGAACAAACAGATTAAGGAACAAATAGTAAGGGTTGAGATAAAAGAAGGTGAATACCTAGATAGAGATGAATTGGAGGAACAGTGAATAAGATTAAGATCCTTGGAATAGTAAAGAAGAGAAAGGAAGGAAAAGGAAAGAATATCGCAAAAACAAAATTAATGAAGAAAGTTTGAGCTAAAAAGAAAGCCAAGAAATAATGATATGCAAATAGTCATCCTTAGCTTTATCACAAAAAACAAAATAAATAAAAGAGATTAATTATTATTTAATAAAATATTTATTTAAAATTACTTATTTTTAGTTGCACTTTAATCAATTCAAGAAAAAGTTTGATAAAAAGAAAAATTATACAAGATAAATATTTCATTTGTCAAGTAAATCTTTTAACCAGAATGGAAAGTACTATAATGAGATATTGGTTAGAAGGATGTTTTTTTCTCAAACTGAAAACACAAACAAAAAATTCTATAAATCATCATTATTTTGAACAATTTAATGAACAATAAATATAACAATATTACTGTTTTCAATCTTATAATGGACATGTACAGCTATGGTATTCAGGAAAGAAAATAATATTTCTGAATCCTCAATATAAATTTTATGAAAACCTAGAATCACTTTAAAAAAGAAACATTTTTTTTTTTAAGTCAACGTTTAGTTCAGTATCAGCCTAATTAAATTTTGCCACAACTACATTAGAAAAAATATCATATATAATGCATTGATTTTATCGAGTAAAGAGATATTTAGAAACTCTCAGAAATCTACTTTTTTCTTTTTTTATTGATGATAAATTAACCGACCGGAGAATAATTCATGGAAGCATAGACAAACTATAATTATATAGTTTTATTAAATATCCAGTGGCATATTGTGATTAAGACTAATTATTAGACAACAAAGTAACAAAAAAATGTGTCATTCTTCCCCTCAAGCTATTGGAAAAAATGATAATATTAACATATTTCTAGTTGTTTTTTTTTTTTTTGTCCACAAACTTAAATAATAAATTAATTAATAAAAAATTTTCACCAAAACCATCCATTATAAATGATTTTTTTGACACAGTTAAATAAGGCTAATAATCATTAGAAGGATAACTTTAACAAATAAACATTCTTTAATCATCAAAACAAAACAAAAAGATAAAAAAAAAAAAAGAAAAAAAGATATGATACAGATTTATAACTTCAAAAAACTCAAATTACTTTCCCACCACATTACATTCCATCATCAAAGGAATAAATATGATCAAGTAGATATTCTACACTAAGACATGTTCGAAATCCATTCTCCCGATTTACAAACGTAACATGATAGGAATATTTTCTCGATAATTAACAATACTTGAACAATTTAAACAACTTAAAAATTCTATAAAAACAAAAATAAAAAGGCACGTAAACCTATGCCACTGGTTATATACAAGTCATTACATATCACAAAAACAGTTTCACACTAATAAGTACATTTCTCTATATAATATTCACAATATTTATATATATATATATCTTTTTTTTTGTATATACAAAGGCAGAAACGGTGCATATTGAAATTTTTAAAACTTTCAATACACTAACGACAACAGTAGTGCAAATTGATCAGATCGACTAAATTTAAAAGATGAGATTTAATTGAAGTTTAAGTAAGTTTCTATTGGATACAAGTTCACGAGGAAGAAAAACTTCCTGCCAGAGTATAAACAAATATATCAACACACACAGCATAAATAGACCTCTCATAATAAATAACAATTTTATACAATTCCAAATGGACACTTAATAACATTAATTATAAAATTTTGTCATGATTAATTTTACTAATAATACTTAAAACAGTGGAAATGTCTTTCAAATAAAACATTTAAAATGCAAATGTTTTGGATATTCTATATACTTTATTATTATTATTGTTTAATTTTTTTTTTAAATATAAATTAAAATTTCAACTTTGAAAATATTAAGTAAATTTTAAGACATCAATTAAACATTAACGTTATTCAAAAAATTTTTGAAAATGATGATTTTTTTTATCCTGTTTAAAATTCATTAATTTTGTATAAATAATATCTCTGAAAGCAAACCAGGAGCAGTCAGTATGTAATCTACATTACACATGTCAAAAACTCAATATTTCAAAATATAAAAAATGTAAACAAAAACATATTACATAAATAAATGCTTATTTTAAGATAACGCTTCACATTTTTATACCAAGAAAGTTAGTAAACTATTTGATCGTATAATTAACCTATCTTTAAACCTTGATGCATTGTTAATATATCCCTCTTTTTTTTAAATTATTTTTTAACTTTTTTTAAATTAGGCCCTTGATATATATCTAAGAGTAAAACATTTATATCTGAATCAAGTACTAATTAATGGAATTAAGAGAAGTAACAAGAAACCGATGATTACCTGATGATAATATCAAAGAACAAAAATATAACCACACAGACCAGAAAGGGGGGAATTTTTTTTTTTTTTATGAACACTACATGTAAACAAACCTAATATTAGGACTTTGAATTATTCTTGAAGCATCATCAGAGTATTCGCTTACCTGAAAAAGAAGTAGCATGCATTAAATTCATATAAATTTAAAACGCAACAGTATAATATAAAAAAATGTATATTACATAACTTTAATAATTTTCCAAGTAATGAAGCAATATTTTGACAACTTTCAACAAGAAATTTTAAAAAAAAATTTGTAAATGTAGTTTAAGGTGAAGAGATATCAATCAATTAAAGTAAATTAACCAAATCTAGCTTTGCTTGAATTAGTTGTGTGAGCAAGACTGGTTCTTTCATTTCTAACTACATATCAACCATTATTACCTTTACTTAAATAAATTCATATAGATTCTTCTTCTCCTTTTGCCACCTCTTTAGTGCAACCAGCGTGGAGGAACAGCCTTGGCCCATCTCGTCCACTGATCGCTGTCATTGACCCTCCTTCTCATATCCACCATGGTGCTACCTCAGGCTTGCCCGAGTCTCTCCATGTAGTCACCATACAGCCTGGGCCTGCCTCTAGGTTGCCTTCCTTCTGGATTTGCTTCTAGGAACTATTTTGCCTTTCGGTTATCACCCATCCGTTACACATGGTCAAACCACTTTAGTTGGCGCTTCTCTATGACTTGTTTTACAGATTTTATATTCAGTTCCTCTCGTTTCCAGTGGTTTCTTCGTGTTTTCTCAAGAACTCTCCTTAGGTATTTCAATTCTATAGCTAATCTAGCTCTTGAATTAATTATATGTGCCTAGATGGTCCAGTAGCTACCGTGCAATACTGTTATAATGAAGGTTCCTGGTTCAAATTAGTGAACATTAGGCAAAAACTTACGGGGGACGCAGCTAGCTCATGTTGCGCAGGTTCCCCACCAATAATCTGGGAGGTGTGAATATGGATGATGATCAGATAAATATTTTATTTAATTATTAATACTTTTTTTTAACAAGGGAAAGCACTGCTATAATTCCTAAAAATGTTTTTGATAAGTCACCTAAACTGAACTCTTTTTTTTTTTTTTTTTTTTCCTAAATGACCTTTCACAAGATAATAATAAAAGTATTAATGTAATAGAATAAGACAAGAATAATTTAAAACATACCACAGCTAAACTGAGCTGACTTGCATGGTTCTGACTTGTTCTATAATTTCATCTGTTGCCCCAACAGTGTCAGTAATAAGTTCTTCTCCAGGCTGCTGTTGTTGGTCTTCACCTCCATTCACAAGGCGTGACTTTGTCGTCTTAAGTCTCTCACGAGTTTTCTTACCAAAAGAAACTGCCATCTTTGGTAAAGATCTACGTGGTGGTGCTTCACCGCCAACATCTTTTCCAGTAACAGTTCCTTCTTTACCAACCCCATTACCAGTTTCTTCTTTTTCTTCGGAAATGGAACCAAGAGCATTTTCACCATCAGGTCCTCTACTGATTTGGATAGGAATATCATCTAGAAAAAAGAGTATTAAGAATTATTAAAAATAAAAATTTTATTTTAAGAATGAATCAGTTATCATTAAAATACAAATATTATAAAATGTCATCATGAATTTAAATAATATAATATAATGTATGGTGATATGACAATATTTAAAGTAAGGAATAAATTTAGAGTAATATAATTACTAATAAATAGATGAAAAAAAGGGTATCACAAAAACAGGAAAAAAAAATGAAATGAAAAGAGGAAAATAGGAAGCAAGAGGTAAATATTATATATAATCTTATATAAAATAATAATAATAAGAAATATAGTAGTATTAACAGTTTGAAATCATGGAAAAGATATAAGCTTACAAAACATATCACTGGAGAGTCATTACTTTAATTTTACAACTGTTTAAAATATAAGAAAAATTTGTATGATTGTTCTATTATGATGTATAACAAATGTTATGAAAGAAAGGTTTACCTGCAATTTTGTGAAACATACATCACTGATAAGCAGGATTTGAAATGTTGAAAGAGGAATACATTTAATATTGTGATAACTCACGAATAATTCGAGGTCTTAAGGAGAGGATTGATTGAAATATAAAGGGGCCAAGGAAATAATATTAATGTTCCATAGAGCCAAATGATGATGAAAATCCATGAAGAATTTAAGGAATAAAGTCAGTTAAGCATGGAAAAATCTGTAATAATACCCTAAGGATGTCCAAAGGTGACAGTAAAGTAGCTATCAACTACCTTCCTATAACAGTTCTCAAATTTTAGAAACATCTTTGTCAAAATAAAATTATCGAAAAGACCATAACAATCAAAATAATATATAAATTAACATTTAGAGCCTGTAAACAATAATATTACAATTTTTCAGTGATTATTGTTCTTTCAAATCTATATAATAAAAAAAATATGAGCTCTTCTCTTATCTTGAGCTTTCCAACCCTTAAGAATACTTTATTTTAAATTCTTCATCAATTTTTTTCTTCTGAACCTCTTCCATATCTATCAACTATTACAACCGAATTAAATTTTTGTCATCCTTTCGAAACTTTTACTTTTCTAACTAATGAAGAAATCCTAAACTCCCATTACATTACATTAAGTTTATGTTCAAACTATTTCAATTGACCAGATATCGAATATACACAAAAACATTTATCTACAAACTTAATTTCAGAATGTACATAATTTATTCTTGATGCTACGCTAGACAGAAACCATTGTCCTAATGATGACTCAAATGCTTGGATCAAAATGTCGGCATCCATGATAAACAAATTTAGAGTAAAAATCTTGAGACCATTTATCATCCTTCATAATTTTTAAAACAGTCGACAAAAAAACATCTCTAAATCATTTATCATGATGATTCATCAGTTATCAAGAAAAAAGAAAAGAAAAGCGAGGAAAAGTATCAGAAACCTATTAAAAAATCTGAGCTGAGTATGGAGTTACCAATTATAAAAAATGTAATAGTCTTCAGCAAAAGTACCACTCTACGATTTCTTTAAAAATGGCAAAGTACGGAAATAATTGCAGAAAATTGGACCATTCTGTAACAGTTCAAAGGATTTTTTGGAGTTGGGATTAAAAAAATAAATGAATTTAATAGTTTCTAAGCATATAAAATTTAACTATTAACAAACTAAAAATTAAGTAATTAGTACTGGTTAAAGCAACATCATTAAATAAAATAAGTGCCGCATTCGCGCTCAAGGACAACAAAAACAGACACCCATATTTTTAAAAATTGTATTTGTTACAGAAATTAAGTCCAACAAGGTTAAATATAAAAACAGGCAATATTGGAAGGTTTTACTTGTTTTCATTAAGGAGGTGCACTAATACTACTTAAATCAACAGTACTTTGCCATTTACAGTTTTAATTATTTTTATAAAGAGGAAAAGTTGTTTTTCCCTTACAGAATATTTCTAAGATTTGTCCTGGACCCATTACAAGGAAAATGTCTAGTTCAAATGTCAGGATGTGAATGAACAAAAATTAACTGTATGTATGGCATGAGTTAAGAGTCTGATTATTCATAAATAAAGTGGCATTAAATAGACATCTTTCTTTTAATAATTATCTTCAATGGACACTCAATCAACCAATGGGGCTTTCGCCTTCGCAGAAAATACTATCTTCATTAGGCAAAATCAAATCTTCAGGTAAGACATCTAGAAGACATGGGGAGAGCTCCATGTGCGATTCAAAAGTCAGAGCCTATGAGTGTCCATTTTTATTTATCCTGAAGTGCTTCACTATAGATAAGATACAAAACGTAAGGACATAGATAAGATACAAAACATAAGGACATAGATATACATCATATGTTCTGTAGTTCCTGTCACTCCAGGCTTTTAACAGTCAGTAACTATTATTCTCCAATTTAACTAAAAACCTCAATGTCTACTTGGAAGTAGCAGTCGGAAAGGCAAGATATACTTCTCAATCAAGACGGAAACGTAAACATCACAACCTCAAGATAAACATGCTCTCTTAGCCTACTATTTAACAAAGTTTTCGTCCAACAAGACTCAGACATATCTATTAGATCAGTCAAATTAATATTATACTCTTAAAAATAAACATTAATGTACATACATACAGCTCAAAGGTAACCTTCAAAATGAAATTCCTTGCAAGTCAAAATGTAAATCTTCTTCGCGCTTTAATGTCATCTATAAAGCAGGATAAGGATGAAGGAATGATAATGTGAATATTAAAGGATAGTAATGTAAAAAATAATATTTCAGGTATTCCTCAGCTTATCAGTAACGTTAGGTATAAGATAAGAACGTTTATCTGTACCATAGGTGGGGAACTGCGACATCTGAGGCCCCTCTGTGATATAGTTGTGGTCTCGGAGAACACGGGCAGCCTCCACAAGTCATATTTATATTTATTAATCTAGTGCTAAAATTAATCAATATTTAATTATTTATATAACAGCTATTTGGAAATTAATAGAATTAAGTTGAATGTACGTATGTGGGTAAGTGTATTTAGTGATAAATAAAAATAGCTACAGTAAAATATAAATAATTGTTGTAGCCTCCGTTAGCGCTGCCTAACCTTGCTGCAGCCCCTAACGATAAAAAGGTCCCCCACCTATGATCTATATAATTCAATGTTTCTGTCACAAATAAATACTAAAAAAAAAAAATAATAATGATTCAAATAATGAAGCATGTAGCATATTCATTAGCTCTTTCACAATTATTTTGTTCTTCTCACACTTTTCGAGCCCTAGTTCTTTACCAGCTTTCATTAAAGTTTTCGTATTTAGTTTTATAGTTTTCTTGTCTTCGCTTAACAGGATCAGATCATCAGCCTAGCCCAGCACGGGTGTTGCCCCACCGAGATCCAACCCTTTCTCGCTACGCATTACCTCCCTAATGGCATGTTATAATGCCAAATTGAACAGTACAGGCGAAAGGGAATCACCCTGTTTTAAACCCGAACGAACCTCAAACTTTTCCGATAAATTATTACCAAATTCTAACTTTATTGAATGTTTCCGTCAAGCACATCCTGACTAGATTTACTAATTTTTTTGGAATCCCCTGCTCAATTAGAATATTATACAGTTTACAGTGGTCAATAGCACCGTAAGCCTTTTTAAAATCGATACACAGCTGGTGAACAACACCGTTGTACTCCAATTTTTCCTCCAATATTTGATCATTCTGTCTAAATCCGCATTGGTAGTCCGATAATTTTCTCAGCGGATTCTGTGATTCGACTTATTAAGGTTAAAGTGGATATTTTATAACATATCAGAAGGAGTGATATTCCTCGATAGTTATTAAAATCCGTCCTCGGACCCTTTTTGTGAATTGGTAATAATTTCCAACTTCCTGTTTACTCCCTTCTTGTATTAACGGTTCCGCACTCTGGTACTCAGAAGAAGGACACAGATCATAATTTCCCGAATTTAAAATACTGTCAAAGGGGCTCTCTCTTAAACTTATTTAATATGTCTACTGGATCGGTCAGAATATTGTTAGTTTCATCCCCGATTCTAGACGTGACGAGCCCTAAAAATTTATGTGATCGGTTTATTCCTTTGTACATGTCTCTTAAGTTATTTTCAATTATATTAGTTTCTATTTCAATTATTTTTTTTATTTTTAAGATACCCCCTTTTTATATTTTTGAACAATTTTGTAGTTTCATTCTTTAAGGTTCGGAAGTATTCCAGATTGTCTTCGCTAGGATTATTTAGAGATTTTAATTTAGTGGCTTTTTTTTTCCGCACATGTTTAAGCAATCTTGATCAAACCACGGTTTGTTATTCTTATTTTCCTTTTTTCCTAGACACGAGTTACCGACCGCTTTAGTATTATCCCTGATCTCTACCCATAACTTCTCAATATTCTCCCAGTCCTCATCAGAAGGTTCTAAAGCTTCAATCCTACTCTTAACATCTAGCTCGAATTGAGTTCTAATTGATGGATTTTTTAATTTTTCCAAATTAAAAATTCTTAAAATCGAAACAGTTTTTCTTTTCTCTTTTTTATATTAGAAGTTTCGAGATTACTAATTCATGATCTGACCCACATTCTGCTCCGCGATAAGACCGTACATTAATTATACTGCTTTGCCAGCTATGTTGAATCAAGACATGATCGATTTGATTTTGTGTTTGCGAATCCGGTGATGTCCAGGTATATTTATGAATATCCTTATATTTAAACGTAGTACTTTTAATTATCAGGTTTTTCGAGATGGCAAAGTTTATCAGACGGATTCCATTATCATTACTATATTCGTGCAAACTTCCAATCGTCGGAACATAAACTTCTTCCTTCCCCACCTTTGTGTTTGCGTCACCTACAATTATTTCCATGGAGTTTCGCGGTAGTTTATCATAAACCCATTCGAGTTTATCATAAAATTCGCATTTGACTTCCTCATCACTGTCTTCAGTCGGAGAATGTATGTTTATGAACGCGATTTTAAACCAACAGCCTTGAAATATCACTACCGAAATTCTATCACTAAAGAATTGTACGTCACTCAAAGCGGATAGCAATCTATTCCTAATTAGAACCCCAGTACCTAAACAATGATTTCCACTATCGCCGTACCAAACAGTGTACTTTCCTTCCCTCATCGAGCCCTCCCCTGGCCAGCGAACCTCTTGCAGAGCCATGATATCCAAATTGTACCCATTAACCTCATTCGCGACAGATAATCCTCCTGCTGAATTTAAACTTCTTATGTTTCACGTACCAATACTCAAATCCCTATTTTTCAACTTGTGCCATGAATCCCCTAAAGCAGTCCCCACCCGAAGAGCCGAACGGGGGACTAGTCCACCTTCGGATAATGAGTGTTTTATCTTAGGGAGATCCATGACTGTGGTGTATGGTGAACTAAAGATATGTGAGTAGGGCATTCAATCCTACATCACACCCTCCAGCAGGTCTGGTGGGTCCCTCTCATTGTTGATTAGCCAGCCCATCGGAATGAGCCAGGGGGAACTTCCATGGAATTTCCATTGACCATCACCACATTCGCCACCCACTGGACGCTCCCAATAAACGGTAATGAGCCCGCGCGAGGAGTATGTAGAAATAGACAAATTCATTTTTACTTTATAGACAGATCCTTTGACAATACCCATGACAATATCCCTTCCAAATACAGTTTGAAAACTGACAAGTGGATCTGGTATAGTTCAAAAATTTCAAACGAGTAAATAAGGAAAAGAAAATTTACTGTTTTATTAATTGTTCGATTTGTAATAATTTAGGGGTACATTTTTATCCCTTATTTGTCTGTATGTGATAGAATCTTCTAAAATAAAAAAATATGGATACAAATACACACCACTGAGATTATTGTTTCATTTGAAAGCTGAATAGATTATTAAAAACATTAATAAATAGTTTTAAGTTTAAAAATGAATAATTTTCCCATACTGTAATTATAAATTGGACCAAATTGAAATGGGACCATCTAGATAGCTTAACCAATTAATGAAAATTTCATCAAAATCAGATTAACAGTAAATGTTATACCTGCCACATATATTAGACTATAGAAAGGAAACCAAACTTGTTCCTCAGTTTCTAAACTGTAATACATAAATAGAAATTTTCGGTTCTAAGGACAGAAATTGTTTTAAGCTCTCACATGAATATAAAGCTTCCCTAACTTCGGTAATAAGGAAGCAAAAAATAAAAAAAACTGAGGAATACCTTTTTATTATCTAAGCATAGTTATGCTTTAAATAATGTAAAATTAATTAACTATATTTATCTTTTAGAGTAATGAGTTATTCCAAGGAAAGGGATAGGATTGGCTATGAAATTTACAATGTAAATAAGCATGAATAAAGTTTACAACAAATCAATAGAGGAATCGTCATCGATTTATACAATTATTCAACAACGTGAAAAATTGAATTCAATGAAAAATAACTAATAATAACCATATCCTTAGTAAATATGTTTTTATCAAATAGACTTGCATTATCTATGAAATGAAAAAAAAAAATTCACTAATTTTTCCTCATTAAAAAATATATAATAAAACATATATTTATCATAAGATCAACTTTTTTTATAAATATAATACTTTAAAAAAAGAAAATAAACAGAACAAAATTTACTTTACCTAGTTCACATTAAAAGGGTTTAAATTGATTAAAATTATAAATAAAAATACACACTTTTAAATATTGGATTATAAGAAACAATTATAGATATAAAAAGTCTAACTATACCTGGTAGTTTTTTAGTTCTAAAAGAAGCGTTGGTAATGATTGATTTGGACACAACTGTAGAAGTTGTTTGAGGTGAAATAGCCAAACTTATACCCATAGGATTGTCAGTCAATTGTCCTGAAAAAAACAAAAAAAATATAAAATATAATGAATGAAAAATAATTTTATTTTGGGGACTAAATTCCCCTCAGAATATTAAGACAGTTCAAAAAATATTTACATCTGTCTGGCAAGCAGAAATAATACAAATATAAAAAAAATAAAAAGCTCTTATTAATTAACAGTAAGCAATTGTAATTACATAATCTAAAAATTCTCACATGGTTACAGAATTTGAATGTGAAGTAGGTGGTGGAATAAGAGTTGTTTAAAGGAATTCGTGGATGTAGTTTGATATATGGAGGTATGTAAGGAGTTCTAAAAGGAAGTAACACAAATCACAAAGGATTTGCTAAAGGAAGTGGTTTTATGGGAGGTGATATATTGATCTATATTTTGAGATCTGGTATTAAGAGAGTGGATAGGGGAACGGAGTAAGGAGTTCTAGGATATAGGGAGGATTTTTAATGTATGCTAAAATTAAATTTAATGGAAAATAATGAGAAATATGAATCATTTAGAATCAAAACCCGTTGGGTCCATTATTCTATAATTTATGGGAGGAAAAATGATATGAAATGTTTTAAGTTTAAATTTCTGAGAGTTTTGAATTTTTTTGTTCAATGCAATGCTTACATGAGCCGAAAAGTGATATTTTGTACTGAACATAACAGATTTTGTTTTTATTTGTTTGAATATTGGCCTGAAAACTAATTATTCTTGTGAGGATAATACTGATCTCTGATGATTTTAATTTCAATCATATAATCTTAATAATATAATTATAATCATTGCAGTTACAACATTGTAATCATAATCACATAACTGTATATGATTTACCATCTGTTTAGAGGTAGGCTAAAAGGAAAATAGTTTAAAATATTTTCTGATTTTTTATTCCCTTTTCCTCTTATATCCTGCTATTTTATTATATCTATTTGCGTGTTTTAAATAATTTTCTGTCTGTTGAGTGGTATACTAAAAGGAAAATTAATATGAAAATTGCGGACTTTTCATTTTCATTTAAGATGCTATAAAATGACAAACGATGGTATTGCAGCGTGGCAATATAACACAGGATCTTAAAAAAATTAAGAAATTAGCATTCAAGCGTAAGAAAAATTAGCAGGATTCATTACCTGAATAAGCATGTGATGTTGAATTCTTGATGGCACTGGTAACTAAAAGAACTTCGGTATAACCCTGGTAACTAGCTCGGTTGTGAACGTCGTCTACAGCCTGAAGTGCGAGACCACTATCTCCATTAAAGCTTAACAAAGCAGAAACATTTTTTTAAAGAAAATTGATAGTAAAATAAGAAAAATATTGATAAAAACAAATTTTCAAATTTTGGTGGATTGTCTCAAACATTACACTTATTATAAGGAATGAAGAAAATAATAAGAATTGGGAAAACAATTAAAAGAATCACAAACAGGGGCATTAAAACACTTTAATGTAACTGTTTAAAAGATGTTTAATGTTACAAAGTTAAAATTCTTAGCATTATGGCATTCTAGAAAAATTATAAGCAATGGATACTTATATTATATCATAACACACGAATTCCAAGGGTTTAAGTATTCTTGTATTTTTTTTAAACTTTAATTTTGATTTTAAATGACTAGTGACAGCTTAAAGATTCTTCATTCTACTGAGTCTGAGAATGTGCAATTTAGGATAAAACTCCTGGTTTTCAATACCTACTGTAGTTATTGAAGAATATTAAGCGTTACTGGCAATGAGAGGACCAACAAATTAGCCAGAAGAGGTTCCCAAACAACTCCCATAAGACCCGAGCCAATCTGTAGTATTAAAATGAGTCTAATCAAAAGAACCATTGGGGAGACTTATTTTCTAAAAAACAGACTCATTCCAGGCTGTTTCTGGATGGAGTCTGTGCAAAAATAAATAATCTGCTAATTAACATGAGGAACAGTTCTCTTAAGAAAATTACAGTGATCTAGGAATGTCACGTAAACTAAACTATCATATGTTAAAACTCGGGCTAACTGAATTACGTCTCGGTAAGTTCTGTGGCCTAAAGGATGAAACGGCTCATCATATCATATGGTACAACAGGTTCGCTGATTTAAGATTCCATCTATTCGGCAATGATAGATTGTTAGACCCCAAGACTAACAATCTTGTCAATCTGACAGGCCTACTTCAGTTTGCAGAGGTTCCCAGAATAATGCTCTGATTAAGAGCAACACTAATGGGGACACACAATACCTAGTCCTGTCATAAATATTGTTACAAGGAAATATATAGATTTCAACAGAAAAATTAATTTTTTCAAAAACTTTATTAGAAAATAAAATGTATATCTATAGAGAGTAAAACAAAAAAGAAATTACTCAAAATGTCCCCCTTTTGCCTCAACACAGGCGTTTAATCTTCATGGCCAGTCATCAATAGCAGGACGCAGCACTTCTTGAGGAAAGCGCCCAACTGCTTGGACCAGGGATTGTTTGAGCCTTTCCAAGTTAAGGTGTGCTCTGTGGTATGTCATCCTCTTCAGTTCTGGCCAAAGCCTTTGGCTCTAGTGGGTTGAGATCAGAGCTTCCTGAGGGCCAATCTGAGGCAGAGATGAACTCTGGAATGTTCTTTTGCAGCTACTGCTGAGTTGACCTTGCCTTGTGAGCTAGAGCGAAATCCTGCTGGAAAACCAAATGACGTCCAGCAAACAGAGTATCATTTAGAGGCTTGACAACAGGTTCCAAAATATTGTCCTGGTAGTTTTTAGCGGCTGTTTTAACTCCTTTTTTACAAAAATAGAGCTTTGCAATACCATCAAAGCAGTTAGCATCTATCCACTCTTAATTTTTTTGGGGGGAAATGGTTAGCGTTTTTCCTGTCATTCTTCGAAATGCATCCATCGTAAGAGGTCTCTTTTTATTATGCGAGACATTGATCTGATAGAGATTACCATTTCCCGAGACATGATTTTTTGTTTTCGGGTGGGATTTCTTCTGATTCGAGCAGCCACTGCTTACACTGCATTTGCCATTCTCACAGTGCTCATATACAGATACGAGTCTTATTATGATATTTTTAGTGCAGTACACGAATATACATTTTCCAATATTGTGTAAGGCGATCAGAGCTATTCGGTTTTCTTTATCACCCCACTCCATGCTCACTGAGGGAAAGAAAAATACAAATTGATTGGGATTATTATTCTGATATATAAAAAAAATGAACTGATGAGGCAAGAATTACCTAAATAATACCCAAGGATTAAAGCGAAGTTCAACTTTTGTAAGAGTACTTATGGCACAACTAGGTAGGTCTCCATGGCTGTAGTGCATCTTGCCATGAGGAAAAAAAAATTGTTGGGAATGGTCTAGAGCTGGCGATCCTTCAACACTCCCAAATTCTATCATCTCCTACTATTTATTTAGTTCTGTAGATCGAAAAAATCGCTGAAGATTAGAAACCCAATAGGTGTCGCCCAGGAAGGACACATTCCTGCACAATATCAATTTAGTTCTTTCATTCTGAAGGCTGCCAAATTTAATTCTTTAGGTTTTTTAAAATTGGGTAAGAGGTGGCAAAAACTGGAACTTCAGAGAGCTGAAAATTGGTGCCTACAGACATTTTTCTGTTTTATTATAAAAAAAATTAATAAGAGACACTGTTTCACATATATATAGTTTGAAATTAAATCTTTACTGACTTAACAGAACCAAAATTGTTGAACCAAGGGAGTTTCGTTAAGGGTGCTGAAAACTGAGGATTTTATCCTATATATTTTAACAGAACATAAGGAGCGGGATAGCTCACTGGTAGGGCAGGGCACTAAGCTTCCAATGCTGAAGGTCCCAGGTTCGAATCCCGGCTCATGGCAGAAAAATTATTTATTCTGTTTCATTGGCCATGAGGGAGACCCTTCTGGGGCACACCCAGCCTCTACAAAGTGGGTACCCTTAATTAATAATTGATTAAGAGGGAAAATCTGGTGGTTGAGAGTGATCTTAGCCCAATCCCCTCCCTGCACAGCCTTCGGCCTAGAAACAGTACTTTCCCTAAATAGTACTTAACCCAAGACCCTTCATGTGTTGCAGTAGTACAGGAGGGTTTTAACAGAACACAGTGATAATGTAATAAAAGTGTATTTTGAGAAAAAACATTAATTGAAAAAACAGAACCAATGTTTGATATTTATTCACTACTTTAATGTACTAATTTATTCACTATTTTAATTTTAATATTATTTATATTCAGCAATACTTACATGGAATAATACAAGCTATGAAGAATTTCTAAAAGAAATTTAGGGCTAACAGGAATTCTCGGAAGAACTCTTGGTACATCATTGCTGTAAGACATACGTTTTCCAGGTTTGTTAAATCCCTGCGTTACAAGCCTGAAAACAATAAACGATAAAGTTACACAAACAATTATCCAAAATATTTAATTTAAATGCATAGCATTTCATATAATAAAAATAATATATTTTAAAATCATTTATTGAGAACCTTTCCAAAAATATTGGTTCGTAACATTATACAAAAATGGTTAATAAGGTACTATCTTAAATTGTATGCCATGTTATGCAGGAAAGCTGGTAAACGAAGGGAAATTTAAGTTGTCCGAGACATCATTTAAGATTCAACATGAAATATTAGTTTAAATTATACCTGATCTTGGATTTATGTTTTCATACAAAATTGATACTTCATCTTCGTTTCTAGGCTTTAATATACATCTATAAAATTTAGTTCATAAGATTGATAATGCGCAAATATAGTAGGTATGTTTCGAGTTTATTATTTAATATATTATTTCATTATGTCAGCTTATTATCTGTTAGTCCGATAGCAGATATAATATCTGGGGATGTGGGGCATGTAAATTTTCTCATTATTCACATAATCATGAAAATTAATAAGTCAACGATAGAACAAAACTTTGAATGAATATTAATAACAACAAAGAGTACAGACTTTTATTTAAATATTAAGAAGAAAAAAATGTATATATTCTGTCAAACAAAAATTAATAAATTATGTAATTAACATGGTATGAGAATAACTTCTATAAATTTTATTATCGTTGCCCGTATAATGTAGTATGTATTAAAAAGTTTAATTGTGAGAATTAAATTGTAAGAAGACACTGTCATGCTCTACTAGCCTTTTCTATTTGAATTGGTAATTTATAAAATTTTAAACAAGTTTAACATGTACTGATTTTCTTTTAGAAAAAAATACAAAAATGGAACATTTTGTATTTTAATCAGTAACCTTGCATAAACTCTCATAAAAAGTATATAACATAAGCTAAAAGAAAAAACATTTTCTACAATTAAAAACAAAAATAAACTATACAATTAATAATAAATATAATTTTATTTTGTAAGTGATAATTATTTAATTGTAATAAAAACCTAATAGTAATAACTTTCTAATTGATTATTTTACTTGATAATGATAAATTAAACTAAAGAATAATTATATCAATTGACTACCAAATCATAATAGAATATTAAAGAAAGGTTAAGCCTTAAAAGGATAAAAAAAATATGATAGATAGAATTGTATTTTAATTTTCAAACTATTAAAATTCAAATCAAAGAAATAAAAAAACATAGATAATATCTTTCCCAGGAAACAAGGAGAATGACTTTGAAAATTTTAAATTAGCTTTTATAATTACACAGGAGAGGAACCTTGAAATAATGACATACATGTAAACTATTAACTACAAATTGATCAACTTGACCTTCAACTATTTTTTTTTTATAATTAAATTAATCTAAAAATATCTTACTTTGAAGTAACTTTGCAAAGTTGATCCATGCAATGTTTCTGTAAAGAGCTAATATGCTGGTTATAGATAAAAAGCAATGCAGTCATCACTGAAGCTCTGTTTTGAGACAGAATTTTCTCCAGTTGACTGAACGGGCCCCATTTCACAAGCTTTGTGTTACATTCTTCGAGCCTTCTCAACGCACTTTCAGTAAGCGATGCTGGCGCAAGGCTCATCGGCTAAAAATGAATCACGATAATTTTTAAGATAGGCTTTAGCAACAAAAGTAATCAAATGTCATTGATCTTAATTGAAAAACAGATTATCATGGCTTTAAATTCGCTATTTACATACCTGTTACTGTTATGATTTTAGAAAAATATTTGAATAATTTAATTGTACATTTAGCTATAAGTTATAAGTTAGTGTATAGTTTTTTTCACCTTCACAGCAGGCAAAGGTCTATAGTATTAGTAAAGGTGCTTAATTCTCAATCAAATAATATCCATGGGAGAATGAGTTCATTACTTCGCTCAAACCTTTTCATCAACTGCTATTATAGATTTACCCAATATTTTCCCAAGAATATAGAATGAAATAGTTTAATTTAAAGCAAAGTACAACAAAATAATAACAATAATAAATAACTCATAACAAACATAGGAAAATTTGGTTACATTCATGATCAATGGAATCTCAAACATGATAGATTTTATTATATTATTATAATTCATATTAGTATTATAGATTTTATAATATTTATCATGAGAAAATCTTAAAACATTAATAATTTATTTCATTACCTTGAACCGTAAAATAATATATAAACAAGAAAACAAGGAAAGCTATCAGTAACTAAAATTTTAAAAAAATATATTTTCATCATTATTAAAAATTTATTCTAAATTAAAAATGTTTTGTTACACTTTTAATATAAAATATCCTGATCTAAAATTCTAATTTTCGGATTAGGAAAAATACTACTGTCGGCCTATTAGGCAGAAATAGTACATAATATAGCAGTTAAAATTAAAATATCAAATATTGTAATATCATATAACACTAATTCATTTTAATAATAATTATACAAATAAATTTGTTATAAAATAAACAAGGCGCACCTCATGATAAATAGAAGACTGGGCCAGTGATGGAAGACGAAATGATACATTTTGAGCTTGGCAATTCTCATCTACAGCTTCAAGATTATATAAGCCTAATAATAAAGCTTCCACTCCTCGGCAGCTCTGCAATGTCACAAAATATTAATATTACTTATTAACTTTATGAAATTGACAAAATATAAATACATTCGTCTTTTAGAGTGAAAAAGAACATGGCTAACCTCTAGATTTACTTGGTCAAGTCTAATAGTAGGTCTAATTCTATTGCTGCTTCACAACTGTTAACAATTCACTAAAAATTCAGTACTTCAACAATATCTATAACTTATAAACTCATTCTATCGTCAAAACAAGTTAGTTGTAAACCAAGTGAGAGTTTAAATAATACACCTAATTCAACAAAAGTTTTAATGATTACTTTGTATTGCAATAAGTATGTTTCTAAATTAAAAATCAAACACATTATTAGTGTACAACTCATAACTAATTTTATCACTATGGAGACACAAGAAATTGATTAGGAGATGCAGGAAACAAAACATTTTTATAAACAGCGGACAATATAGGAAAGACAGAGCAATATTTTAAGCCTATTCTTAGAAACAAGATAAAGTTCTATTGTACAAGATAAAAAGGAAATACTAGGTTAATTTAAGATATCTAACACTCTAAATTATTTTACTAACACTCTAAAACACCTAACACTCTAAATTGATGATTAATCTAAAAATAACAATTAATTCAAAATCATGTTCAAGAAATGTGGGATAATTTTTTTTTTCAAAACTACATAATTCCCACATTAAGGCCAAGGACAAGTAATGAGAATAGAGGACAGTAAAGGCTTAATCACTAGTTGCCTCAATATATTTTTTTTAAATTTCATTTAATTTTTTTTCGTAGTTCCTGATCATTCACAATAATACAATAATAGAACAAAAACAATATAATGAGCGAGTACAAAATAGCTTCATAATTATAGATATTAATTTATATTTATGGTCATGTAAAAGGTCAGAAATAGATGATAGTCAAAATCCAAACATGAGCTCTATTTCAATCTTAGCTTTGTTTAATGTTTACAAAATAACAAGGCAAATCTAGACAAGCTTTGAATAACAACGTCATTCAACGGGCATGGTCAATATCAGTCAAACAAAAAATAAATCATGCAAACTTAACAACTCACATTAATAAATTTAATACAAATCTAAAGATTCTAGTCAATTAAGATCAAATATCACTTAAAAAGCTTAATATTAATATCTATTTTTCAGTGAAAAGTTTAATTAATCTTCATAAATAACACACGACGGTTTAAGGATAAATTTTAAACAAGAGATTAAAACTGTATTAGCAATAGTAAATTATGAGTATAGGAGACGGGGTAAAAATCAAATTGAAATAAAAAATATAATAATACTATAAAATTTTATACATCCATTATATATTAATCACTATGATCAATTATTCAAATCACTTTGTTTAATATCAGTGTGCTCTAATAAACTTTGTTTATCATAAGTTTGTTAATATAAAAATTAAATTTATGCATAAATGTAAAAACTACTATAGTTGTCATTCGTTCTCAAAATATAAATAAAGTTATTAATTGATTAATATCAGTGTTTAGTACATTTTGGAAACAGTATGTATTGGGTATATTGCTTAACACACCTTGAGATAAGCTTGAACAATGTTCGATAATAATATAATGAAACTAATTAGATGAAAGGAAATTAGATGCATAATAAATTTACAACCTACCTTTTTTTCGCCATGAGCAACAGCATTTAAATAAACATATATAAGAGTCGGAAGAAAAATTAGGGTGAATCGTTTAAGTTCCGCTTCTTGGGAGCGGTAAAATTCGAATAAAGTAGTACAAACTGGCCCAACAAGCTGTAAAATCAAAATATATTTATCATGAACCAGTTAAAAATTCTGGATTAATAAAATCCTTGTATAAAATTTATTACCTCATTATATTTCTGCCTATCTTCTAGGACAGCATAAAGAGCACTTATCACTTCACTGTTCTGATGAACAGTACTAGCAAATGTGTGAACTTCATTAGAACTTAAAGATGAATAATCAGCCAACCAATCCAGTACTGTCTGCTCAACCATATCACATCACTAAGTTACGAAAATCATTTATTTGGAGAGTAAAAATCTACAAATTAATTTTTTGCTAATAACTAAATTTCCAAGAAGTAACAGTATTTTCTTCCAATAACCTGCCCAATAAAATTAATGCCATTTAACAGACATATTGGTATAACATTCGGTTCTCAACAAACCGAAAGCAAATCAAATGTGTAAAGAGCAATTAAGCTCAATTAATTCATTACACAAGCTAGAAGGACTCCTTGGAAGTAAACACCGTCTTTCAAGATTTGAGAGAATAAGTCAGAGCCATATCAATTGCTAATCTAGGTCAATGTCAACCAAAGAGGATGCATTCAGAAAACTGAACTTCAGTCTTCCGAAGTAAAAGTATTATGTTTAACAAAAAAGATTATTATAAACAGAGGCCAATGTGTAGTTCACGATACGCTAGGATCTCTGTTCCTATAATTCTTGATTCATTTATAAATATCACCAATTGAGTAATTATTTTTTCCATATTAAGTTAAACACGCTGATCACAACGTTACTTTTAGATAAATGAGGAATAATTATAATAAAGGTATATAAACAATAAAATTCAATACTATATTATATTATATTGAATATTGAATAGTTGACCGTTGTATTATAAAGGAAGGAGATGATTCTAAGTGAAACTCCTAACTGAACACACTACTCTGAAGAAGACCTGCAAAGTCGGGTCGAAACCTTGGCTTTTAATAAAATAGTTTTGCCACTATTTAGTGAATGTATGACCGCCATACAGGACCATCTCCTTCCTTTATATTATATTCGGTCTTGATAAGATTAATAAATCCAAAGAGTATTATCCGATATTAAAAACCAAGTAAAAGAGGAATATTCTTATAGATTTTGCTAACGACAAACTAACTAATAGATATTAGTTTAATAAGTTGTTAAATTGTAATAATACAGAGACAGGTTTGGTTTTAAACAAACTTATTTCAAAAGTTCCTTTTTTTTACAAAAGAAGAAATTATGCACCATCTATGGAATGAACAAACAAATGATTCCACTTCTATACCTAGAATTGTCAAATAATTACAATATATTTTCTCTAAGCTGATAATATTATTTTTTTAAAAGAACCAGAAACAAATATGAATGGTTCTAGAACTTCTTTTATCTTAATACTTTTCTATAAACATTTATATTGTTGAATTTGTTGTCTCCAATTCACCTTTACTGTTAACCAACGTATTGATTTTCTTAAGTAGGTAGAAGTTGAAAATAAATAGAAAGTCAGATGATGTTGTCAATTGGTTAATAAAGATATACTAAATTTCATTCATTTAAACTAATAAAGATTTGGTTTTACTTTTGCAGTATCTATATACTATTTTACTTTTTCAATATCTAGTACTAAACCCAAAACCTTTAAAGGGTTGTAGTGGTATAGGTCTTAATATCTATCTATTGATATATGACCAATATCTTATATGATATAAACGAATCAAACTTGTTCAAAAGCTTAAAGCGATGAATCATTCACTCTTGAAGTTCTTATTAAGTTTTGATTGACACAACACTCAAACATTTTGGGATCCTGCCCTGTATCTAAGTTATCAGGTGAGTAGATATGACTACGACTTAAATCTAGCACAAGTAAAAGATGTAACTTATACCCTCGCAATGTTTGGTAATTCTATCTTATGAGCTTGCGTATGATAATCCTTTGCAGATTACAGAAAATAATATTAATTTTAAATCTGTTGAAACCATTATTTTAAAAATATATCTTGAAATTTTCTTCAGGATATTAATTTAATTATTACCCAAACAAAAATTAAAGCTGAATACAAGCCGGGACGGTTATAATTAAATTATTTTTATCATTTCATTTTTTTTTTTTTTAATGGTTTATGCAATTAAGTTGCAGCAACATCGCGTGGTACTCTCAATGCTCTTTGGACTGTAACCTTCCTTTCCTATTGATAAGAAAAGGTTATATTTTGTCTTATGCCTTTATTTATACTCTACCGGTATATATTGTACTGAAGTAGCTGTTGTAATCATTAAAAATTTTTGGAGACCATGTCTATGTGTTTTTGATTATTTTTATTAATCCAATATGAAGTTGAAATATCTCTTACGTGCTGTGCAGAAGTACAAATGTAGTTACAAGAGTTATTCAACTGAAGTTGAAATTGATATCCCAAAAAGAATTCCTCGAGGACCCACTGATATTTTAAAAGTAGGTTTTTTAAATAGTTAAGTTACTTGAATTTCATTAATTTTATTTTTCAAATTTATTTTATTTATTTTATTCTGTGATCCAGGCATTAGCTAGCACAGTTAAACGAGACCCTACAGCTCCACATTATAAATACCACGATGACCCTTATTTGATACCATATAATAACTTTACTAAAAGATCTTATGCTCTTTCCCAAGAATCTGGTAGAAAAGCTGCCCGCTGGATCAGGCAGCAGCACAAAGAGTTATTTCAACATAAGATAGCCGAACCTTTGATTGAGGTAAATGAAATTACTCCTTAGAATCTTCAAGATGTCATTCAATGTTCAAGAGTTCACCAATTTATTTTAATTCAATTATCTATTGATGACTTAGTATCTAAAACTATTTTATTTTATATTTATACTAACTGATGTACCCGTAGTTGACGGTGTGTAGTTAAAATTTCATAATCTTGTGATGGATTTTGTATTATGGGGGGGGGGAGATCCAAATTTAATTTCATAAAATTGGGTGGGGAGGAGTTAATTTTAATTTTAAGGATTTTTTTTTCCAATTTCCGGCTAATCCGCTTGGTTGATCCTAAAAATGTATATGACAACATTTGTTGGAATTGGGAAGTTAAATGACACCTTGAACGGGAAGATTAGACAAAGTTGAAAAGTTAGTGTATTTTAACAGGCAATGCGTTACAGATGTTCGGAATTTCAGATTTTTCCCCTTGAGTTGTGATAATTTTTTTAATCAGTCGAATAGTAAAACTTTTTATGTGGCTCGCGGTTGAGTAGGTTGGGATGAGAATCGAAGTAACTGCCTAACCGCGATCTCTATACAAATTACTCAAGAATTCATAACTTTGGTTCTACTCAATATTTTGTTTTAATTTAAACTTAAACTCTATGTTTTAAGGCAACCACACCTAAATGTAATGTCAAAATTTCAAAAATCTACCATTAGCCATTGTTGAGTTTACCCCCTAACAAAATTTTGTTGGACAATGTGGACATACAGACAGACAAAAAAATTCTGAAAGTGGATTTGGTTTCTGTAATGTATGAAACGGAAAGATATCATGAAATGGGTTGATTTTATTTATATACAGACAAAACCTTTATTTTATTTATGTAGATTATAGCCCTTTTTATAATTTATAAACCTAAATTATTTCTAAGAATAGATGACTTTATAAAATAAAAAATGGTATATTAATAGTATCTAATAAGCACATTTATGTTAGAAATAAGTTGGGATATGCTGAATAGTAATCCAGAAATATTATTGGTTATTGGTCTTTGCATTTATTGATCTTAAGTTTTGATCTTTTTTATGACAGAGAGGATCATTTTGAAGTTTAACATTATATTCTGTTAAATAAATTTTAAATCTTGGGTAATTCAAAATAATGAAAAATAACATCCATTTTATTTTCCATTTTTTTTTAGGCATTCATACCAACCCCAGAATATAATGAGAACTCTGAAGTTGATGAAGAAATTTTGAAAAAATTGATAAACAATGGATTTGTTTCTGATGCACTTTTTGTTTACAATTTGCTTAGAAATAAAAAAATTGGTATGTTTCAAGGACTATCATATCTTTAATAGTTTCCACAATTTAATGGCTGCGTGTTGTCCTATCCTGATTCATAATTTCCGGTTTTGTTGTGATAAGAAGATGCTTTGAGTGTTTAGCAAGTTTTTCATCGTTTCAGATATAACTCCTTCAACAAAACAAAGTCTTTTGGAATTTGTATGTTTTACAAATGAAGATGAACCCATTTCAGAAGATTGGATCAGTGAAAGATGGTTTCTTATGGGCATGAAAAATCAGAAAGATTCTAATACTTGGAAGTAAATTAACTTTTCTGTTATGTAGTGTTAATATTTTATAGTAAAACCCTCAGTTTTCAGCAACCACCGCAGTTATTGAATAATATTAAGCATTGGGAATGGTCTAGATTTGGCGAAAGGCACTCATTTGTTGCAGAAATCTCTCCTGCGCTCGCATATTCCAGCATCTCTCATTATTTACTTAATTTTATAGATCAAAAAAATCACTGAAGATTAGAAACCCAACAGGTGTTATCCATGCAATACGTGTCTTACCTTTTTTGGTAAGCAACACTCATTTCTGCAAAGTATCATTGAACATCTTACATTCTGAAGGTTGCCTGATTTAATTCTTTAGGTTTTTGAAAATTGGCTAAGGGGTGCCGAATACAATTTAAAATTTCCTTAAGGGTGCCAAAACTGGGGATTTTATCCTAGTTTATTAACGTTAAAGAATTATGAATGTATTATACTTGTAAATGTGGTATATATATTATAATTTTTTTTTCAGAAATGGAGGTTTAGCAGAGCAACTTTTTTATGAACTGAAGTCTGATGTGCCATCTTCTTATTCTGCTATTATATGTGGAATGTGTAAATATTTCCAAGTGAGCAAAGCTTTTGAGGTAAAAGATTTTCTTATTCCTATTGCTTCAATCAAAGTTATCTAATAATTATTAATGTTTCTACAAATTTTATTAATATTTAGTAATCTTTTTTATATGAATTAAACCATCCAATCATGTTATATAAGTAAATTTCATTATTTGTTGTGAAATAATTACAGTTGAACATGTTTAATTCGAATTCGAAGTGGCTATAAAATTTTTTTAAATTAAAGATGTTTTATATATTTATCATTTTTTTCTATTGTGATCATTGAGTCCACTGACATCCAATTTTTTTTAAGTACAAGTAGTTTGCTTTATATATCTACTAATGAAACACTAAATTGATTTAGAAAAACAAAACTTCAGCATTTATTCATTCAAAACTTCAAGAGTTTGCTAAGGAATTAAAGAGAAATGAATATTTGTATATACCATTAAATCGTCAATAAATGTGAACTAAAGTTGTTGACTGTTATGTCAATAATGTATGTAACAACTGTCCTGTTTACATTTGCCAATATTTTTTCTCCTTCATAAATGAAGTGGTATTACAGTTATGTAGAATTTATTTGTATGTAGTTATGATAAAATTGTAAATTGTAGAATTTCAAAATAGAATTGTCAACAATTTTTTTAATTGTGTCGAAAAAAAAAAACTGTGTACAGATAGAAAAGTTCAAATTATTGACAATTTAAATTACTCAAGTTCAACTGTATTTTATAATTAGACTTTTTCTGATTTTTTATTGATTAATTAATTTGTATGATTTACTGCAACTATCCGATTTAATAGGTTCGGTTTAATAGTTTAATTAAAGAATTAATTGCTCCAGGTTTAGGAAAAAATAAAATGTGAATTTCAACTTAGTGCCGTATAAATTTGTTTTTTGGCAAACTACTGATCGCGATTGAACTTAAAAAATAAAAAAGAAGAGTTTTAAATGAATTTAAGGGGCTGAGTGGCCGAGCGGGCTAACACGTGTGCACAGCACCATGCGTTGCTCGACAACCTGATAATTGAAGTTTTGAGATAAACAAATAATTACGGATTCAAATCCCTGTGCCCTGTGGACTTTCAACTCGGCATAATTCCCCCGCCCTCTCCCCCAGTCCGGGAAAAACTCCGTGTAGTCTAAAAGGCAAGGAAGAGGAAATAAAAAAAAAGTTTTACACAAATTTATTTTTCATTTCATTGATCTACTGAAGAAAAAAAAATATATAGTTATAGATATGCTATACACAGCAAAATTACTATTCCTAACATAAACGTTTTTCTTTGCTTTTTTGTCACTATATAATTGTCATAACTTTTCTATAAGAATTTTATAAATAATTAATATAGCATATTACTTTTATATGTATTAATAAATCCTAAGCACTATCTAATTATTTTTCTAATTTTTCTAGATTTATTCTGAAGCTCAAAGCAAAAATATTATCCTTAACGTAGAAACATATAATTCGTTAATTTCTAAAGCAAAGTTTGTTAATGAGAGTCATCCGAAAATATGGGAACTTATCCAGGTGAGGTTAAATTAATTAATGATTGTCTGGTTGATTACAGTATTTTTAAATATTTGTGGATTAATGGTTGACTGTAGTGAATAATTGAAGAGAAGGGTGGTTTGGGGTGATCATTCAAAATAAAAAATAGTAAAAATAATTATATTTATTTTTATATTTGCCGACGTTTCGTCCTAAAGTTCAGGCCTTCATCAGGGCTAAGAAAAAACCAGATAGGTATGATAAACTATAAACATTGAATAATAAAGAATTAAAATTAAAAAAGGGAAATTATTATAAATAATTGAGATTTTTATTCAATTTTCTATTTGTAGATATTATTTCCTTATATAACTTCATTTTCCTTTTCTTTGTTTTACATTTTATTCTAAGATTACCATTTTTCATTTCTTATGTTACCTTATTTTGATTATGTTTATTTCTTAGTTCTCTGTTACTGTTATTATTCTACCTAATTTATTTTACTTTAATGTTCACTCTATCTACTTTATTTTAGTTTAAGTTTATTCTACCTACATTTTTTAGTCTATACCTTTCACTTTTTTAATTTTAATTCTTTATTATTCAATGTTTATAGTTTATCATACCTATTGTTGAATTGTGGGCTATTTTTTATTTTGACTGATCACCCCAACCATCCTCTTCAATTTTTAAATATTTATATAAGTAATTCACAATTATCAGGTTGGTTACTTATAAGTACTAATTATGATTTATTTAATCAACAGACTCTTTTGAACGAAATGGCAGAAAGAAAAATAAAGCCAAATGTAAAAACTCTCAACAGTGTGCTTGAATCTTTATCTAAAATGAACACGAACAGGAATGCTAAAACTTATGCTCTCAATACGATAGCAGAATTCAAGTCATTAAATATAGAGCCCTCCCTAGTATCGTTATATTATTTATTGGAAATATGTAGTAGGAACAGTAAGTTAATTGTTTGTTTATTATTATTTTTTATTTATGCCTCATTATTAATACTGTGACTAAGGAAGTGTTATGAAATTTTGACAGAAGTCCGTTACAGTTAATTGTTTATAAGAGGTTGTGGAGATAGGAAAACTCTGAAACATTAACAAAATAATGATAATTGCTTTTGATTAATAATGTGAAGTTTTAAGGAAGTGTAGTTGCCAAAATTTAATCAAATATATAAAGAATGACTTCCCATAAAGTTAACAGATTTGTTTATATATATTTATATGTTGTGATTATTTTCATTTGTCATTCCTAATTTGAATTTCCCGTGAGCTGTAATACATGGGGGTAGGGGATGTTGTAGTAGGGATATTGTAATACATTGTCAGTTGATGCCCAGTCTTCGGCCAATACAAGTCAGTAGGTGCATGGCCTTCTGCCAACATAGTTGGTTCCTGACCATCGGCCAGTACAGTCCATATCCAGTTACTTTTTGAAGATATTCAGTCCCAGCCTTTAACCAGAATAGAGTTTTCAGAATTTGTAGCAAAATATAAAGAACATAACAATATATATATTATTATTATTTATAATTCGAAAAAATGTCTGCTTATTTAAAAATATTTAATATAAAAATTGCTGTTTTATTTTTTCAGTGTGCAGACACTAGTTTGTAATCTATTTATGTGCAAAAAATGTTTAAAAGCCTTTCCTCAAAGGTATGCCCAATACTTCAAAGGTATGTATAGGCCAAATACTTGGCAGATTAAAGAGCCAAGTTTGATTTTAGTTTAAACATATGAAAAAAATCTCTTAAGGGGCCCACTGACTGATAATCGTCCTACTCCGTCATTCCATTTTTACTAACAAGTAGTTATTCAAACTCCTATTTTCAAAAACTATTATGAACTCATAACTAATCTGGTTCTAAGCATTAATTATATTACAAAAAAAGTTCTATAAAAAAATATTTTAAATTAGTAAAAAATTATATTAACATTCAAAAGGATGCAATTAACAATTTTATTTTAATGTAATTGATCATTTTTTCATGCTTATTTAAATAAAATAGAAAAACTTGGTAAACATAATATATATATATATATATATATATATATATATATATATATATATATATATGTATATAAATTTCTGTTTATATGTATTTTAAAATATTCATTTGTTTACTTTTATAGAAAGTCAGTTAAGTAGTATGCTCTCTGCAATCTTGGACTACGCCAGCAATAAAAACTTTACCATTAGAGATAAAAAAGATATATCATTTTTTTCTAAAGCTATGGAAGTTTGTAGTAAACTCAAAGATAAGGATCTTCTCTACAGGCTTCATGAATTATTGTTGACCGGAAACAATTATAATTTGATCGGAGATTCATTTAGTGAATCGGTGTATTAGTAAGTTGTTTCAATTTCTAATTTATTAATGAAATGTAACATATTTTATTTTATTGGTCATAGCCACCCACAGTTGCATTTATAAACAATTTACATTTTTCTTGTTTAGCTGTGCGCACAGTTTGCTCTTCCTTTCAGTTCAGACTATCTTTACTTCCGCTTCTCTCCTACTTCATTCTGGTCGCCTCCCCGGTGCAGCTCCTTCTGTTCTTCCCAGAGAGAAATGGGTTGGTGCTACGACTTCTTTCCAATTATATATGAAATTTTTGAAGAATGGATACTTTTCTTTGAATATTAGTTGAGAAAGATCTCTATCAGGACATAGAGACAAATCTCCATCAACTGCTTTACCCTCAGTGATTCATATTTGGTACAATATACTGAGCAGCCTCCGGTACCCCAAAAACTGGACAAAGGGGATCAATTTTTACAACATACTGAATGAGCTTATCTTGGGAACCCCCATACTCCTTAATAATCTTTAAGATTTAGTAGTCCAGTAGGATCTAAGTTGCTTCTAGTCACAATCCGACAGTGAGAAAATACTTTCTCAGGGTATCCTCTTTCGGGATACCCTGAGAAAGTATTTTCTCTTCGGGGTATCTTAGAGAATCTACTTTATCTTCCTGGAAGATCCTCTTCCAACTCCTGGGATCATCTCCTATTCTCAGTCGAAGGTACTCCACTAGAGCCGCAAACATTCTCTTTTCACAATAGGAAGTCAAGAGGTATTCCTTCATCCAAGTCCTACACTGACTCATGAGACACCATTCTGTAAGTTCTGATAATTTGAAGCAAAGCCATCCGCTGAATTGTTGCCAACCTATACTTCTGTCTATGCAAGAGATTTCAACTTCATACAAAGAACGCATAACTCAAGACTTGATTTTTATGAATGCTCATAGTTGTTGGATATTTGAGGTCCCAAAATGCACTCCCAACACAACTGAATTTGTTATGAGAGAGGGCTATTTCTCAAATACTCCAAGTGAGGTGTTATGTTGAACTTTCTTTCAATCCTAATTCCTAGGTAGGTGAAAACCTCACTCAGACGTATTCTTGATCCTTGTATAACCATTGTGTATAGAAGTGAGCTCTATCAGTCATGCCTCTCAAAAGTATGGCCTGAGTCTTGGCAACAGCCATCCTCAATTTCTTTCTCTCTCACCTTTTTTTTACTAGGTTGTTGCACTGTTAAGCTTCTTTTTGCAATCGGACTCTGCTGTTCGAGGCCACCACAACTGCCAGATCATCCACATAAGCTGTGGCGGGGAACCTCTCTTCATCCAGTACTCCTAACAACTTGTATACCAATTTCTACAGGGCAGGGCCTAGAACAGAACCGTGGTGTCTTCTACTTCAAAGATGCTACTCCGTATTTTTACAGTTCAGTTGTGGTAGATAGCTTCCTCAACAACTCATACAAGTTGCTGGAATCCTGATACTTTCACCGATTCTGGAATATGCTTGGCCACCAAATGCTATCAAAGGCGGAGGTTATGTCAATCAGATGGGTATCAGAGAAGGGCAGGGTGTTACTATCGGTGTGGATTCCCTGTTGCCTACTATCTATAAAGAGAATCGGTTCACAGTTCTCCTGGCAATAATACTGGAGGAAACTCTTTTATCTCAATCTTTTATTCTATTGAAGCAACAACGGTATGATTTGGCTCCTTGTAATAAAATCTTTACAAATGACTTCAAGAATTGAAATTAACAAATTTCTTTGTTTTTGTTTTTTTCAGCCGTTATTTTTTTTATTTGCTTACTGATACTGAAGAACTTAGTAAAGTAATGGAATTCTATGATGATCTTGTACCAAACGTTTATGTTCCAGAGCCATCAGTGACCAATGTGAGTATCCTTTATTTAACCTAATTTTAGTTAACAATGAGAAAAAAGTTGCTCAGTTGGTTGGACACTTCACCTCCTAGGCTCAAGGTTCCATGTTCGCTGCTGGCAGATAAATCATTTATTCTGTTTCATCAGCCGTGGATCAACCCTGGGATCAGGAAATCCTATTTAGGCATACCCAGCCTCTATTAGTGGGTATTCTTAATTAATTAAGGAGGAAAAAACAAAGATATGTGCTTTAAACCACACGATAGAAGTGAAAGGCGAGATTAATAATATGAAATATAAATAATAAATAATAGCTCATTATAAAGAGGATGAAATACTGAACATTTCTCTTGCTTACAGTATGCAGGTCTAATTTTCGTTTCTGATATATTTTAATCCATATCTTCAATAAAACTCATTATCATTTGGTTTTCAGACCTATTTTTTCCTTTTCGCCTCTCTAACACGGCATCATGTTAAGATACAATTTTGAATAATATCTCGTGGTGAAGAGGATGAAATGATGAACATTTTGCTTGTTTGCAGTATGCAGGTCCAATTTTCTTTTCTGAGATATTTTACTACATATCTTCAATAAAACTCACTTTGTAACAATATGCAGGTCCAATTTTTAGATTTTCAGATATTTTAATCGATAGGCAAAAAACACTTCAATTGGTTGACTCCAGCCGACTTTACCCAAGCGTTACTCATCAGAAATCTGACGACTCAATCTGATTCACTCTCCTTCAAAAAAGTGCCAAACATGTCTAAAGAAGTTTTCACTTCATTAAGGAGGAAAAACCTGGCAGTTTAGTGTGATCTTGGTCAAATCACCTCCTTGGACAACCGTTGACCAAGAAACAATATTTCCCAACATAGTGCTGAACCCAAGATCCTTCATGGATTGTAGAGGAATGTAACAGAATATTCGTCACTTTTACATTGAGCTTAAAATTAGTAAATTTTCATTATTGATAAATTTATTTGTTGGTTGAATTTATGAAATGTTTTTCTTTATATACCTTTTTATTTTCATTGCTGACATCAATGGTTGCTAGGAACTGGCCAAATTAAGAATGATTTATAATAGGGGATGATTTTTGGCGAGTTTGTTTAGGGGAACAATGTTTAGGAAACAATGGGAAAAATGTTTAGGGGAACATTTTTGTCCAATTCCTGTGATCCGGTTTTCAATAAATCTTTCAGCGCCATTGGTCTGCTTTGTGATTAATTAAAAAATGGGTGGACCAATTTTTTTTTCTGGATATATTGGGTAAAGATCCTCCTCCCTTCGCAATAAGATGACATGGTTAGGGCCATGATTGTGAAAACTTTGTTTTTTACTTTTTCTCCAAAACAAATTTAAAATTTTTAAATTCTTTACCAGAAGTCCTTTAATTTTTTTTTATGGGGGCTGGGGTACTAGGATTATGGCATTATTTTTATTAATATTTTCTATATGTCTTTTATGGGTGCCACTTAGTCATTAGTTTATCTCTCATCTCATCCATTTATCATCAATCCTCTGACAATGAGAAAGGAAGCTGAACATTTCTATAATAGTTTAGAATAAAGGATGACCTAAGGAATGTAAAACACCCAGAAAACTTATATAGACACTACACTGGGGTTTGAGATATTCTAAAATGATTTTAGATCACTTTCAGTATTAATACAAGAGTGATAATGGGCAGGTGGTGATCATCATTAATTAGCTAGGTTATCCTTGAAGATTATTTATGTGGAAGTACTCAGCCAAAGAGCTACTTATATAGGAGCAAAGGCAATCAATATTTAAAATATTTTAGGGTGTGTTCAGAGATGAGTAAATGCTACTCTGTGTGTTCAGTACCTAGTACTTTACTCAAATACTGACCTTTTTTGAGTACTAAAGAATTTAATCACTACTTCAGTTGATTTTAAACGATTAACTAAAGTAATGATTGAATTCCCAATAGTGATTCAATTTGAGTAAAATACTTGGTACTTGGTACCCAGAGTAGCATTTGCCAATCTCTGAGTGTGTCACACCCTTCAACATCAATTGAAAACAAGTACCTTACTTTAATGTTTGATCCTTGTGTTGTGTAAACATCTTAAGTAATAAATATTTACCTACAAATTTATCTGATTATTTTGGAATAGGCTATATTGAAAGCTGTTTGTAACAACATGGCATGGGACCTTCTTCCCAAGCTTTGGTCAGACATACTATTGTTTGAGCAGTATGAAGTTTCCGGTGTCCTGGAAAATATTTTAGATATTGCATCTCAAAATGAAGACAAGAATTTGATGGAAGGGATGTCTAAAATTGCATGGTCTGCATGGGAGAAGATAGAAGGAATAAAGAGGGAGCGATCCAACTTTCAGTATGTATAATAATTTATTCGTTTCCATGGTTTATAAAATTATTCATTTCTTAACATTTAAAAATTTAATTAAGTTCATAGAAAAGTTATTTAAATTAATACAATATTTTCTAAGTTTTAATGGCATTTTCGTTTTCTCTCTTAACTTGAATTATTAGTAGTTGTATTGTATTGTTATCAGTGTTTGATCTAATCCATGGTAAAATCAATTCTCATTTTCAAATTATTATTAATCTGCATTGAAAATTAATATCATCAATTATTATGAAATATTTCTTTAAGTGGCTAATGGATTAACATTTTAAATATACATTTAAAAAAAAAAAAAAGAATCTAAATCAATGATGAATAAAAAAAATTATGACAAAATAACAATACGTTTTAGAGTTTAAATGGAATTCCATCTAAACATTAAAAGAAAAAATAAGTATGAAATAATTTTCGCTACTTGTGAGCGACTCTATGGACTACTATCTGCTGTTATCTTGTTAGTTTAAGTGTCTTTGTTGTTATTTATATTTCTTCTTATTAAATGTTTTATAACCTGAACACTAATAATTGTTATAAGGCACTGATAATCTCTTTCTTCATATGAAATTAGACTCTCGTATAATAAGAAATATATATTCATATTAATAAGAAATATAAATAACAACAACACTTTAAATAACGAAATAACTGCAGATAGCAGTTCATAGAGGCCGCGTCACACAAGTAACTAATTTTCTTTTCTGTTTTTATGAAAAAATAAAAAGGTATAAGAGAGTTTTTCTGAAGAGGAACAGACAATAGTTTAGCTATTGTTACTTTAAAAGGCTGCTATTTAGAGTTGTTTAAAAGTTATTATCGCTATTATTTTTCTTTAATTATAATAATATTTTTAGATGGTCTGCGAGTGCACTGGGAAACATTATTCTCATTTTGTTGAAATCTGGTGAAAAAGCTAAGGCGAATTTGGTTATGAATAAATTAATTCAACTAGGAAGTTCTGCCATGAATGAACCAAAAATAGAGGCTTTGAGTCTCTACGTGGACAGTTGCATAGAAAGTTCATCACCAGATGTAGCAATTGTAATGATTCAAATCACTATTACAATTTTAAACATCATTCCCATTAATTATTTTTCTTAACTTTTTTTTTCTCTCAATTTCAGAAATGCATTCAATATTGCAACGATATTGGATTTACGGAAACCACAGAGTTTGCTAGGCGAATCAATTCTTCTATCGAGCTCAACCCAAGGCAATATGAAAAATTAACATCTATTGTAGGCGAAGATTGTCTGAAAGTTGAAAAGAAAAAAGATCAAAGTAGATGAAATTGTTTTTAGACTTTTAATAAATGTATAATTTTACATTGTTAGTTAATATTTGCATAGTTTTCTTGTAATATAATCACTAGTTCAACTGTTTTATTCTAATTTAAGAGAATAAAAGTTTTACATTTCTATATCATTAATGAATAATCCTTAACCAAGTAATTCCATTTGCACTTTTATGTTGTACTAAGAAATATTGTGAATGTTTAGCCATTCTGAGTTTTGAATTGCAATGTAGAAATATTAACTGAAGGAAGAGAAACATAGTGATTGGTGAGTGCTGTCCATGGTAGGTTATTACTTATAGTAATGATTTATTACTTTAAACAAAAAAAAAAAAAATCTAACTCTTAAAATTCTATGCCTTGTATTCACTTACGACACTGTTCAAGAGTATCTGCTTGCTTATCTCCATTGTTCTTCCAGCTTTTCTTACCATATCTTTTTCAGAAGGAGGTAACCATCAAAACCTTAGATAATGAAAACACCAATAGGCTGCCAGGATTAGATTCTAAATGTGTTATTTTTGTGTGAACAATATAACAAAACTAGGCTAAAAGAAAAATCAAAATGATTCACGACTACGAAGCCAGACTAGTGAAACTAAAATAAGTTGTTTGTAAGGTTCCCTTCAAGGAAGTAAGCAAACATAGCTACAATTAAAATTATCACTCCAAGACATATGAGATGACTATATACAGAATTTAAAATCAACAGAATCTCCAATCTGCTGGATGGAAGGTTAGACCACACATCACAATACTTAATGTGATGCCCAAACATATCTACACACTTAGGTATCAAGCACTAGACAAACCCTAAACTTTATAGTCTATTCTTCATGTTATGTCCATTAATTATTTGGAAGTTCTTAAGACCTAAGAATTGCCTACTGAACAGTAAGTAATTTGTATGAACCTGTAAGTTATGAAAAAAATTATTCACATCAATTTTCATTCAAATACAAGCCTAGCAACCAAAAAGGGAGTGACATAAGACAATTTAATTTTTTTTTTTTCTTAAGCTTACAAGCTCTTGATTTTGAACATACAAAATTTTGAGGTTCTCCCCAATTTAGTCGATTTGTGAGTTTCAATGTAACATCCTCACTTAAGGAAAACCCATAATTTTCATTTATATAATCCTTGTATATATAAAAACTAAGGTGTATGCTTTAGACCGATATAAGTGAAAACATCAACAAGGCGAGATTAATAATATGAAATATAAATTATAAATAATAGCTTATTACAAAGAAGATGAAATGCTGAACATTTCCCCCGCTTAGTGTATACAGGTCCGATTTCTAGTATCTGAAATATTAATCCATATGTTCAACTAACCTCGTTATCATTAGGTTTTCGAAACTATTTTTTCCTTTTTGTATCTAGCACGGCATCATGTTAAGATACAATTTTGAATTATATCCTATTACACAGGATGAAATGCTGAACAATTTCCTCGCTTACAGAATGCAGGCCCGATTATTAGTTTCTGATATATTTTAATCCATATGTAAAAACATTTCAATTATCGACTTTACCCGAGGTTTAACATTTTGAAAATCTGACGGATCTCTCCACGAAAAAGTGCAAAACCCACCTAAAGAAGTTTTCAATTCAAAAATAGGAAGGAGACTTTCTTCTCCAATGTTTCATCAATTTTTTCTTTAAATAGTATTCCACCGTACTTTAAATTATTATGGTAAGTAGATTTTATCTCGACACAAATCATTAAGCTGGCCCTAGTTGTGCAGTCCAATTATCAATTAGTGGATTATTTGGATGTCCAGTCATTTTCATCGATTAAGCCAACTGATAGTGTGAGCAAACATTTGTTGCTTAGTTGGCTTGCAAAACACTCCATTATATCTTTGGATTGTTTAAAGAAACAGATTTAAATATTGTCTAATATTATTTTGAAAGTATATATTAAAAACAATATTATTAATGATCACTAGTAGTTATGTGACCAGTAGATCTCATGAAAAAATATATCTGTTATTTACTGCAGAATTTAAAGATTTAGTTAAAGACAATTTTGTTTTGTCATGTTACCACCATAAAGGATTTTTAAAATAAAGGAGTCAATATACCATAAATAATTACTTAATTCTGGTCTTTACATCATAAAATATTCTTTTCTAAAAATATAGTAAACATTATATTTTATAAAAAAAAAAAAAAATAATAAAATAAATAAATAGCTGTTCTATTGAATATTCTAATAATTTGAATGGGTTATTATACAATATAAAACTCATAAATTCTTTGACTTATGGTAAACAAATAAAATATACACAGTAGTTAGTCATATTTTGGTGCCACAAAAAAAAAGTAATTATAATTCCCAAAAAATGTACTCAACACACATATAATTAATACGAGTACCAGGCAACACTGAGAAGTTTACAATCGATAGGTGAAGAAGTTAGTTTAAAGAACTGGCTTGCTTTTTAAAAATCCAAAGACATATTGGCTTTTCAAATTATCTTTCTAAAATTACATTGAAAATTGAACAAAAGAATATTTTCAACAAAAATAAAATTTTCAATGATTGTAAATCAATACCAATATTTAAGCCATGAAAAATGAAACATTCATCACTTACTTTTGATCTTACGCATTTTATTGTTTTTTCTTGGTCGTTTAGTTCACATCAATCTATATTATTGTCTGCACAGAAATAATTTCTTAATAAACGAAATTTAAGAAAAGGAATCAATAACTATTTCTCATGTTTGCAGGTTATAGGCAACCAGGCCTACTTAAAGAAATTTTAAGTAGGTAAAATTTATAAACTATCAGGACCCAAAATTACATTAAATGACTAATTTAAAATAAATTTTGAATATAAATTATCCCATTAAAAAACAAATTCACATATCCCATTCATTAAGTTTGAACAAATATAAATAAAACTTGAATTCTGTTGCATTCTTTCTATTTGTAAAAGTTATTCTCAAACAAGGCAGGTCTCAAGAATTTAATTGATTATTTGTAAGTCTTGACTCATTACAATTACCCTTATATATCTTTTTGAAGTGTGGTTAACTTTTACACAATATAATTAACTAAAAATAAAATTTTAAATTCCTATTTAAAACACATATGAATTATAATTCAGTTTTCACCAACACTGAATTATAATTCTATAAAAGTGGGAGAATGAAATAAACAATATAATCCATAAATATTTCAACTTATTACAAAAATTATAATAACAATGAAGTACATGATTAAATTTACAAAACATTACAAGTTATAAAAACTGTAATTTTATTAAATTGTTGAAAAGTAGACACTTATAACAACCAAATCTTTAAGAAGTCTATTTTCTATTCAAATAATTACCACTACTGATTTAAAGGAACATTTATAAAAAATAGATTTTACAATCAAAAGAACTAAAAGAAAGAAAAGACATCAGGTTCATCCAAACTAACACCTCTTGAGATGGAAAAAAAGAAATACAATAACAAATAACTGAAAAGTCATGAAATGTACAACTTTTAAGTGTTGAGACCAGGTTATAAACAACCTTCTTTAAGCACACAACATATAAAAATGTAAAATGTGAGTCATATGTTAACAAAATTGGTTTACAACAACTCGCCCTTTTATTATTCATTAAATATTTTGGAAGTTGGAAATTAAACAATGTAAAAACCTCTCTTACATGTATTTACAAATATTCTAACAATTATGACAATTGTTTTGGATTCAAAGATGTACTCATCATAAAAACATCTTCCTCTTTTTTTAAAGCTTAAGATATAATTACATTAAAACTCCAAAATAAAATTTGCAGCTCCTGCTGCCCAGGCAGGTCACAGCAATTTTTGGAATGATAGATTTGCTGAATTATTTTCTGGAACAAACACATAATACATAATTACTTAGTTATAATTATAATGACAATAACAATGAAAAAGACACAGCAAATCAGAATACTGATACTATTAATGCTATATTATATTATTATAATTATACTATCAACACATTGTTGACCAGTGACGAGTAAGCTTGTCTTTTTGTGCCCAGACGTTGTTGACCAATGACGAGTTAACTAATTCTTTCACTTGCAGCCGGTGACATGACATAGTTTCTGTTTAAAATTGCTGGTCAACAAAGTATTAAGTTATACAATAAAACAGGGGTTTTCAAATGGAGGACAGAGATGCGGCAAGCGTTTGGAAGGGACACCAACGCAATAATATTTATATTTGGGCAGTACAGGACTTCATTGGGAGTCTTGGGGCGACGGAAAAAAAAAATTTATATTTACCGGCTAAACAGCCAATTTGGCAAACAGACATTCTAAAAATTAATAATTTATTAATAACATAATTAAAATCCTTCAAATTTAAGATTACATCTGATCAAAATGGTATTGGGTTTACTTAAATTGTACAGAAAACGGGTAACAATTTTGTTATAATAGTGCTAAGGATAAGTAATCTACGAATTCTGTTTAGCCCTACAAGGGAGTAGCAAACATTTTATAGCACTACAAAAGTGTAGCAAGCACATCATACCCTTCCAGGGTACGTGAAATTTTTTTGGACCGATAAGGATGCAGGCAGCAAAAAAGTTTGAGAACCACTACAGTAAACCATGCTTCATTAATTAACAAAACATTTTATTTCCTCATGATGCAATGTACTTCACTTCACATCAATGAAAATAGATATTCCATCTGGAACAAATATGTACCTATTGTTTTAAATCACATACCTGGGCTTTTTGGATGGAGTTCCTTTACTGCTGCTTCCGCTGCTATGATGTCTCTTCTTATCATTATGCTTGTCATGATGTGACGATTTGTGGTTACTACTCGAAGAGCTATGTTTCTTATCACTACTGCTATGATGACTTGAGGATTTGCTCTTGTCCCTGTGCTTATCTTTATCCTTGTCCCTGTGTTTTGATGGGCTACTATAATAACAATTTTAAAAACTCAATTAGCAAATTTTTCCTTTGAAATAGGCCTGAAAGTATTTAACAATAAAAAAAAAAAAATACAATTACATTTAAAACACCTCTCTAATCACATCACATGTTTTTCAACTTGATATGTAAATAATACAGAAAATGTATTACTGGTTTCTACTTCAGAAACGAAAATTGGTACTCGTTAAAAATGTTCACAATAGAGGAAATGGTAGGAATCAAAAGCTAATAGAATTATAGGGATTTTATCAGGATTAAGGAAAAGAAATAGGTCATGACTTTAACTTTAAGAAATAGTCCGCTGTCCATTGGAACTAAGAATGAAATAACAAGGAGCTCTTTTTGTAAAATCAGCGGATAAACCAAAAGTGAATCCCTCAATAAAATATTTCGGTAATTCCATAAATGACCAAGTTAGTAACATTTAGCTCCCTATTATTGTAGCCCAACAATATTTTGGGAATGCAAGGTAAAAGAAAAAAAATCTATAAATGAAAATCTTCAGAAATTTCATTAGTAAAACCATAATTAAATGATTCGTGTTTCAATATATTGAAGTAGTGAGTAGCAATAACCAGAACTTTGGTGACCCAAAAGTGTGCTAAATCAGAAACCAACATTAGGAAAAGCTCTTCGAAGTAAAAAAAAAAAAAATCTAAGATGACAATAAAATCACATTAACCTTAAGCGATATAAAATAAATTTCTGAAAATAAAAACAAACTTCCAAGTAATACGATATACTGAACTAATTAAAGTATTAATGGGCTACACTACTTTTAAAAAATGTTAATTTTTTCTCCAATATGTTTCTCGTCTCAATCATTTTGAGAAGTTGGGACTCATTGTATATTTTCTTGATATTACAAGCAACAAGTGACGATATAAAGACTATTTAGCTATTTATATGAATGCTATAAACGGTAACTGAATATTTTAATATCCTTTTAAGGAACCATTAACAAGAAAGGATTGATATTAAGTAGTGCTATTGCATTTTGCTGTATATTATATGATGGATACCCTTAATAAAATTTACCAACAAAATCAAGCTTACAGCAAGAACTATATAATAAATTAAAACTAAACAAAAAGCATTAACAAGGATTTTAATATAAATATTTTTTCCAATGACCAAGTAAAAGAATGTCATCAACATCTCATTGGAATGAAGCAATTATATAATGAGGTATACAATCAGTAATTCTCTAACCTTTGGTGTTTTCCTGAAGATTCTTTTTTCTTGTCATGTGACGAATCTTTCTTGTGGTGTAAATCTTGCCTATCCGAGCAGCATGGGAATGAACAAATATGTTTTTTTAAAAACAATTTAATTTTTAAATTCTCATTTTTATATCAGATTCATCCACCATTTTGTTTGCAAGGGGTTAAATAAATAATAAAAAGTCATTCCCAAGCCAGAGTGAGAAAGATCGAGAGAGAGAAGATAATCAAAAGAAAGGAAATAAGAAAAACAAAAGCGTCTATTATAATAAAATAACAGTTGATTACCTGTGAGAGGACTTGTGATGATTTGAACTACTCTTGTGTTTTTTGTCTGGAGAGGATGATGATTTGTGGTGCCTAGATAAAAAATAAAATAATTGATAACATAAATAAATATGAAATATTTTATTAACAATTCTTCAAATTTTATACCGTCGGTTTATTATAAAAAGTCGCTAAGAGGATTTTTGTTATAGGTTAACTTTCAAATATGTTTTTGTGAATTTTAACTTCATTCAATTCTACAAAAACCCTGTAAGTGTATGAAAATAACATAAACCCTGTTATATATCAAACATAGTTAGTTACATGTGCACAATTTTCAGATTTTGCAAAGAGAAAATTCTTCGAAGTTCTTAATTATGTAAGGTTCGGAATGCCACTTAATGACATTTTGCAATAAATCTATGATATGCTTAACCAATTACAAATCATGACTAAAATTCAATAATAAATACTTCTAAATTCATAAATGGTATCAAACAGTGTTTAGAAAGAGTGTTAAACGTAAACTGAATGAAATAAAGAAGGCTTGGATGAATACATGCACAGATAATTAAAATTCTGAACATGTATTTTATTATAATATTAAAACATCAAATTTTACAGCAATTACACATTTAGTGTATTATTTAAAGCAGTTGTCTTTATATCTTTTCAAATAAGAGCAATTAATCAGAATTTTTAATAATAAATTAATACACTTAATGGCTCTGAAGAACAGCTAGCTATAAGTTACTAGCTTATGCTGACATTCTAGTGATAATTGGGAAAGATGGCAGGGATCTTCAGAACTATACATTGGTCCTAAATGAGGACCTAACAAAAATAAACATGAATATAAACGAAGAGAAAACTAAAGTAATGAGGAGGGACGTAAATGAAATGTCTCTATACTGACTGCTACCGAATCATGGACCACAGCAACAAAGCACTAGAGCCTATTGCAGAGTTCAAAGATGAAATTCCTTAGAAGAATAACAGATAAAACAAAAAGGTTCAGAATTGAAAATACCACTATATAGATAAATCTTAAATTAAATCCTCAGCCAAACTGATAACCTGAACATTACAAGTCCCGATGATGGGGGAATTTAACATTGCTATTAATCCCCTGTTCTCAACCCTGTCTCTGGAAAATCCAATCTCAATATAGCCCAAAAGGTGAGGTAGGAGAGAAAAAAAATAATAAGTTAAAAGAAAAACAAGAAAAAAGGAAGTAGTGTCCTGGCACTGCAAACTGCGGAGAAGAGATTTGACAAAGAGAGATATTTAAACATTTTTATTTTTATGTTAAGAGTAAAAGCCTGGTGAGGAATATCAAAAAATTAACAGACCTTAAGAAAAAAGACATAATACAAAAAGATCCGACAATTTCTTAGAAAATCCTTTTCACTAAAAATCTCATATTTTATGTTTTGAAGCTAACACCTTTCTGCTTTGATGCCATCAATTTATAATTACTTGATAAAAGATAATGGCATATTTTTCATAAGGCTAATTAACAAAACAGATTAAACAAAAAAAATTAAAAAATGCCCTTGAATTTGTATATGGCAACTCCTCAAAACACATTTTAGCTAACATTAGAATAATAACTATACATTTATAAAATAAGTGAACAATAAATTCCAGAAGTACCTTGATTTATCATGCTTATCATGTTTCCCGCTTCGCTTCGGGTCAGGATATCTATCCTTTCCACTGCGTTTGAGTTTGCTTTTAGCGTACTCATCGTCGAAATCATCTTCTTTTTCCCTATCCTCTTCAGCGGCCTCTCTTTCCAAATCAGACCAATCTTTCCCGGATTCATCAGATGAACGCAATTCTTCTGTAGCAATAAAATAATAAAAGTGTTAGAACAAACAATATATATCATCAAACCAACAAACAAATATAATAAGCAATATTAATGTTAAATTAAATATTAGATCATTAAATGAAAATTTGTACATGTAAATACAGGTCGGCATATATGTCGAGTGAAATTTTATCAAAAAGTTGAGAAATCTGTAACATAAATCAGGCCTTTTTGGGGGGGTTCTCCCCTTCCTCCCTTTAATATATGGGCTATACGGGGTTTTCCCAGGCCAGGGGGTATGGGCGGGGATTTAAAAGACTCCTCTGGCACCGGGACCGAACTCGTGATTATTTTGACGGTGATGCTGTGCACATACGTTAGCCTGTTCGGCCACCCTGCCCATGAGCTAGGCCTTATTATACAAATAAAGATTTTCAAGCTATTTTAAATAGCAACTCTAGAAAAAATCTCAATAACACAGAGACAATCTTATAAATACCCAAGCCAAGTTGAAGGTAAGGTATATTAAAAAAAAGAGGCAATACCTGTTCCATAGTCATGAACAAATAAACTGAACGCAATAATTAAATCACCTTTGGATGTAACTACATCATTAATCTTCTTAAACTTAATAAACCAATCCTCCTCGAAATACATAGAGGATTAGAATGGTTACAGGCACGCACTGAAAAAGTATTGGATATGACACAATACAACTTTTAAAAGCTAGGTTAGGTTAAGCTGCTTATGGATACTCAACTACTTAGGTCACACAACTTTAGATTATGGTGCTATCAACCATAGAACAGAGGAACAGGAATTTATTACTAACGGATATAGTTTATAGAAAGAATTTTTTTAAAGTAGAAGAGCATACTTTTAATTATGAACAAAATTATATCAGAGCAATTCATGTTTGATTGATGCTATTCCAAAAAGTTGTCATTAAAAGTGAAATATCCAGAACAGGTAATAATAAGTACATCAGTAATGTATAATAAATATGAATCAGATTCACCTTCAGTACCACTATCTTCGGATGCTTCTGAATAATCTGAATCATCTTCACTTTCTTCTTCATCCCCGCTAATAGATGGCTAAAACAAAAAATATTTATTGATATAAAGTATTTTTAAACAAATAGCTAGCTATTTTAAAATACATAGTTTTACATTTTATAGCTTTGAATTTGCAGTATCAACTAATATTTGATAGTTAACAGATCATTAATAATTGAATTTCAATATGAGAAAATAAAATATAATATAGAATGTTTGTAAGCATAATAATTATACTTACTTCATAAGCATCATCTTCCTCTTCATCATCATCATCTTCGGCTTCTTCTGCATCACTTTCTGGATCAAGGAAAGTCCAGCCGCCGTGTTCGAAAAAGCCCTCAGCATCATCAGTAATTGTTTTCATAATTTTGGTCCAATTAAGAGACTGAATACCCTCTGAATACCGGATATCACATGAACTAAAAACAAAAAGATGATATAATTACCTAGTAAATAGGAAAAAGTTTCTTATATTTCACAATGACAGTTCACACCAACCAACTTCTACAATCCATACTATGGTCAACAGTAGTATCAATTTAATAACCTCCGCCATTAGGAAAATGTTCTACAAAGACTTAGTATAGTAAATTATTTAACAAAAATTAGGAGCTGTTGACCGAAATGATATTCCATAATAAGTGTTGCAAAAAAAAGCCTCGAGTTTCTACTCGAGTCGTGAAGACTCGGTTCTAGAGCCTTCAAAGTTCGAGTTTAAAGCTCATAAGAGTTCTAATCTTGATGAATTTAACTTTTAAAAAATAATTAAATCATTGCACATTTTTGTAAACAAATATATTTTTTATGTTTGTTACAACAATGTGAATATATTTCCGAAATATAAAGTGAATAAATATTATTTTTCTGTTGATATTAACAATGTGAATATATTTCTGAAATATAATATAAATAAATAGATAGGAAAAAAGAAGTAAGGTTTCATCCGTGACTCGAGCCTTGGCCGAGTGCAAAAAGTTGGAGCCTTTAAGGCTTATGCCTTAAGGGTGCCTTACACGGTCAATATTATTCAGTCAATATATTGACCGTGTAAGGTCTACATTGGCATTAATTATATTGATGTCAATAAAACTAGTTGATATCAATTTATTTTTATTTCTATTGAAGCTCCTTCAATATTAATGAAACATTGTCAATATAATGGCACGTGTAAGGGTCTATATTGAGCAATATTAAACCATATATACGGGTCCAGAGAAGCTCTGGGCGGTACCAAATTTTCGGTGCCCTTTTTGGGAATATATTGTAGTTATATTAGGTGTGTGATACTTTGTTTAACTTTTTTGGGGAGGGAGGGGGAGAGGGATTAACTCCCCTCTGAATTTTTTTAAAAAAGATAAAATGGCAATATGTTTGAGTAGATGGATATTATCCTTTTGTATACATTTTAAAGCAATTAAAAAAAAAAAAGTAAGGATCAGACTTCAAACGCCGAGCTCTTAAGACTCGAGTCTTATAGCCATCTATCTCGAGCTCTTTTACAACACTACATACAGTTTACAATGAAAGAAACCACATCTGACAGCATGTTTTATTCATATACTAAAAGCTATCGTCGACTTATTGCAGTCATTAAGAGAAATTACATAACTTTAAATCAATACCCATTTTGATAATTGTTTACCCCTTGTAAAATCAGAAATTTATGCGCTTGTAACTATGACATATAAAAGGTTTTTTATCATCGTTAAATAATATTGAAATTCACAAAACGTTCTTAAAAGTTCAGCACTAAAGTAATTATACTATATATAACTGGGATGCACAGAAAAGAACGATCAACCTAAACAATAAACTTTGTTTCAGTTAAAACTATGATTCAAGGAACCGCCAGATATAATACTACTAACAAACATTATATACAAAAGTTTACTCTATTATATAAATTTTAAAACAACTTAAAAAGTCCATTAACAAACATATGGTAAAAAACAAATAAATTCAAATCACGACTCGAGCCTTGGCCGAGTTGGGAAAGCTCAAGCCTTTTCGGCTGAAGCCTTATAGCCTTCACAACGAGCTTTTTTACAACACTATCCATAATACTAATATTGTTTTGTGTTCTTGTACCACTTGCTTATCTACTATACCACTATCTACAACTACCACTGCTGCTTAAATAATATTTTATCCAATGGCAATTCGATTTCAGTGGTTTTACAGTTGTTGTAGGGCCTTGGCCTCCACAACAATGCCTTTCTAATCCTTCCTATCAGCGGGATAACCACCTTAATTAGAATCTTTGAGATGATAAAAAGCATAAACATAAATAGTAACTATGGTTAAACATGGTTATACTTACTTCAGCCATTCTTTAACATGATCTAGAAGATTCATTGGTATGGCATTAACCATCGCTACTTTCCTATGGTAATCTTTAAAAACAAAGATCATATCAAAATTTTTGAGGTGAAACTGAACTCTCTCAAAGTGTACAAGTTCAATATCTTCTAACGTTATCACAAATGGAGGCTAAAAAAAAAAAAAGTATTGTATTAAAAAAAACAATTTTTCATTATTAAATATTTATGAATAGAGTAAATATTTGTTTAAAAGTTATATTTTCTATATTAATACTCATTACAGATGATATGTAAATAAATTAAAATGACTTATATTAAGTATTTTATCATAAAATATATCAAGAAAAAAATTAATAATTATAATACTTCAAGAGAGCAGTTTAAATTTTTGAAATATTAATTAATATCAAAATATTTACAAACATTTCCATTTAATTAAAAACTTTTTTCCCAATAGGAACATTAAACTCCAAATAAACACACACACAATAATTATAGCTATGTACACAATTTTTGTAACTAGATATTAATTTATGTATACTATTATTTGTTGTGATCAACAACCTTTTTTTTTATAGTAAATCTTCAACAATGCTCCTTCTAGTTTAATATTATTTTAAAAATAAGAAGAGATTTGAATTATATAATTTATTTAAAAAACAAAAACTTGTCTGTCTGGCATACAGCATATAGTGTTTTTTGTGGTGACTTTTCAAAGTCACTAAGTACACTTTGGATTACACTGGAGGTACGTAGTTGTTAATTTAGATCATATTTCTCAATGGAATAACTCATTAAGTGCATAAAAATAACAGAAATCCTTTAAAAAATAATACAAATCTTATTATATATATATATGTATGTATATAAAATAAGATATCATTCATATATCAATATCATTCAGTCACGAAACTGAAATGAGGCTGATGAGATGTCGGTGACACAACATAAGGTGGACATGACAAAAATAAAAATTTTTTACATGAGTAGACGCATGCAATTCGCATAAGTTGAAAAGGACAGGTGCATGATTGGTATTTTAGACTTGAAAATGGCTCAACGAGCCGAAACGTCGTAATCAGATGTGTAGTCATTAAGTTGACAAAAAATTTTGAAAATTGGTGTAAAATGGCTGAAAATAAATAAACTTGAAAATAATTAATGAGATTATAATTTAGATTATTACCCATTCAGTGAGATTAACAAGACAACCTGAGGTTGGCTGTAACAATACAGTGCTCCTGAAAGGAGCTCCTGCAAATCCTAGATCTCTGAAAGGAGTGTCAAACTCGATTTCCTGTTTTGTCATAGCTTCAACCTAAAAATAGATTAAAGGTTAATTACACATTTTGTTAAAAATTCATTCAAGATAAGCATACAATGCTCGCAAGTGGTAATAGAAAAAAGAATTGATTTTATTAAATCAAAACTGACAATTAGAATTGGCTTTTAAAAGCTTGATGTATCTCATTTAAGAAGCAATAATAACCTTTTCACAAAAACTTTTGAAAGCTGTTTTAAGTTTATGCCTCAATTCCCTTTCAGATTGCTCAGCGGCTAAATCATCTCTGTCGTGCATGTGCTGGTGTTTTCCGAGATCAGTCGTAATCTCACCGACTTCTGTATAGAACTGTACATCCAAATGCTTTTTCTTTCCAAACATAATTGCATGCTGAAAAAGAAATATGAACTATCATCTCAGGGAAAATCAAAGTTATAATTTGAGAAAACAGTGAAATAAATTTATAAAAAGTACCCTTAAGTGAAAATGCAAGAGAATTATCATTTCTCCATCACATGGTTGAAAGAAGGCATTTTTTATGTTGTTGTATAAAATATCCACTTTATCACCACGGACTGATGTATAGCGAAAACCATTCGTGTGAGCTTCCAATGATCCTGAAACAAGAACAAGTATTTCAATAAATTTTTAAATAAAACTATTTTAGCATGTTGATTTCCAACTCTGTTTACATTTAACTATTTTATCCAACATGATGATATAGTTGGAAACAATTATTTAAATATCCTAATATAGTGGTTAAAAAAAAACAACCTATTGACACTTGTTATTTTACTTCGTCACAATCCTATTCAAATGCTACTATAATATAGAAAGGACTTTCAGAAATTTGAAAAATAAACACTGTATTAACCTTGGCTGTGAAGCCATTGTAGAGCCTTTGCAGGTTAAAGAACCCAATGGCATTCAAACTGACGAAATGTTAACTGCAAACGTTTGGGAGAACAAAAAAAAAAAGGATTGAATTTGAAAATACTTTCAAGTAATATTGAATCACTAGCACTGAATGTGATACATGTATAAACTAATCTTCTTTTTTTGGGAGAGGAGGGAGGGAAGGAGGGGAGTTTCTACAGGTATAACCAACCTATTATAACAAGAGTGGGAAGGTCAAGATTCATATTGTGGCTGTGTCACTAAATTAATTTTAACCCACCTGGGGACGGGGTGTCCGAGTGGGCTAACGGATGGGCACAGCACTGTGTGTTGCCCAGCAACCTAACAACCTAAGTTATAGATAATAAAATAACTATGGGTTTGCATCTTGATACCGAGGGAGACTTTTAACTCTGACATTAATCTCCTGCCCTCACCCCATGACCTGATAGAACCATATATAATCTAAAAGGCGAGAAAGGGGAGAAAAGAAAAGAAAAAAAAAAAATGCTCACCTGGGTCAGATTTTAACGGAAGCAGTTAGCTGTAAGATCACTTATGGTTGGTACTTATGGCACTCGGCTATCATGGCCTCACATATATGGTACATTAATTACTGTATATAAACTAAGTTTGACAATAAAATGATAAATACTTAATTGTTAAATGATTTACAGCAAGTATGAAAATTATCATTTCCTAGAATAAAAATTACTAATATATTTATCCAAAATTACTTTAAAATAATGAAACTGTTTTTAAAAAGTAGATTCCCTAAAATTGGGTATTGGGTAAAGCATTGCAAGTCTTTCCGAGGAAAAATGTTTTTTTTTTTCAAGTTAATGGGCAGGTAATTTTGTGTGGGGTTATGGACAGCACTAAGTGCCATATCATGTCATAGAATGTAAATGAATAACGAACTATATTTCAGTGAGTAGGTAGGGCTGCACATGTTATCCAGTTATGGACACTTTGGGTTTAGTCGTTAAAGACAGTTTTGAGTTCATGACTCAGGGACACTTTGTACCTCCACCAATAAAAAAGTATATTTATTTACCTGTCATTCTTTTGTTGACAATATTCGGTCTTATATAAAGGTCCTTAAGTTTAGGATTTCCTTTATTTTGAGAAAGTACCAGAACATCCTGTTTGACAAGATCCTCCTTCTCTTTCTCTTCTGCTTCTCTGGATTTGAATTTCTTTTGTACTTCTTTAATGATACGGAATGCATTGTTTAAATTAGATGATGGTGCAACAGTTTCCCCAGGTTCTTTTGTATTTGTGCTCCGATATGTTCTGTAAATAATTTTATTTTATTATTTTTTAATCGAAATGCATTATAATAAAATATACAATGATGCTTAAATGTAATAATCAACTCACACTTCCTTAACATAAGTGGCATCAGGCTGAGCGAAAGCTGCACCTTCATTACGAGCCATTGTAGCTCCAGGATGAAAAAAGTTTATCCTGAGATAGGTATAATCTCCTTCTACACTCTGTGAAATGTTTTTAATGGTTGAGATATGGAAAGGAACGGGTATTCCAAATACAGGAAGTATAACAGTTTCATATTTCCTATCTGAAAAAAAAAAAAAAAATTTAAAAAGAGATATCAAACAATCCTATTAGGTATGGAAGAATTTTCTCTGATTAAAAGAAAATTTAAAAACAGAAAAGAAAATTACCAACAAAAATCTTGAGTTCTTTAACTTCAGACTCATTAGGCATTTGCGATCTACTTTTGTAGGAAACATTACTTTTTCTAACTTTTTCTTCTTGCCTTCCACTAGACTGAGCAGCGAGGCGCTTCTTTGCTGCTTCATTCAACTGAGCAGCAAGTTCTTTCTGATGCTGTTTTCTCTTTTCTTCAGTAGAAGAATCTTGCTACAAAAAGTAAATAAGAAAAAGATATATCTAAGTTATTACCTGATGGAATATATCTAAGCAAAGTCATAGCCATTTAAAGCAAAGATAAAAGAAATTAGTCAGTTTCTTTATTTTTTAACACAGAGATTTTTTTGGAATATTGTTCTTAAGGGTTTTATTAAGACTAGACTTTGTATATTCAAATTACATAGGATAGTTTAGAACAGGTTATTTCCAAGCAATTATTATTATCCTTTGCTGGCCAAATGTGGATGCTAATCTCAAGTTCCAAGGATCATCCTGGGGTAACCTGTGATTCAAATGCCAAATCTAAATTTTAAAAATTGGCCTAGTTGTCTCAGAGGAAAGCCGTAGATGACCATCAGACCGATTTTTTTATTATATAGAACATAAAACCTCAAATTCAGAGGGGGTCAATAACTTATTTTTCTTGGTCAATTAAGGTGGATAATTTTTAAAATAATAAGCCATTAATGATGTTTTATAAAAATAAATAATTTTAAGCTCCTCAATTACTTCATTCTGTGATATATATTTATTTTTATATGATGTAAATTAAACATGACATGTATTGAACTTTAATCTTATCACTATATAATTTGTGTAACAATGATCCCTCGATTATTGAGGGTATTGTAAGATACATTTTACAATAAATAAGTTAAGGTTTCAAACATTAAAAACATTTTAATATTACTTACTCTTAACTTAGAATCAAGTACAGCAGTCCTTTTACCACGCCCAAGAATAGGTTGATGAACAGGCTCATTTTCCTTTTCTTCCTCATCTTCGTCCTCCTCACCATCTTTAAGAAACACGCCAATATTCTTCATTTTTTTTCTGGCTGGTGTCAAGATTGTAGCTGGAGCCCCCTAAAAATTATAATTATGTAGGATGTTATAAATATCAAACAAAACTGAAACAAACTGTTGAAAAAATAAAAGAATAATGATACAAACTTTAAGAGGTCCACTGAATTAGCATTACTGTTACTTATTACTTTTACCAGATGTGACTAATTTTACCATACAGTAGACTCCAACTAAACCGGTTCTCTGAATTAACCAGTGGTAGCAGTAAAAGAACAAAAAAATTTTTTTAACATCCTTAAAAGCACTTATAACTTAGATTCTCAACCACTGGTTATAAATTTAATTTTTGTTGTGTTGAGGTTCAAGTATTTTAAATAGATTGAAATATAGACAAAAAGGTTTTTGCTTATTATTTTTTTACCATTGGCCAAACCTAAATAAACAAATCTATTCAAAGTAAAATTGATTCTTGAAACTAAATCCTTATCCTTCATTTATATCATAGAAAGATGAAAAATGAAATGAAGAAGAAAGAACAGTGTATTTTATACACAAGTGTGTTTATACTTAAGTTTTAGGTTTAATTTGCGTCGAAATATTTTCAGATATCACAGTGCTGCCAGGATTGCTTTAGACACAATTTCATACCATGTCAAACAACAAGAATCAGCTAGAGCGTTGGATACTCTTTTTTTGAAAAAAGTGGAGACTTTTCATTCTCTGTAATTTCATTAGTAGAAATTTTTGTAAATAGTTAAATTTGATCAGCCAAAAAATGTTATAATGTCTTGAATTAATATTTAAATAACCTTTATTGATTGAATTGTATGTTATATTTTGATTTTTATGCAATTTGGAAGTTAAAATAACATTTTTTTATACCCTCCGTATTAACCGGCTCTCCAGCTTATTCGGCAATATCTCGGTCCCGATGAGGAAGGATAAGCGAGAATCTGTTGCATTTTAAAAGATAAAATCTACAAGTACATAGCAGGTATGTCCTATTGAAGTCAACACACATAAACAGTCGACTTAGCAAAAGTAACAGATTATACCAATCGAATTCGCAATAATAATGTTAGGATATTATTAATAACTCTTTGATTTACAGATGTAAAGTATAAATAAAATTTTTAGCGAACATAAGAAATTGTTGTCATTATTAAAAAAAAAATACTCATATCAGGTTACCTCGTTAACGATCACTGTATCACCAATAAATAAAGCGTATGTCTTTCCTTCTTTCTCCTTAGCTTCATTATTAGAAAGTCCAGACAAACCTGCATTGAGGTTATAAACTTGTGTTTTTAGAGCTATGGTCTGAGTTTTTGGTCCGATTAGCAGAGAGCTCTCCCGAAATTCGATACCCATGGCAAATCTGTTAATAAAGTTACAATGAAAAGAAAAATATGACAATCATATATGAATTAGAAAATAAATAAAAGAAAGGTTTTATTGTTATTCAAAAGTAAACTTCTAATGACATTGTATAATATCACAAACTGCATGTTGTTATAATAGGAACAAAACAATGAATAAAATAAAACATTTACCCAAAATTCTTTGTGAGCTTATCTAAAAGATCAGGTTTGTGCTTTTTTGTGTAGTCGACACCTGCGTTATAAACATCACTAAGTTTAGTTCCAGCTTGTAATTTTTTCAACAACTCTTCATACATTTCTAATAAGAAATTATAATGTTCCTGTAAATAATAAAATATATATATTAAGACAGTTAAAGCAAGATGGGATGTTTAAGTTATCTTATTGGTATATAGCATAGATGGGGAACCTTATCTTTTATCATTAGAGGCTTCAGTAAGTTTAAGGCAGTGCTAATGCAGGCCCCAACAATTTGTTATACTTTAATCTTCCCATTTTTATTTTTCACTAAATATACGTATCTATATACATAATATTCAACATAATTCTATTAATTTTTTAAGCTAAATAATTAAATATTAATTAATTCATGTGCTAGATCAATAAATATTGCGCAAAATGTTTGGAGACCGCAACTAGCTCACGAAAACCATTTGCAGCCTCCGAGGCCGCAGTTCTGTACAAGTGTTATAATGAATTATCCTGACAGTAAAAGCTAATAATAATAATAAAAAAAAAAAAGGTAGCGGTATTACAAAAAGCTTTATCAGTGAATAAAATATTTATTTGAATGTTCAACATAATAATTATGGAAATGAAAGTCCTCAAGAATTTGATAAACAAATTCACAGTTAATGTTTATCAGTTAGAAAGGCCATGAATAGGCATATCGTTGAAAACAAAACAGGAAATTATAAACTGTAATGAGGCTGGTGGATTAGCAACATTTAACATTTTCGGTCTAGAACATTCCAAAATGGAATTTGATAAGAAATACACATCTTTGAGTCTATCACGATTCCTTCTACATCTTAACCCTCCATTTACAATGTATTATTAAAGTCAGGAGTGACTTCAAACCCTATTGTGTACACTTGATCAATAACCATAAATATTACAAAAATGAATATAATAATATTAATAAGTTAATATAAATTAATAAAAAACTAACAAAGAGACAGAACATAAATGTTAGGTTATAAATGGAAACATTCCAAAATAACACAGCCTATAGTCTTCCAAATTCTGGCAAAGAAAAAACCCATCAACGTTTTGCCAATTCAGGCATCAGGACAGAAAAAGAACAGCCAACCGAGCATTATTCCATGACAGCTAATCACACCATCAGAGTAAGCGATTAGCTGTCATGGAATGATGTTCAATTAGCTGTTTTTTTCTGTCCTAATGATGCCTGAATCAGCGAAATTTTGATGGTTTTTTTCTTTGCCTGCATTTTGCAAACATAAGACTGTGTTGTTTTGGAATTTTTCCAATTATAACAATATTATTAAGACTTTTTTAACAATTAATAAAATCTCGCAAAAAATTTAGAATTTTACTGACGTAGAGAATGAAGGATTTCTTTCTTTTGCTAAATAATAATAATAAGTGTTTGTAAATTTATTTATACTTCTCATAACAAAAGCTGAAAAGATTGAAATTCAAACTGAAAATAAAAGTCATACCTGTATTTTATCAGTTGGATCAACAAGGAATGTCCGGACTATATTGGAACAATAAGATTTGTATCTTGCTCCTAGGGTGCATACAATTGATCCAAAGTGTAAATTATTCTTATCACTATAAATAATAAGAAAAACAACATTAATTCAAACATGCTTAAAAATTTAACCAACAACTGTAATAATAATAACTGAAACCAAATAACTACCTGAAAGATTGAATAAATGAAATCTTACCTCACAGCACTGAACTTTAAGTTGTAATTACCACCACTCTGTATAATTGGTGGATAACACATGTCTACGTTTGAAGTATCTACATTACCAACATATTTTTTATCGGTAAGAGAACTTTCAATTCCTTCGACCAATTTGCTGTGCTTGACTTTCTGCAAAAATATTATAAAGATTAGTTCATAACTATAAATAAATAACCAACCATCATATTAAACATTTTTTATATTAAATGTCACCGCGATATTTCTGTTTAGATTGTGAAACTTAGACAAGGAAATAAAATATATAAATGGTATCTTCAAGAAATATATAAGCGCTTATACATTCAAACTTTTTATTCAACCACCGACGTTTAGAGCTGATTATCTCCCTATCAAGTCATCTACAAATAAAAATTAACAAAGATGATTTACAACAATGATCGCTCGTTATCTAGTCATATAAAAAGTGAGAACTTCTCAAAAAATTGTTCATCCATCTACTAAAATATTTTCAATATTATAATCTCATTGATATGACATATGTATATATATGTAGTACACCAAATACCAAACATGACCATATTCCTCGTCTCCATATTCCTTAAATGTTTGCGAATTTATTGATGCTTGTCATTACTACAATAAAAATTTGTGTATATGATTATTCCAGAACTTATACGATTTCTATTTTGTTTTATTTAAAATGTATGCATTCCCAAAAATTTCAAACACGGCACAAAACAATAAAATTAGAAAAACCGTAGAATCAATATATTTTACTAAAAATATAAATAATGCAGTCAATTTAAAACCTGATGTTAAAAATATAAGCCAACATCATGTTCATATATTAAATGAGATAAATTTTTAATTAGATAGGGCATTGGAAAACAATAAACATCACCAGAGCTAAATTCCATTCAATCATTTAGTTAATTCCTACTGGAACATACATCCCTAAAGAGCTGAAATGTGCAGTCAATGTTAAACAGTAGCGGAGGAGGTAGTACCATACGGGGTGAGCATACATTTCAAATATAACAAAATAGAAATCATATAAGTTTTGAATTAATCGTATACACAAATTTTTATTGTAGTAATGACAAACATCAATAAATGCGCAAACATTTAAGGAATATGGTCATGTTTGGTATTTGGTGTACTACAAATAGTTGTTCAATGAAATTATAATATTGGAAACATTTTAGTAGATAAACAATTTTTTGGTAAGTTCTCACTTTTTATATGACTAGATAATGAGCGATCATTGTTGTAAATTATTTTTGTTAATTGTTATTTGCAGATGACTTGACAATGAGCTAATCAGCTCGAAACGTCGTTGGAATTAGAATAAAAAATTTGAAAGTATAAGGGCTTATATATTCCTTGAAGACATGATGTATAAGAACATTGTGTGTCCTTAAAAAGTACAACTACAGAAGCTAAATATATATTATTTTTATTTGGTTAGGGCTAAAAATCATATAAATATTTGGACAAGCAATGCGGTCTTCTTACAGACATATTTAACTTGTAGGAGCACAGATAGCCTAGAGGGAGTCATCTAAACTAACATGGCTACGAACCATGGTCTCCATGGTGCAGCGGAAGGCTACTGGTAACTCAATAGGCAATCACATTAGGGCCAATCAGCCAGTTTGGACCGACTCAATCTGGTTAAAACTCACTGACATTTTGTACAGATGCACAGATTAGTGTTGCTCAGTCAGCAGGCATATGAGGATTTTTAATTATTGGCAATGGAATCCACCAACCAGGATACAAACCAACAACTTTTAGTCTGTAGGCTAGAGCATTTTTGTATGCACTTAAACATGCTTGGCATCCATGGTCTCTTAATATTTTGTTAAATATTTCTGTAGATTAAGAAGGCAATTTTAAGAGTTGATAAGGGCTAAGAGGAGCTCACACAATAGAAAACTCCACTTAATCAAATATTAGGAATGTATAATAAATAGACTGAATAGATGAAACAATCTTCTTACATTGGTAATATTCAACTGATGGCAAAAGTTGTAACATTTTTTTTTCATTGGTCTTTTTGTCGCATAAATTTACTATTAATTTTAACATAGCTACACAAATATGACAAGTTAAGAAACCACAAGACAACTCATTACTCATCAAGATTAATTCATATGTAAGAACATTGGTTTATGACATAATTGGCGGTCGACATGTTTAACAACAGCACCACAGATAATGAAAAGCCAATTCTTGCCAGCCAATAAATTATTCAATTTATATTTTACTGGTATATTAATAAATATAATGTATTCTATATTATAAAAAAAATAAAAATGCTAGGAAAGTATTCTGAAATCTATTATTATACCTTATCAGAGTCAATAATATCCATTATTTGTTCTTTTAAATATTTTGAGAAAACATCTACTGTTACTTGACTCGCTTTGCGCACTAAACTTAGTTCCGATTCTTCTTTTACAGACAATATTAGTCCAACAGCACTGCTTACATCAACCTGAAAGATTCATTTTTAAGAAAAAAAAAAAAAAAAAAATTATATATATATATATATATATATATATATATATATATATATATACATATATAGTGCATATGGGTAATTTTCAAACTAAGGGCCAATATAAAGCCACAAGGAAATTTCTGGTAAACCAGTCATTATATCTTCTATAAATTTAGTCTAATGATTAAAGCGGAGGCTTAAATACAAGAACCTAATGTTGAACCCGGTATAAATCGGGCATACATATTTCTGGAAACACAGTTTCGACTGTATCCTTTCATGTTATTATCTTAGTCTTTCTGTTTATGACATGAATGGGCAGAAATTAAATAAAAGCTTGAAATTAGTTGATTGGGGATTGCAGAGGGGGTCAGGAAACGAGGTACAAAAAACATATGTATTACTTACCATGCTAACAAATTAAAAAAGAAAAATTTATTTGGTAAATGGTGACAGAATATTAAGCTATTTCTATATATTCCGGGATATACTGGAGGGTAAAGGCAGCCCTTCTTGTCAGATATGTTTCAGATTCCAGGAAATTATAGTTGGCTGAGTGAAAGCAATGGATGTTGACTGGTTCTTTTCAGATGTGTATAATTGGAGTTGTAATCTCTGTATTCACTTTAAACTGTATTGTTCTTCATTTGTAGGCATTCTATTTATAACATCAGTTTTACTGAATTATACCTTCTTTCAACAGAAGCCATACTAATTACATTTTCTATATAGCAATTACTATTTGAACAGGATTGAAGATGAGAAGTCGTTCATTTTAATTTTGATATAGAGTAATTTATGTAATATTAAAAAAGCTTATTAGTTTTTCAATAAATAAATATTTATATTTAAAGTTTCTGACACTGAAATTTCTTAGTTTCTTAATTATAAATAATAAGAATTCTTTTTAACAGAACTTTTAGTGGGAACAGAAATATAATTACCGTAATATAATTAATTATAACTAGAAGGCCCATGCAAAAAATTCGCACAGCATATTGTAAAGTGATCAAATGCCAAATTAATAAGAAAAGAAAATAATGTAAAATAATAAAGTAGCAGCATTTCTCTATCAAAAGATAAAGAAATCAATTGTTACTTTGCCGATAAATATAAGGGAAAAGTGTGTAATTTTTTAGTTATTCACAAATAAAGTTTGTTTTCTTTCATAACTTGTTTGCCTGAATTTTCTGAGTAATTGGACTATTTTGCCCATCTGAAGGAGAAGGAAGCATTCGAAATTGGTGGCTCAATCCTGAGATTTGGTGAAGAATTGACGATGATATGGCTTGCCGATCAAAAACACCATCGATAAATAATATAAACTCCTCCTCCATCGATCATAGAGGCCTCAAGTCGATGAAATGAGACATGTATGCAATAGCAGTACTACAATTAACATAAGGTTGTGTGGATGAGAACTCTATGCCTTGCGTTATCTCAAAAATAGTATGTCTTTGGGCTTAAAAATGCAGGATCCTATACGCATCTTACTGTACGGATCAAAATCTTCAAGGTCTAATTTGTCCCGTATCGATCTACAGACCTACCACTGTTCCAATATAGAAGCCTAGAAAAATGTTTGTATTGACTTTATTTATTTTAGAAAGAAAAAAAAAGTGGAGAATACGATTCGCTACCCCCGGTGCAATCCTGAATCCAACGATACCCCACCCATTCATGGTATATGTGCATGACAGGAGCTTATATATGGTACGAAACCGATTTCGAGCCTTACTGTAATAATAAATGTGGGGATTACCATGGATTTATTTATTTTTTTTAATTAAATTTTTTTATGGCCACAAAAATGACTAATCTTAGCAAGCCTTCTTCTTTCTCTTGTTTCTGTTGCCTCTCAGCATAGAGCACAAATCTCGATCCTCTTCAGTCACTTACTCCAACTTTGTTTTAAAAACCACTAGTTTGATGACTTTTGCCAATAGTTTTCACTAATCTGACAGAAGATGCCATTTCCTTCATTAACCTTAATTTAGATTTCTTCGTCTTTTTAAGCCATATTTTCAAATAGCTTCTTCAAATTAACACAATTTTTTTTAGAATTTTAGTACAAAATTGAAAATTCAAAATGTAGCCAGCCAATTGGCCTGTAGTTGGATAATTACCCACATATTAATATAATATTTAAAAAATAAATACAATAATATATTTACAGTCTGAAAGTTTTCACTTTTAACCGTTTTCTTCCATGCTTCCACAAAAGGACCAGAAAAGTTGTCTTTTGCAAAGACTCCCAATGTTTTACCATCCTTGCTTCCTTTAATGGCTTCAATAAGTTTTTTAAAGTTTCCTGAGTCATCATTCTGGAAAAAAAAATTAATTATATCATTTTTAAAAATTACAGAAGTAGGTTATGAACTTCTCTAGCAAAATTGTTCGACCCATGTTGTCCAATACAAGCCTCACGTTAATAATACAAGTAAAAACAAAAGTTCTAACAGTTTAAGTCAGCAAATACAAAATATTCATCAATACCCAATTAAAAAAATAAATTATAACATTTGATTATTCATTAAAAATCTTACCCTGTCACGAACATGAAGTTTCACTGAAGGATAACCATTTTCTTCTTTAGAATCTTCTATTTGTCTCAAAAAATCAATTTTCTTCTTAGAAGCCAGAAAATGAATCCCATCAACAGCAAGAATCATAATAGTATCCATGAGTTCGTAACCTAGAAGCCATGTCTATAAAATAAAGAAAAAGTAGTTAGATATCTTTAAAAAAAAATAACAGGTAACAAAATAACTGAACATAGCTAGAAAGTTTTAACCCAAAACCTTAACAAAAACTATCCAGACCAATAGTCTTGATGCAAACATATTGTCCATATATTACAAAATCTATTTTACTATCAACGTAAAAACAAAATAAGTGCACCACAATGGCACAAAGTGCAGAATATTCTGAATTCATATAGAAATTTATTAGAAAAAATTCATCGAAGTATTGAGCGATTTTATTCTATTAAATGTTACTAAATGACTTCACAAAATTAACTGATATTACTGTTTTTTCCCATTCTTACATTAAACAGAATAGCAAGAGTAAGTATCACATTTTAATCTTATTCACTTAATTCATTGAGTTTGCAATAATCTACAAAAAATATATATATAACTGAAAATACCTTAAACAAGCGACCCAATATGTATGTAATGTTATTTGGCCTTAATGCCCAAAAAGAGTACTCATCGCAGGTGAAGGTTTGAATGTAAATTATAAAAGTGTGTTATCTTAAGTAAAATGAACCTAGTCTGCCATTCCAGGGGCTTACAAGAATAGTTGTGGATATAAAGAATATTATGCCAGTTACTTGAGGATCAAAGCAGGAAATGTGTTACGAAAAATGAGAGAAAAGTTTTATTTGTTTAACTTGTATATTTTGGTTCAAACATGTAAAAAACAGAATTGCTGACGTGGGTCGCCAAGAGAAAACGTTCTGCGATAAAAAAAGCCAAGTTTTTCCACCTTTTATGTTTCTTCACATATAACTCCTCAACGGAGCATCGTTATGGTCAAAAACTACAGTCAATGAATGCTGATTTTTATCAAATTTGTTGAAAACTGAGACAAATGGCCTTGTAGCTTGGAAATGAGTTCTCTAAGAACTGATATAAAAAAAATTCATAAATTAAAAGTTGTAGAGCATCAAATTACGCATTAACTGAGTATCAACATTTTTAATACAGGTTACTTACTCCACTTGAAATCGTTAATCTCTAGATGGTTAATAATTGGTAATAAAGGTAAATGTGATTTTCAATATTTCAATAATATGGAAGTTTACTGAATTATTCTTGTTTAGAATCTACTGTACGCAGTATGCGTCTGTTCCTTCCATGAAGAAATGACAATCCCCAATTCAAGAGATACAATTGACTAACATTAATAAATAAAAACTTTTCCCACATTTTTCACAATATATTTCCTGTTTCGACCCTCAAATTACAGACCTAATATTTTTTAAATCAGCCTTCATTTTTGAAAGTAGCGGCTCTGGAATGGCAGACAATATTCAATTTACTTAGAATAACATAATTTAAATTAAAATCTTTTCCTGTGTATACCCCTTTAATGCACTGGCTCCATGGCTATTAATAATGATCCTAGGGGATTTTGTAGCCAGATCTTGTAGATTTGGGTTTTGTTGTTATGTGGGTTAAACATTATTATATCCTTCAACTGGAGCAAGAAGGATGGATTATCCTAACAAGGTAAGTAACCTATTTTAGCCAAATTGGAGAGATCAATATTCATTCTGAGGGTCAGGCACAAAATAAATTTCAACTTCCGAGGCCTGATTCAAACAGAGACCAGTTGATTTAAGGTAGCCATGCTTACACCTATTAGCTTTGTGAAGGAGTATAGTGATGAAAAGAGTATAGGCAGATTTTTTAAATAAATATATGAGTTTATATATATGAACTCTCCTATAATAGAACAAATATAATGTTATATGGAATCTCAGTTTTAATGACTGTGTTTCAGTTTATTTGTGTTAATTATAAGAGTGACACAGAGTAAGTTTACATAATCAAAATACAATGAGATGAAGCACTAAATGATGCTGAAAAGTTAAATGCTTGATTGAATTATATTTTAAAGGACAGAAGTTCTCTAATAAAAATATCTCATCCAAAGCAAAATCTAACAAAATAAAACATAAGTTTAAAATTATATAAACATTAAATTTTATAATGATGTAGAGATGCGTTGACCGTTGATATAATATGAGAAGGAGTTAATCGGGGGTGGGGTCAAATAAACACTAAATTAAACAAATAATTACTATTTGTTTAATTTAGTATTTATTTGACCGTACCCCCCGATTAACTCCTTCTCATATTAAATTTTATACATTTGCCCACAATTTAAGCTAAAATCCCCTACTAAGCAGGTTGACAACCTCTACGGGCTACAGGATTAATTACATTTTGATCAAATTTAGTAAGTGTTTAATTCATATTACAGGAAATAAAGATAAGTAAGACATGAGTAAATCTCAAAACATAAAATCAAAAAGATTTTTATTGACTTAAGTTAACCAATAAGAGTAGTAGTAAAATCAAATTTCAAAGAAGAAAATTCTATATAGTTATTTAATTTTGCTATATATGCCCAGACAATATCATGTAACTTGATACTTCTTAATACAATTTATAGGATGTTTTTAATTTCTTTAATTACACTGGCTGTCCTCACATTGCAAACAAGTATATTACACAAATGCTCATAATTATATACATGTTATAACAAGTAATGTACACAAATAAATAAGATAGAACAGCTGACGTTTCAAAATAATGAATGAACATGGAAAATGGAGACTAACTTAATTTTGTAGCAAGCCAAATTTTCTGAATAACCAATATAATATTGTAATAGAAAATTTCCAACAATAAATGATATATAAAAATGAATATCATAGTAAGATAACCTAAAAAAATTAAATATCAATATACTTCTAAGCTGAAATTGTAACAGAAGGGAATAAATTAAGTTTAGACTATAAATCTATTACACAAAAACTTGTGGTTAGTTATTTAAAAGTTCTTACATATTCAATTTTCACATTTAAGAATTAAAAATCACATCCTCTAACATTTATTAATTTTATAATAGGATAAAATTTATCGATCAATAATAATAAATAACAAACAATAATACCAATGATATATAAATGGCATTAACAATCGTACTTAATAATTTATCATGCAATATCACGACAAAACATTAACGATTCAGAATAATTTTAACAAATGTACAGGTTATCAAGAAATTGATGTCAAGAATACTGCACATAACTGTTCAGAAACATGATAAGTTAATATGCATATCTATAGTGGTAACATTCTATCATAATAATTGATATCAAGAATAAGTGTGAAGTACATTTTCTGTATAAATTACTCTTCGAAACTATACATAGTTATTCATATGAAATAATTAATGATCATCGATTTCAAATAAACTTGTTTTCATTAACTTCAGCTCATAGCACATTTAAAACTTGAATTACAAAATGTCAACATGCAGATAATGAAGGTAAATATAATCCTGAATAATTAAGTACCTGCAGAGCTGTTGATTTACTGTAAACTACATCATCATCTGCACCAGTAGCAGTCACTAAGGCATCAATTTTGGGAAATTCATCTTTATCACCATTCTAAATGATAACAAAAAAACATTACTATTTTCCACTTCATAAATGAATAATAGAAATATATGTGTCTACAAAAAATTGTGCAACCCAAAATTAGGAACTTATTAAACGAAAAACGTATATGAGAACATATAATATTAACCTTCAACGCTTTATATAAACGGCTCATTCGCCGGTTGAAAGCATCTTTGTCGAGCACTAAATTGGCCATTTTATAAATCTTATTATAACTAAAACACAAGAATTCACATCTATATACACTACAAGAATATACAGGAACACAAAGAAAACCTCAACGTTCCCTCATCGGAAAGGCTTCATATGAACAACTCTTTTTATCCCACCACTCAAGCACGCAGATGTAAATATGGCGGGAATTCAAGAAGCTCTTTGTTGCAGATTAAGTTACTTGTGGTCAGTAAATGGCAGCTGTTCAAGTGTCATCTGGGTATTAGGGTTATAAAATTTATTTTCTTTTTACTGGTGAGATAATATTTTTGCTTTGTGAAGCAATGTCGTCACTCGTTAGGTCCAAACTTTTCAGCAACCTGAGAAATGTGCCTTTGGTTCTAAAACCATTACATATTAGATGTATATCTACTTCAAAGAAAAATAGAGATCCTGCCACAGTGGCCAGTGGAGTACCCTCTAATACAGAATGTGATAAACCTAAAAATTGGATTAGTTATGGTTTCTCAGAGAGTGATATTGAGGAAGATAGACATGTACTTCATATGACAATGTTCATTGGTGTGACAGTGCTCATGGTATTTGGAGGATTCCTACTAGCTTATAGACCTCAGCCTTTAGGAAGAGATTGGGCTCAGAGAGAAGCTTTCTTAGAGCTTAGGAGAAGAGAAAAGAATGGATTACCATTGATAGATCCTAATTATTTGCCAGCAGATAAAATCATACTGCCAACAGATGAGGAACTGGGGGATACTGATATCGTAATTTAAATCGACTAGTTTACAGTGTACATATCTATACTATTGCCTGTTTGTAGACAAGGTAATTTGTAAATAAAAGTTCTAAACTGCCAACTAAGTTATTTGATTTTGCTTTGATAGGTGGAAATAAAAAAGTGATATTATAAAAGTCTTCTTAAGTACAAATCCCAATTTATTAGTGTAGCTACTAATTATAATTTTAATTTCTAAGTAATTAACTGAAAATGTAGTGACAGTATCAACTTAACAAATTTTGATTCTTATTATTTCATTTCAGGTTTAATTGTTCATTTACTGCAATTTCCGAACTTAGTACGCACAACCTATCGCATTAATCTATTTGATAAGAAAATGTAATACTCGTTGCTGGGTTTTTTTTTAATATTAGCCATGAATTGATAAGACTACAACTTAACCATTATAGTTAGTTCTTAGAGAGATTTATTTTCAGGGGTTAAGTTAAATATCGTTTTAATAATGTCAAATATTATTTTTGAGAACCATTAAATTAGTCATACTATATTTACTTTGGTATAACCGAGTGTTAAATTTGTTTGGTTTAAAAAATAAAAATTTATTAAATTACAGTTCTTTTCATTATTTCCCATAGTAAATGAAAGACTACTAATTGAGTTGTGAATATGTTATTTTCGTTATTCGTTATACTGTTGAATACCTATCTATTATAAATTATTTCTTAATCGCTGTGATCTCAAAATCCATTGCTAATGTACCAGCAAAGTAGTTAGAAACTGAGATTTATTGAGATGGTGGTTAATAAATAAGTATCAATTAGTTGATAAAAACTTCAATTTTATTTTAATTATTTGTATCTGCCCTCATAAAACAACGTTAAAGCATCAATTTGTTATATTCAATGCTAAGTTTAAACATGACTACAGAATTTTATTTATTTTTTACTGCTCTTAGAACTGAATTGTGATTCAAACTTATACTTTGAAAAGAATATCTAGTAAATTCCACTGATCTGCAGATATTTGGAAAACTGTTCTACAAGGAGAGCAATCGTGATTTTTCTAAGATTCAGTCTTCATCTGCCTTTGATACTACAAATGTCCTTAATTATTATTTTTCTTAGCATCTCTTAGAGACACTTGAACAGCCAACCTCAACTTTCTGAGCCTGATGTGTTCTGTAAACTTGGTGGAAGAAGTATATAAAGATAGGGTAAGCCTCTAGGAAAAGTAGAGCCAAAAATGAGGGGATTTATGGGCCATGTCATGTAAGAAGGAGGGCTCTTTCCTGCACTTATTTTTCATCTGTTTACAGGTTTGATAGGTTCACACAAAGCTTTAAATTATCAATCAATTTTTTGTAACCGTTACTAGTTGTCTATCACTGTTTTTGTTTTAAACATTATTTTTACATGCAACCTTTTTTGTTTGATACATATGAATTAAGTGTATTTTTTTCTAATTTAAACTCAAGTAAGAGTGTTTGATGTATGGAAGTTCAAAGTATATTCATTGGCCCAACTATATTTACATCAGACTTTAAATTTTTTCCTAAAAAGAAATAAATGTTTCGCTGAACTGAAAAAAAACAAAACATTAAATGTAAAATTTAGTTTATTAAATTTTACATTCACTCTCTGCTTTTGTTAATAATTAATATGTCTTGAGATTTTTGCTATTTACATCAAAATGTGTTAGTTTGAAAAGGACAGAAATTTAGGTTTGTTAAGAAAGGCCTAGTGGTTTTTTATTGTTTATGAACCAAGTTTTTGAAAATTGCATTTACTACATTTTATATTTTGTTCATACTAGCGATTAAATTTACAAATAATTAGATCTAAAGGGACAAAATCCTATTTATCTGGGTATAATGTGATAAAAGGGGTTTGATCAACTTCCCACATATTACCTAAACATCATCATTGAGGGAGAGTATGATGTGTAAAAAAAAATTATTTGTTACAAAAGATCGTAAATAAAAAAAAAAATTCGGCTATCTGGAGGAGACATGTACTGGTACTCCCATCCTCTAAGTACCAACTGATACTTCTGCCCAAGTGGACCTTAACGTATAACTTGATCTTAACGTCTTTACTAACTCATTACTGTTAGTATTTATATGTTTATGATTATAAAGCAGGGGGTTTCATGGAAGAAGGGATTATGTGCCATCCATCTGGTAGAGGGGGGAGGATGGGCATTACTGATGGAGGATTTCTTATCTTAACTGAGGAATAAGATGAATATTAGAAGTAGCTAAAATATATAGGTCCATTAAATTAGACTGTGAGGGAGATTAGGAGAATTATTATTTACACCAATGATGCCTACCTGAAATATATAATTCCAGTATCATATATGACATAGTTTTTGGTTTAGGTTCTTCACATTTACAGCTATAGACCATTTTGGAAACATTTATTTAGGCACAGGGGACTTTACATATATTTCCATTGAAAACTCAGATTCAAAATTTTTCACTATCATAATACTTTTCCTTTCTGTGTATTTCATATATAGAAAAAACTGTACAACTGTTTGCAAGGCTTGCAAAAACAATTAAATTTCATTCTGGCTGAACACAAACACAAAACAAAATAAAAATTTAATTGAGTGGATACTTGGCAATTAGTTAACAATTCTTGACTTTTTTCTGTCCTCGTCTTTACAGCCATTGCCAGGGTCAGGAGATTAATATCAGAGTTAAAAGCCCCTTCAGCACCGGGATGCGAACTTGTAATTATTTTACCCAATTAATCTTCCATCCGGTTGCTGAACAACATATGGTGCTCTCTACAAGAGTTAGCCTGCTTGGCCACCACGCCTCTCAACTATTCTTGACTTATTGGATCAGAATTACGAGGACTTATTAGACATAGATAAGCAAACATCTTACCAATCCAGACAATATGATCTAAAATGGTTCAATGGATTGCCTATTCTCTCATTATGTATCTAATAGAACAATTAAAATTACTTAAAAATAGTTTATTCAAATGATTTTATCATGCAAAAATATTAATATATAAAATAAAACAGATATTCCAACAAACTTTCCTCACATCCTTTTTATACCAACCCCAAATGATATATCGAATGAAGATAGTTGAGATACCTCTGCTCAGTAAGTAAGTGAGGTCCATCCAGAATTTCTGAACATAATGTATGACCAGCAAACAATACGTCTGGTCAAAATAAAAGGTATATCAAAGTACGTAGGAAGTAAATGAATGCCATGTAAATATTGTAATACCGCATCAGTATATAAAAATAACATATTCTATAAAATATATCTCAAATAACGGAAGATGGGACTACATAATAAAAATACATATATTACATGAGTTTTTTTTGTATTTTTTTTTCTTTTACAATAAATTTATAATGCCTTTTTTTCAACTAAAATATATAAATAAATAAACATATATTATTTTTAAACTATATAATTTTCATGAAACACAATAAAACAAAAGTCAATCACTTTCACCATCAGTTTTTTAAATAACCTAAATGACATTGGCTCCTACAAATAACCAAGAATAATTTCTAAAAACATATATATAAAACAATTTTATAAAAGAAAACTTACTTTAAAAGTATGCATAAGAATTTTATTAGCAATGGTTATATGTTAATAAGTAAAATAATGTATTCATTTAATTTATTTATATAAAAACAAAATTTAACTTGAAAAATTAAAAATAAATAAATACAGTTCCTTAATATTAGTGAGTAGCAGCAATAGTAGTGTTGGCCTGCTGTTCATTTTGTATAGCTTCAATTGTATTGAAGGGCAATGTTGCACTCACAGTGATTGGTGGCATTCCTGGAAGAGATATAGGGGTAGTCACAGCTTTTCCAGCAAAGGATGAATCAATAATACCTGAAAAACAATATATGTATATCACTGTTGGATAAAGCTATTCAGATGGTATTACAAGTTATCAGTTTTATGGTTAATATTAATAATACAAGAAACAAAAACTTTTTAATTATTATTAGGAGTTGGTCAGGGAGAGTGCGTTCAAATAAATACTAAATTTTTAAAATAGCATTTTAATTGTTACGCCGATGTTTCGACCCACTTTGTAGGTCTTCATCAGGGCGTGGTATAAGGCACTACAGGCAGCAGTTGATAATAGACTACTGGCAGTCAAAACAGGTCTAGTCAGTAGACCTGACTAATTGTCAAGTAGTTTTTAATTATTAGGTTTGCTTCAATAAACTTCATTCTAATGTGCAACTAAAATTTTAATAATCTTTTTAAATTTTCTAGAAGAAATAATCATATAAAATAATATGATATCCAAGTTTTTATAAATCATCTCCAACCATTACTGTTAAATGTGCCAATACTATCAAATTTATATCATACCATATGACAATTTTTTTTTTTTTTGTATGGAGGTTTAACTAAACTACAACTTACAAACCTGACTACCTGACTATTGCTGTATTAAATTATATTTCATGATGAAAGATCTTGAAATAATCATAGAAAGATAAATTTAACAATGTGAGAAATGAGCTTAGACTGATTTAGAACTGAAAATGGAGAGGAGTGTTTAAAGGATAATGAATGGATTAAAATAGAAAAGATAACTCATATCTCTATAATCAGTACATTAATAAATTTAAAATACTTTTCGTACAAGTTGTATAGTATATATATATATATCACTAATAAATAAAAATTCCATTTTGTATTTACTTACTTGAAGGCACAGGAACATTTTGTGGAATGGACGGCATGACTGTTGCTATATTACTTTGAGGAGGCTGTGGAAAGAGATGCTGGGTGGTACCAATTTCTGAAGCCGCTGGAGGTCTCCACGATTCCTGTAAACATACAAAGAATAATCGAACTAATAACAGAACACTAAGACTTCGCATATCTTTTAAAACTACCTAATTAAAAACTTAACTTTTATACCTATAAACATAGTTTACTCAAGATATTGACAATCCACCTATAAAATGATTTTTAATTAGTATTCTTGTATAAGACAGCAACTAAACTGAAATATTAGTGTTTTTTTTATAATTACTATGTATTAAAATAAATTGACTTTTAAAACTGAAATATAAAAAATATCGTGGACAGTCAACGTGAAAATTACAAATACAAAATGAAGAAAGTATGTCTTAAATTTCATCAGCATGTGAAGGGGTGGAGGTAAAACTGTTATATGGTTTATTAAATGGTGGTAACTATTATTTTAAATCATCAGCACTAACACGTCCAAGCACTAGTTGAAATTTGAAGTTTTGTGCATCCCTAATACAAAAAAATAAAAGATGCAAATTATTTCACAATGGTTTATTATTTGCAAACAATTATACATATAAAGTAACATTATCTTCCTAGTAATAAAGAACAATAAATAAAAGGTGATTCCTATTATTGACATAAATTTTTTTTTTTCATCTTTAGTAATTTGCTAAAAAAAATTGAATGGCTTCAGTAACACTTTCAAAAACTAAAACAAAGGATGTTTATCACCTTTGCAGTAGAAAATATAAAAAAATATCTAGATACCATATCTATGCTCCAGATTGTCCGATTTTAATGATCTTTTTTTTCCAGGAAATTTCGGAAACTTTTAAACAACCATAATATCAACAAAATAGTATATACTTTTTGAGATATTCGGAAATCTAATTTTAGCAGCCCTCATCACTTTTTTCCAGTTTATTTTGGTTGAAGTATATTATATAGATAAATTTAAAAGGCATCGAGAAGAAGATTTTAGCCAAGTTTCATTGAAATCAGTACATTTCTTTAGGCATCTATAGCAACACAGGTTGTTCAGCCGCCATCTTGAAAATAAAGAGCGGATAGCAATGTCCATATAGGAAGATTATCCTTGAGTGACCTCTGACTTTAAATCAAAATTTGAAAAAAAATCGGTCCAGTAGTCTCGAAGAAAATGCGTGTACGGTGGGCGGACAAAAATTTTTTCATTTTATTTTCGAATTTTAAGTATCCTAAAACGTAAAACCTAAAATTTTTAGGGGGAGGGTAAGTTTTTGAATTTTTCGGACAATTACAATGATTCACTATTGAGAATAATAAACCAAAATCAAGTGACAAATTCAATTCTTGCTTCAAAGTCCATTAAAGTTGATAAAACCAAACAAACTATCTGATCATGATTGTAATAAAGATACAAGATCACTACACTTAAAAATTAATAAATTAAATTAAATGAAGAAAATTCTTGTAAATATAGAAAAATAATCAAAATAGTTTCTTAGAAAAGGGATATGTTTTGAACTACCTGGATTACAGTTGTTGGAGGATATTCAGGAAGATATGATCCAGGTGCGTACTGATTATCTGGGTACTGCGACCCCTGGTAAGGATTTACGCTGACTCCTGCGGGATAATGCCCAGGGTGTGATTGGTAAACGCTACTTGCATAAGGGTTTTGCGTACCTGTAAAATACAAAAGTATTTTAATTTTGTGATATACAATGATACTTAACTTCTAATTAATAACCAAGTAAGTAAGGGCCATAAGGAGAAGGTTAGAGCAAACGGGAAGATGAGAGAGGGATAAGTATTTTTTTTATTTTATTTTTTCTTTATCCTTCCATTCACTTGCTAATTCATCCCTCCATACTTTTTAATTCATTCTTTTATATTGCATATTTCCTTATTATATTAATTTTTTCCTATCTATAATTATTGTTACGAATTTTCATTTACTTTATTTTATGTTCTAGTACTTATTTATACTTCTTTTACTCTGTTATTAGACTGGTTTTAATGTTTTTAATATTTTTATATACTTTCTATTCACACTGTTAATAATTTTTCATTTTAGTATAATGTAACTCCCACAATACTCTATATCCTTTTGTATTATGTTTGTTCTAGCCCTGAAGAAGACCTGCACTGTTGGGTCGGAACGTCAGCTTGAAATAAAAGTTTTTTCGCTATTTTAGTCTGTTTATGACCGCCAACCCGGACCATCTCCTTCCACGATCACTAAGGCTGTTGAAAGAGGGGGGCGGGGTGACCGAATGGGCTGAAGCAGTAGCATGGCAACCGGATAACAGATTTGAGAAGATTAAAAAGTATGAGTTCGCATCCCAGTGCCGGAGGGGATTTTAAATTCACCCCCCTTCCCCCTCCTCCCCGGCCCGGAAAATTCCCTTGCGACCATCCAATTCCTTTATCTTTAAGAATATTTTTGAGATTAACTTCCCAAGTGATTCTTGGTCTTCCTCTAGGTCATTTTCCCATTTAGCTTCCATAATTTTCTTTGCTGGACGGCGGTTATCCAACCTCAATACATGACCGAACCATTGAAGCGGCCCTTTCTCTATTATCTGGTTGAGGGGTTCAATTTTTAGTCTAGTCTGTATCGCTGTGTTACGTATTCAGTTTCTCTTGGTCTTTCTCTCTATTTTCCTCAGATGCCTCATTTCCATGCTTTGGAGGTGGCTGTGATCACAATGCTTCAGGGCCCAGGATTCGCTCTTCAAGGTATACACAGACCTTAAATATGAAATTACACTTTCATATGACTTTTCGACTTGGTTATTTGGACTCAGGAGACCTCAAAACATGTATTTCTGTTGAAAACTCAGATTCAAAAATGTTCAATACTTACCCATACTATATATTGCATATATATAAGTGAAAGTAAAAAAAAGTTATATTAACAGTATCTATGTTAGACACAAAATTTTCTTAGGTAATCCTGTAAAATACTATAGGAAAATGTTAAAAATTAGGAATTTCAAATCTTGATTGTTTAGTAATTTATGATTAAAATTATTAGCCACAATATGCACACATATTGTCGTTTTGAGATTTGATCAACACTTTTTTTAAAAAAAATATATATAATATAAGTAAAGAAGAAAATGGTAATAAGATTATAAGTATAAATTACCACTTGTGTACTGCGGAGCTTGGTAATCACTTCCCATAACCTGCGTAGGTGTTGTATATTGAGAAGTAGTAAATACAGGTGGCTGAGAAGGATGCGTATATTGAGGTACAGTTGTAGTTCCGCCAACTAAGGCTGGATGTGGCGTTTGAATTGAAAGTCCAGTCATACCAGCACTTAAATCCCTATTAACGTCTGCACCAGGAGCACTCTGCAATCAATCCAAATTTCTAAATAAAAAACAGCATTACCATTCATCTTTGAGAGTTCAACTAATTAATCTCTATATTTAATTCACCAAGGTCTACTAACTTAATTAATTAGTAAATAAATACAAAATAAATGTATATCAGATACATATTAAGTACAATCTAAGTTCTAAAATTGATTAAAAATAAGAATTATGAATTCTATGTTTTATTTAAGTTTAAAGCTTACATAAATATTGTACTTTTACATTATATATCTATTTTGTATGTTAGTACATATATGTTTTTTCTCATGTATGCTATGTTTAGAACTCTAAAATATTACACCAAATACCTAACCTAACAAATATGGTGCAAAAACCCAGTTGGTAGGTCTCATTAATAAACCACCCAATTCAGCCTGGTTCTGTGTGATCACCTACCAGGATCTAATTTCAATGGTTCTTAAAGTATCTGCTGCCACACTATAGGTCCACCTAAGCCTGGAACTTCTAGGATTTTGGGATTCAATGCTTTCCTCAGGATCTCTAGCTCATCCATTCTGCATATATGGACAAGTCTCCTTAACTTTGATTATACCCAGTTCACTATAAATATGGTAAAACTCTATGTCATTCCTTAACCTCCCATCAATCTAAATCCCTGACAGGACCAACAAAATGATGTAAATTTTTTTCTTTTGATGATTGTTAGATCCCATTTGTTATGTTTGGAGATAGTCGAAGTTACCTTTAGCAGCATAGGATAACAGTTCATGTCACCAGGAACAAAACAAGGTGAGGGGACACTTCTCTAAAAACTCATCAAATTTTTAATAGTATAATTATAATTACAGGATCAAATATGATAGTAAATTGAGTATCTGCAATAATTTATATTAATGCTAAAGAAATCTGAATATTTTTTTTCTCCAATATTTGACATATCACTGAGTATCTAAATCGAAAAATTAATCCTAACATTAAACATATCTTGTAATTCATAAGCTGAAAATTGATGGCACAAAGTTAATTTTGAAATTTAATATCACACTTTGCATACGACAAAGTAAAATTAAAATAATTATTTATTTAAATGAATAATTATCTTACAACATATTTCTAAGAGAAAAAGTGAAATTCTGCACTTTTGTGAAAACAAGCTAACCATAAAAACTTTTTAATAACTGAAAACATTATTTTAAAGTAAAATTGGCAGGTAAGGGGAAAAAGATAGGAAAACTTGAAGCTTATGTAAGTTTAACTTTAATCCTGTTAAGATAAATTTATGGGCATATTAAACATATTCCTTGAAAATAACTGCAAGACATGAGAATTATTTTGTATTTTAAGGAGTTAATAACCTCAAAATATGAGTTAATTTGTATTGTCATTTGAGAAGCTATTCATTGATATAGCCTGTTTTTGATGTTTTTAGACAAAGAAATTTAAATAAATATTATATTTAATATTGTTTACCAGTGATTAAAACTGACCTTGGAGAAAGCCCCCAACCTCAAAGAATTATTTCAAAAACTGAAATATTTTCGAGTGAACAGGTCACTAAATTAATAATAACAAAAAATGAAACAAAATGAAGATAATGCTGCTCAAAAGTAACGAAATGAAAAAAAAAAAAAAAAAAAAAAAAAAAAAAAAAAAAAAAAAGAGAAGAAAATATCAAGCATATATATATATATATATATATATATATGTCAGGAGCAAAAAAAAGACGTTAAAAAAAAAATAAATATTGTATGATTCATTGAGCTGCTTAACGACCATGGAAAATTACTCTCCAAGATAGATAAAATACTCGACAATAATTACTCTACACTGACATGAAATTACGATTAAGAGAAGAAACTTTCAATAAAAATTCAAACAAGTGAAGGCACACATCAGCAAAAAACTGGTATAATGTTTTTCTTTCCTTTCTTTTTTTTCAGTTTTCTTCATCCATCCATCTCCAAATCTCCTATGTTTTTTATTACCCATACATATTCCCAGGACAGAAGACTTTATTTATTTGAAAATATGATCTTTATAAGGATCCCTTTAACATTTAGATACTTCTTATCATCAATCCCATAACAGGCCTAGAACATAAACATAAATGTATATCATTCATAATAACCTTTAACACTGCAGCAGCTTCTGAGGCGTCTGGTGATTTAGGAGCCACATCAGATGGCTGTTTGGGAGGAGGTAATAACAATTGCTTTTCTGGTTCTATGCTATTAACTGGTATACGATGAAGGTATCCATATCCAATGCCACAACCTAGACTAAATTACAGTTATTATTTTTAAATTATTCTCTGAAGAAAGTTTTATGATTTTTAGTCAAATGACAGTAGAATATTGAAGAAAGAGATGGTCCGGGATGAAAGTTATTTTTAAAAAAGTAAAATAGTGGAAACTACTTCAAAAAAGTAATGAATAAAAATAATTTTCACTATTATTATTTTTTATTTTATTTTTTTTTTTTTTATGACCGCCATCTCAGACCATTTCTTTCCTCCATATACTATGCTGAACTATTGAGTATTTAATAAATATTTATAATTGATATGAGAATAAAATACAATTTACTATATATAAAGTTAATATATTTATTGGTAAAAATAAACATAAGATAAGCATGTAAACTATAAGACTTCAAGAGCAAGGAGTACAATTTAAACAGATAATTATAAATAATTATTAACAATAATCAATAAATTGTTATATTTACTGCTCTTATTTACCAAAACCGTCCAAAAAAAAAATAAGAATACTGAAGGATTGCATTTTTTTCACTGATATACTAAAATAAATTATTTATTTTTTTAGGGTTAAAGAAATATCAAATGTTTATGTTACTACAACAGAAATTACAATTTGATTAATATTCACAGACTTTAGTCAACTTTAAGGATTTACTTTTCAATTTCCTCCAACAATTTCAAACATTTTATAACCAAATCATTGTTTTTGAACACTGTAAAATTTGAATTATTCTTCTTATTTAATTATTGTTTAATCTATAGGCTGTTTTTTAATGATGATTACATTTAATAATATTTTTAAATGAGGCTGCTTTTCTTTTATATGTTGAATTTTTGTCTGAACTACAGGATATAAATAAAAATTTAAGAGTTCTTAAAAAAGTTTAAGACATAGATTTTCAAATGCTTCTAAAATCGATTTTGTTGTCACAATAATTCTGAATGTGATACTACTCATTTGATAATTTTCTAAGTTTAGATTGAATAGTAGAAAAAATAAATATTAGGTAATACTTAATTTAAAACCTTTACAGGGTGTATATGTAATGATTAAATATTTTTTACCTTCCCTCTCCAGGCCAGTTAGAATTTGGCGTAATCGTAACTTCTCTACAGGAATCCTGATCAATATTATAAACATATAATTTCAAGCATCTGCCTTCATGAGCAGCAATTAGAGTAAAAAGATCTTCACTTTCATGCAACACCGAATCAGCTCCAATAATATAATCCGAAAAAGGCTTTAAACCAGCCAATTCAGCGGGAGATGAAGGATGAACTTCCTACAAGAAATCAATTTATAGTATAAATGTTGAATACAAATAAGAACTCTGATTTGAAAGATAAAAAATTGACATACCAGCACATGCCACACATTTTCATTAGCTCCTTCAAAGGAACAAAATCTGATGCTCACGCCCAGGAGTCCTTGACCTCCCCACGTATTACTTGGTGTTATTTTTACATTCCTTACAGTCTGTGTTTTGCTGCTGTAAACTGTCATGGTAAGTTCTTTGTCGATACCAGCTTTAAGAAGTTCTTTAAGAGTATCGTTATCTTGATCCTGCAGATTTAAATAAAATTTTCTTTTAATTACTTTACTTTGATAATTTATTAACAATTTTACATCCTATCTTACATAAAACAGAAGAAGTATGGCTATCAGATGAATAAAAAAAGTCTTTGAAATGTCACTTAATTTAAATATGATAGGGCCCTTACAGTTGAAAAATGAAATTTTTAAAATATGCCATTAAATTTTTTCATTTTATGTTTGTAAGATTTTTCTCTCTCTCCCAATCTCCCTCTCTACTAAATTATAGATAGATTTTAACAAAACTTAAGGGATAGTCTACAATCCTTTACAACTGAAGTATAGATACCAGATTGTACCTTTCAAGCTGATATGAAATATGGTGCCTCATGCGTTTGCGATGCTTTTTAAAAGATTATGTACGTCCTTCTTTCTTTTCTTTAGTAATTTCTTCCATATGAAGTTTTCCTTAACCAATCTTCTGATTCAGCAAGTCTCTCCATCTCTGGAGGTTGATTGTGTCCTCCTCCGACAGTCCACTACCAGCCATACTATCCACCACTCTGTCCTTCCATTTAACTGGGTGTATTCCTATCCTTCTACCTTCTGCCTCCCAATCCATAATTAATTTTGGTATTCTATCATCTCACATGGCCATACTATCTCAGTCTCCTGTGTTCCATCACCTCTAGGATATTTTGTTTTATTTTCAGTCTCTCCCTTCTAGTAGCATTTCTTACTCTTTTGATCCTCGATATCCTAGTTGCTCTCCTCCAAAAATCTGTTTCAACTGAAAGAAATTTTATTCCCTGGGTTATACCAAGGAGCCATGTCTTCAAACCATGTACCATATTTCTACCAAAGATTTGTATATTAGCTTTTTTGTTTTCATTAAAATATTGCTCCTCCAGAATAAACAGTTAAGCATTCCCCCTGCTTTTTTTCCACTTATTTGTAAATTTTTATGTCTTCCTACAATTTTAAAAGTTTTATCACTAGAACTATATCAAAACATTGTTATTTTTTAAAACCAATGATGTGAATTTAGTCACAATTTATGGTAAAATGTTTAATAAAAAAGAAGTGAGTTAACCATAAACCATTAGTAGAAAAATAAAATTTAAAAAAGTAAAAATGTGAATGGTACTTATTTTATTTTGGTGTTTTAGAAAATTAAATAATATAAATAATGGAATGCAGATGGATATAATATGGAATTAATAAGCACTTTTCTTAACACAGTCCAATATTGTCTTATTCACAGCTAATAATGGTCCTAATTAAAATTATTAAACTAAGTAATAATGTAACTTAAAAAACTAATTATCAGTATTGATACTAACTTAATCAGATCTTCACAATTATATCAGATTTAAAGCTTTCATAAAATCATTTATGTATTTATGGCCCTCTCCCTTCCTTGTCTTTCAGCGATACAGGATTTCACTTTATTGAATACAATAATAAAATTTATTTCTTTTCCTCTACTATTCCTCTTTGATTTCTATCCTGGAGTCATCCCAGATAAAGATTGAGGAAGTCTTCTTCTTAATTCCATATTGAAATGGGCTGTGCCATTTGTATGTAATCCTTCTTTTATTTCTCTCCCCCCCCCCAAACTAAGTCAAAGAAAGAAGTAATCATATAACCAGGTTTTGAAAGAGAAAAAAAATTTTAATATATAAAATTTTCAGACGGGGAAGAAAAAAACTTAAAGCTTGGACATAATTTTAAAAGTTATTCCAATAAAACAGTTACGTGCTGGAATTTTTTATTTTTCCATAAAAATTCTAGTATAAATAAATTTAAATTACATGGTACTTTTTTATCCAATTAAAACCATCTAGCAATTAAAGCATATCATAAAACCAAAATTTTAACTGGAGATTTTTATCATTAGACATAGTTAATTCAGTTTCAAGTACTTCAAAAATTTAAGTCAAATTAATATAATGTATCCACCAAGAAGTACCACTCAAAGAATAAAATCAAATTAGATATCCTTCAAAAATAATTAAACTCACAACCCTAAGTAAATGGGTGTCCTTAAAATGATAAGCAATTAATGATCCATGATAAGCAATGCATTTTATTTCCTCTCATAAATCCTAAAGATAATGATTAAAGACAAAACATATGCAACACTCAGATAGGCGTAGAATATGACTTTAAATATGCCAATAACTAATTAATAATTTTTGGATAATAAACTGAAAGATATTCTATTAATTGGGTTAGGCAAGCTTATGTACAGATAGCCAGAACCTAATCACACATCAGGATTGATAAGTGACATGTCAAGTCACATCAATTTATCTTTAGCCCCTAAAGATATCAGCAGTGTATTGGTAGATTTCTTGAGACAATGAACAATATAAAAATACAATGCAAAAGTACCTCAAAGAATATAAAGATATTATTGTCATAATATAAAGATATTATTAATTTTTAGTTCACATTCCACTACTTACCAATCTCGTATTATCAATTGCAATAATAAAATCGAAGAACGCTTCCAAACCTGCAGCTTGTCCAGGAGATTTTTCTTGGACCTGAAGGAAACAGAGGACATAATGAAAACAACATTTTGACACATATTAATTATTTATATTATTCAATAACTGCAAACTACGATTAAGCCGCACTAAAACAATGTTAAGTTTAAGCGGCTGTTACATTTGAAAAACGATTGGAAACAGAATAACCTTCAAAACATGGTATCCTTCAGTTCCTCCTCCAGGAATTGGCACACTCGGACCGCCACCCATTTTATTAATAATCTAATACTTAGTTGTGCGGCAAAAAAAACCCAACGACTACTTTACTTCAAACAAATAATGATAACGTGCCATAGTACATCATTCGTATACGTCTACGTATCATTACATCAGCTGTTAAAATAACTCTGCCTTCAGTATGAATCACATAAGAAATAAACTCATCAGCTATTCAATGTTTGGCAAAAATTTTCTTTAATTATCAGTAGAAAAATCATTTGAGATATAGATGCATAATTCAGTTAAAATTGTTTTCCTAGTTACATAATCTTAATCCTAATTGTAACTTCATCCAAAGAAACAGAAAGGAAAACTACAAGTGATGTCACCAGCATCCCATCATCCTTAAGCCCACCTTACACGGTCAATATTATTGAGTCAATATCGAATATATTGACCGTCTGAGGGATATATTGTAACAATTATATTGACATTTGTACTATGTATACAACGTTGAAGAATATTACTTCAATATTATTGATTCAATAATATTGACAGTGTAGGGTGGGCTTTATGTCGATGTTTTCAAAATTATAGGCAGAAAGGCATATCTTGTCCCTTCAGACACTCGTTAGTTCTATCTAACTCAACTCTCTTATTTCGACTCCTCCTTTTTTACCTTAATAGATAAATGCTAATGCATTGGACAAGAAAGTTCTTTTTATTGAAGTAGTTTTTTTTTACAGATACAATACCAATAATCAAATATTTGCAACGATCAAAATGTTTATTTGGGGCTTAAAGTCCTCATGTATTCCAATTAGGGCAGGGAGGACGAGCACAATTTATTAATCTATTCTATGAGCCAAACTGAGATCTAGATTTATTCCAAGGTTTAGATTTATTCATGAAATAAATTTCAACCCATTTAGACCTACCGAATTCGAAGCGACGCCGTTTCTAATATATATCTGTATAATAAGATATAGACAATTCTCTAGTTAACCATAGTCTCTGCCTCCTTGAATTAGTTGAAAAGTTAAAATATAAGAAAATTGAGTTATTTAAAGTAATAATAATAATAAAGTTACTTTTATACTGGCGTAACATAACTGCTTTCTCGTTTCCCATTTCATTAGATTTCTTTTTCTCTTCATTTTTTCGAACATGCTTCTTTCGATCTTTTCTGAAATTTAATTGATATATCGAAAATGTTTTGAAAGCTTTTCCGCTTTTATTTTGAAAATAAAAATCTATTTTATTATTCTGGGACTGTTGTCCCTTCAAAACAAATTATAAATACAGAATACATGTATGTTTGGTCATAAATAAATTAAATATTAACAATAATATTTAATTAAAAGTAAAGTAAGTAAATAGTTAATTAAAAGTAAAAATACAGAAGAGGAGAGAGAAAAAGACAAGAAAAGTGTACGCATATATATATATATATATATATATATATATATATATATATATATATATATATATATATATATATATATATATATATATAAGACAAACAAAGAAAACTAAAATAACAGAAATTGTTTCTGGAGGTACTTAGATAGTTCTCTTAGGCATATTTCGTAATCAGTCGGATAGAGAAATGAGTAGGTGATTAAAGAGCAGAGGTTTGAAAGAGAAAACTGATTGTGCTTGTCGAATATCAGCAGGGATGGAATTCCAGAGGGAGGTGGTTTGAATTGCAAATAATTTGTCAAACGCAGCAGTTTAGTGGGAAGGATAGAGTTCGGGAGTACGAGATCTAGTGGGACGGGATTGGATGGAATTTTTAAATTGTAAGCTGTGAAAAATATAGAAGAGTCGATGAGTTCTAATGATCTGGACAGAAAAGTAGCTAGGAAATACAAACGGCGATAGAATGGATAGAGCCACTTCAGCTGCAATACTGGATAATATGTGTATCTCTCGAGATTCAGGAAATAAAATGTAATGCGCAATACATTATGCGTTTAAGTTTGGCCTCGAAAACTCCCGATAGTCCACCGTACACTACAAAGCCATAGTCGAAGTGCGGGAAAACAATAGAGGAAGTAAGGAGTTGATGGGACTTATATAGAAGGAGATAATGTAGACGATTGAACTGTTTTAGGGTGGAGATAGTGCGACGGGAAATTTGGGAGATGTGTGATTTCCAGGAAAGGGTTTGATCAAAAGTAACACCTAGGTTTTTAACAGTAATAAGGAATAAGATAGGTGAGCTGTTCAGGAGAAGATTGGGGGATACTGGGAAGGATTTGTGGAGTGAGAGGGGTCCGATCAAGATGGCTTTCGTCTTTTCGGCGTTCAGAATGTATTTTGTATTTAGTACATCTATTGACTCAATCAACTCAGTGACTAACATTGGGGAATGATACTCCTGGTTAAAATTGAACACATAAAGCGATAGTTTGAGATTTAGAAAACTTCATTTGAATACTCGATTTTAGTTTGTCTTCTTTTGAATTAATATATATATAGCTTTTGGAAAATATTTGATGGAAGTGATACACCTTCACCAAGAAAAGGAAGAAGAAATCTTTCGTTACAGAACAGGCGATTTTAGTTGTTTTCGTAATGAATTCCAAACTTCCGTATAATTTATTTATCTGATCAGTAAAAGTCGTTGTACTACTCTAGGATGGGACCTATTGTCCCAACAAAATTGCATATGAGTAACTTATTAAACATAAGTTATTCATATGCAATTTTAAACTCTTGCACCTTTTTTAAAATCATAATGATAAAAAAAAAAAAAAATTCTTCGACATCTCGCTGGATCAATAGACCAAGAAAATATAGCATTTTTAAAAATATAAATTACAATCATATTAATCTCAAAATTATAAATTACGAAAAAAGTCAACAAAATGTAAATATATTATAGCGTAGTGGACAATTTTTTTAATAATGTTTATTTTCATTAGAAATGTCCATTAAAACATTTTAATGTCGAGAAAGTATCTTCTCTTCATTGTTCAGGTGGTTGACAATAACATTTCATTTAGGCATTTAAAGATTATTTCAAAAAACATTTGGAAATAACTAAAAAAATATGTCGCCTCTGTGCTATATGTGCAGTATGTTTTAACTGTTCTTTTTTTTTTTTTTATTAAACTATATTATTGTTAATTACTTCTTAAAATGTTATGTTATTGTAGGTTTTTATTGTCCATTGATAAATTTGTATGTCTTTGGATGATAACAGTCATGAACCTTACTGCATCAACTTGAAAACAATGACAAAATTTAACTTATCGGTTTGTTCATAATTAAAATGAGACTCAAATAATGTAATTAAAAGTGATGGATTTCTTGGGGGAACTTATCGCTTTAGGGATTGATGCCATAATTGTGGGTGTTTGTACTAGGTTATATCTGAATTGCAGTTGGTCTATCAATTTAATAGAAGTAAGTTTACAAATTTATTACCTTAGTTCTCCCATAAAGATTAAATTTTACATATTTATAATTTTATCAGAGAGCTCAACGCCTTGGAATCAATCCTGAAATAAAAAATTTAAGCGATGAGGAAAAGAAATACACTATTTGTCAAGGAGATGTCAAAGCTGTGGGAAAATCAGTTAAAAGTTCTGGCTCACAAGATTATTCTGGTGTGATCCTGAGAAGGAGTATTATGGAACATGCAATCGCACGTAATGCATCTGGATTTTGGTAATATTTAAATGTATATGCAATTATTATTTATGGCATATGTTCAATTGCAATGATTTTCTTCTCACTTCTTGCTCACTCATGATTTCTTCACTTCTAAATTAACAAATAAACTCTGTTAATTTGTTTTCTTTTTAAAAGTTTCAAAGTTTATTTTAAAGTATCTTAGGTATATATGAATTATATATATCGTCTACTTGCAGTAATTTTTTTTTTTGTTGTTAGTAATATAATCTCCTCTGTTACTTAGCAAATAACTAAAAAGCTGTGTTTATATAATTTTTAAATATTATTTACTGGTTTATTTTCCAAGGCTGTAGAGAATTAAAATATTCATTATAATCAATAGAAATTCCAATTCCAATTAATAATCCATTAATGCCATTGAAGCGGGCACTAATATACATGATATATGGTGGTAGCTAGTTCGGCAAGTGGGATTATTGGTTACTGAGCTGTGTGTCAGGATTCATTCCACGGGGCCATCAAGAAACAAATGTAATTCACACTAAAATCTAATACCCACTCCTCAAAACCGGGCCTTCTATCCCAGTGTACTGAAGTGGTGAAGTCCTAGTTTTCTCTCCGTTAGGTCACTATCCATTAATATTGGTACTTAATGGATTAAATAGTATAAACCAATGATAACTCTCACATTAGACCAATATCCTAGTGCTCCATGCATTTGATGTATAGTAAGTGACATTAGCGAAACATGTTTGTTCGTATTTACAATATGGTATTATCAATATAGTCTATTCAAAACACAATTGATGAAGCTTCATAGGTACAAGTTTAGCTGGTTCCACTAGCAAATATTTCTCCTGTTTAATAGTTAAGCATTAACATACAGAAGAGCCTTGATTTGCGAGCTCCCTCACTTACTTAGAGCTTAGAAATATACTACTAATATTAAAGAAGCCATATGCGGCATATTTTTAAAAATATCAATAAGTTTTTATATTGTGCCATGTGATCATACTGCTATTCTCCTCCATTTACCTTTCCAACAGATTTTTATTTCATCAAAGACTATATGTAATAAAAACACCGAGTCCAGTATAATTCTAAATTTATTAAACTGGGCCTTGATATTCGCTTGGAGGTTTTTAAAAACGAAATTTATCCTGTCTCGAATCTGCTTACTTTTAACACTTTGTCAAAGTGTTCTACGTGAAATTTCCTTTTGTTAAATACTTCATCCATCCTTCAAAATCCATTATTCCTAAAACCCGGGAAAAAAAGGGTTCTATATTAATTTATTGTATATAGTGTAGTTTGTACTATTCATATTATTTTAGATGTATTTGATAAAATATATTGCCTCCACTGTCATTTTTTTATTTAAATTTGTCATATTTTTTGTTTTGCAATTGGTTAACTATTAATTTAAATAAGCTTACATTGCTACCTTTCTTAAAATTTCAATAGTTCCATCTATAATAGCTTTTTCATTTTCTTCCTCTATATTTAATTGCAAAATACTGTTGTGAAAACTTGTAAATATTAAACATTTGTTTTGGCTGTACAAATATTATACTGTACCTTGAGAATGTTTTGAAAATTGGGCTATCTTTTATGTGTACCCAGATATTATGCCTAAGTTTTGCAGTACGGATCTTTAGACCTGACAAGTTACAGATTTTTGCTTTGAAAATTAGTTCCCAAAGTTTAATTTAAAAAATATCTTTTCACAGGGCTGATCAAAAAAATGTTATCCACGTGTCACATAATGTTGTACCTTTTGTACTTAAGAAAGGCAAATTCACTATTGAGATCCTTGATCCAGTTTCTGCAGAGCTACTAGATTTGGATACAGTGTATAACCAGTTTGAAAACAGTACGCTAAGTGTTATGGATCATATTATTGGTTTTTTCAATGGAGTAAGACAGAGAGGTATTGAAACAACTGAAGAACTTTTGAAAGAAGGAACTCCACTGACAGGTAAGCAGACAAGTAATTCTATTGATAGACTTTTCTAGCCTAATTCAAGTAAATATTTGATAGTTTTATATTGCAGCTATCGGGGAAGTAATGGTTAATCACAGTGGTTATCTTCAGATGTCTCCTCCATCTGCTGGTTACCCTTATTACTTAACCACCATGCCAGTGTCATCTCTGATAAGAAAATTAGAGGAACAACAAAGCACATATAGGTAAACAAAAACATACTTATTATTAGCACTGAGCTTTTTCTACTGAATTCAAATAAAGTTGTATTAAAAATCACTTAATAAATTCATTAAAATAATTAGATTCTGTGTTTAATTCTTTTCTACTGTATTTTATTAATAGTTTGAAAATTGAAGGTGGTTGACACTCCTTTTTGGAAGCATTGGAGTCGTTCTTGGAGTAATTGTCGTTAAAAAATGGTGGACTCTGAAAGAACTGAGGTTAAAAGAAGAAGAAAAAAAAAGGAGGCTTGAAGAAACAAGGAGGGAAAGGAGAAGAAATGCGCGAGATGGAAGGGAACTATCAGATAATGAATTGTGTGTTGCATGCAGGTACTTAGTCACTGAAAATGATTTTAATATTACTTTAACAAAACATGCTTTTCATTAACGATAGTTTTTTTTTTCTCAAATTGGGCCGATTCATAAAAATTGAACATTTTTCTTACTAATTTAAAAATAATTTTATTTTAACAATTTTTTAAAAAATATTTTAAGTATGTAATATTTCCTTATCAATACCGTTCTTCGGGCTTAGATCTCAATTTCTATTTTGAAGTTTTTCCTTGAAGCATCCAGTTCTGAATTGTTTCATTTGGTATAACATGAAGTTTTTAAAGACTGGCAAAGCAGGTTGAAGGTTGATTGTAGTCTAACCATTGTGCTTTAGTATTTAGCTTAAGTTATTTCTTGTCTTATATATTTATCGACTACTTTAGCGGCCCGAGATATCGCCATGCTCATAAAATGCCTTTGTAATACAAAATGTCATATTAGCTATGTCGGATTAATTAACACTGCTACTGTTGGAGTGTATGCTGGAGTAGCATACTAGCATACTTTAAAAATCATGATGTGGAGATTTTATTATATTATTCAATTTTAATTTTTTGGCTTTGTATTATCTTCATTCATGGATTTGCTTTGATATATGTGTGCGTAATTTAGTCTTGTATTTTTAGCATTCGAAATTTTTTTTTGGAAAATGGTAATTGTTTAATGTGGTATATTAGTGATGTCCATATGAATTGATCAGTAGCTGTATAAAGCAACCATATGTAGTAAGAAAGCATTGCTTTCAATAAAGTATTTCTCTCTCTCTTATTAATAGTGACCATTCATCAAGTAGTGAGGGTTTATTTATTACAAGTAGATTAATAATTGAAGTCTAGATTTTAATGGTAATTAGTAATTCTATGACCTTCCCTTTACTTTTTTCATTTTTTAAATTTCTGATGCAATTTTTTTTTTTTTTAGGGTCAATCCCAAAGAAATAATAATTTTACATTGTGGCCATGTCTGCTTATGCGAAGATTGTTCTGAAGGAGTGAAGGATACCTGTCCAGTCTGTCGATCGCCTATTGTCAGCAAAGCAGCAGCTTTTATATGATGAATGAATTAAAAAAAATATATATATATTATAAATTTTATTTCGGCATCGATTTTAGGGACATTGTATTTTGTTCAGTAGACGATTAAATAGTTGTATTTCTTTTATTAATACCAAGAACTTTGAAAGGAACAAAGTGTAAGGTATTTAAAAACAATTGGAGTGAAGTATTGTTTATTGTTAATAGTTAAAAAATATTTCTTCCATCGATACATGTATATACATCTTAAAACATATTTACATTTAAGTGTCGTCTTCTTGGCCAACTAATACTGCCATCTGCAACAAACAATAAAATTTCTGTTAAATCTTTTCAAAAAAGAAAACTTTCAAATTACAATAGTTCTTGCTTATATAATAAAAAGCTGGAAGATATATAACACATCTGACGTTATTACTATTTTCCACTAAAAAACATTTCTCATGATTGAGATTATCCATTTTAACTTAAAGAAACTTAGGGTGCTGAAGTAAAGAAATGCAGATATGACCCTAACCAGCAGATATTTGTTTAAGTATATATAAAGCTGAGTTCTTAACCTTGTGATGAAATTTAAATAACATCTACAATTACAATACTTAATTTTTTTAAAAAGATCATTTGAGCTGGATCTATAACTGTAACAATCATTATTTTGTTAAAGTACTTCTAGATCGGAAACTGATTTTAATATATATGAGAAGTATTGTTCAGAAAATTAAAACTTCAATTCTATGATAATGACTGAAGGTTATAGGAATAAATTAACATTAAATAGAAATTTTTCTAAAGATTCCACTTTTAATAAAAATTAACCTGGTGCCAAACTGAAAATTTCATCACTTAAAGCTCAATCTTAAAAAAATAATTAATTTTCTTGAATTCTAAACTTAGAGTGAATTTATTTAAGGAAATTAAACTGAAACTGACCAATGTTCTCAGAATAATAAAATGCCAATTAATTTATATGAACATATTTCTTCACAATTTACGCTAAAAATAATAAAATACATTTTTCTACATTGGTTGAAAAATGTTTATGATAACTTGATAATATCATTACACGTAACCATTTAATTGAGTTCCTATTTATTGACAACTTTAACTGAAATATGACTGCGATAAACATGACACATAAAATATCTTACTTTTTTTGGAAGCTAAGGTATATATGAATAGAAAACAGATTATTTTTTGTAGAGTACTGTTTTTTTTTTGTTTTTTTTTAATCCAATAACTATACATACTAGTATGTATGTATATTTGGCTTGTTTTGAACCAATACAAAATTATTAACTCTGCTGTCCTGTTTTTGTTATTTCAAGGGTTTAACACCGAATCGAGTTTATAAAAATGTTAGTAGTGAGTAAAATGCTCAATATTAATTAATGTCTTGTTAATTTAATTATAGAATTTTGTTAATAAAAGTATTTTATTACATTGTTATTGTTATTGGTACTGTCGGTACATGTATTCATGATAATATTTTTGATCAAAAATCAATAAAGAAAAACATACAAATATAAATGCTTTGAATACAGGAATATCTGTTCTGAGCCTTTCGGTTGACAGAATGACTAACTCCAATTACGTTTTTGAGCAAAGTCATTTTAGTGATATTTCTAGTTGGGAAATTGATATCTATAAAGACAGTGAGTAAGCTGATTCAAGAGTAGGTGATTGCAACGTTGAAATAGAGAACTGTGAATAATGGTATAAATTTTTCCACTAGAAATATCACTAAAATTAATAATAAAAAATGTTGAAATTGAAGTTCTGTCAACTGAAAAGGCTCATATGTTTATATTAAAATTATACTTTGAATAATTTCCTTTACTCTAATAGTAATATTGATTTGTTTTGGACTAAATTTCTTAAGAAGTCAATGAATAGCAGGGCTGAGGTTCCATACATACAACCAAACCTATTTTAATTAGTGGGAAGGTCGAGATTCATTACGATAAGTCTATCATGAAATAAACTTTGAACCACCCAGCCCAGATTTGAACCAGCACCTCTAGACTCAAGAATGTTAAAGCAGGCAAAACCTAATATGCTCGGCCGTTAAGGCCTGGTGGATGCAAAATCTATCGAACAAACTTGGACAAATTGAGTTTACTAAGTGAGAAGTGTCTCATGCATGCTATTCAATTCTTCTTACAGATTGCCATCTATAGTCAATATCATCGAAATATTGATATTTTCCACTACTACGAATTACATTCTATTTGAAACAGGCAAGATGAGAATTTTTTTTTTCTTACGATCAGATACTTATTTTTTAGCTCAGATTTTTGTTTTTATCACATTTTATTACATTCTGTCACATCCAAGGACACTATTAATTGAATATCGTATTATAAATATTCAAGGGACGATATCTAAAGTAGATAATATTGAAGTAGATGCATATGAGAGTAAAATATTGATATTATTGACTATCGATAGCCATTCCTTTCCGCAACAGATGTAAAAATATAAATAATTACTTGCCAGCGCTGAATGGAGAATCAGAGAATAATATCTTCCTCATAGAGCTACCTAACCAGCCATTTAGATTAGAAATTACATTTTTTTTTTTTTCGAATTTACCTGTGTATTGATAAAAAGTGGCAGAAATTTATAGTAAAAATATAGTCAACCCCCATGGCTTAAATTACTAATGCGAAATTCATTAATATTCAAGAGAGGATAAAAACTGTTTCATTCTTCGATGTATAAAGAACATCCATCCACCTTTGATCATTTTAATTTTTTCTCTTGATGTTGGATTACCAACAGAAAAAAATTAAATTACCCATGATTGGTAATTTAATTTTTCAAATTCCTAATATGAAGAAGAATGTAACTGTATGTTTCGATATCCTGAAAAGCAGCAATTTTTATATCTGTAAGTTTAGCATGGGATATACTTATATATTAATTAATATATATATATATATATATATATATATATATATATATATATATATATTGTAATTAATATATATATATGTATATATTGTAATGTAAATATTACATAGTGATTTTGAATAGTGGCGCGAAGGTAGTGACGTCACGAACTACTGTTAAAAACAGAAAAGAATGATAGATGGTGGAGGAAGAAGAGCCAGGTGAAGGCAGAACCTAGCCAGCTGGCAAGTAAAGAGGATCGAGAAAAGAAAATGTGAGTTAACAAGTAGTCAGTGTCAGTAGAAGTTGAACAAATTGAATATAAATAGACAGTTCGAAAGCACACCAAGATTAGATCCCGACAAATGAATGGAAATTCATAAATGCTAAGTACAATTAATGTATATTTTTATATTGTATAATTGAGGATGTGTGTTTGTTGTCTCAACCCAATCTGAGAATTAATTATTGATTAAAATAAATATTATTTGAATCAGAAACCGTTTTGTTTACTTTTCAAAGGGAATGCAACGTTACAACATATATGTGTATATATGGGGGCTGGAGTAGCCTTGCAATAGATAATCAAAGTTAAGCAACGCCAAGCGTGGCTAGTGCTTGGATGGGTGACCATCCACGAAGGAAAGCCACGCTGCCCGAGATGCCTCCTCGTCCCCACGGGTATGTTAGCCTCGTCAGTCCACTGGAGGCAACTCACACGGACTGGGCGCAGGATTGATGACCCTACCCCATACTTTAAATCGGGAATCGGGATGTGGTCTAGGACCAGACCACACTCGCGGTCAAAGATCTTCATGGACTGTAGCGCCAACCGAAAAACAAAAAAATATATATATTACTTACAGTTTCAAAAGTTTATCTTTGCCACCAGAAGCTACTTTTTCACCATCTGCCGACCAATCGACAGCAAATATTTGATCAACATGGCCTGGGAGATCATTTAATAGTTTTTTTGTTTTCATAGTCCATACTGCAAAACAAAAATACTTTAAATTTATATTATTAAGTATTTATATGAAAATAATAAAAAAAATTATTACAAAAAGTTGTAAGCTGATAATGTAAATTATTAATTTCATATAAGAGAGGGATTATATCTGTCAATAGGTTCAGATTTAATAATTAGGGAGTGATTAGAGGAACTAGAATAAGGAGTTCTAGGATGCAGGGAAGATTTTTAATGTATGTTAAATTTAAATTTAATGGAAGATGATGAGTAATATGAATTATTTAGAATCAAAACCCTTTATGTCCATTATGCTATAATGTACGGCAGGACAAATGATAACGAACTGTTTAAGCTTAAATTTCTGGGAGTTGTGAATTTCGCAGTCAGAGAGCACTTTAGAAATGCTGAAAGACTAGTATAAAAAAATTATTATTTGAAGAGTCAGTATAAAAAAATTATTGCAATTACAGGAAAGGTTTAAACTTCACAATTGTTTACTCAAAACATAGCTGTTGACAGTTATGACTCTTTGCTTTTAGGGGACTCAATTTGAATTAAACTTGACAAATACACCTGATAAAAAAAATCATTATATGAGAAGGAGATGATCGGGGGGTGTGGGGTCAAATAAATACTAAATTATAAAAATAGTATTATTTATTTATTACGCTGACATTTCGACCCACCTTGCAGGTCTTCATCAGAGCTACAAAAGATACAAAATATAAAAAGTACATGGTGAAAATAAAATAAATGAATGTTAAGTAGATATTAACTGTTTCTTATTTAATATTTAATATCTACTTAACATTCATTTATTTTATTTTCACCATATACCTTTTATATTTTGTATCTTTTGTAGCCCTAATGAAGACCTGCAAGGTGGGTCGAAAAGTCCGTGTAATAAATTAATAATACTATTTTTATAATTTAGTATTTATTTGACTGCACCCCTCCATCAACTCCTTCTCGTATTATATCACGGTCAACCATCTCTACATCATTGTATTTAGTAATTATTATTGTTACTTTAAAATAAATGTTAAAAATTAACAATTTTCAGTAAAATAATTAAAAAATATTAAAAGAATACCTTTAAGTGTTGAATCAGCACTGGCACTAACAAGTAACCGAGAATCAGCAGACCACGCTATCATATAGACTGACTGCACATGACCTCGAAGAGTTGTTATAAATCTTAAAAATAGGCAATTATTAATAAATCAAATAAAATTTAGGGTTTGCATGCAATATCCTTATTTCATAAATAATATTAAAGTTTTTTTTTCAAAGATAGGAAAATAAATAGATTAAATGATAGCTTGAAGCCATAGATTATATAACTACTTACTTTCCAGTTTTACCATCCCACAGCTTTATAGACTTGTCAAATGATGCAGATGCGAGTAGCCTTGTATCAGGTGAGAACTTTACATCATTTATGAGTTGTTGATGACCCGTTAACCGAGCTGCAATATTCAATTTGATTAACATATAAATATTTGGTTTTATCAAATGAAATATTCAGTTTTGGGAGGGAGGTTTATATTATAAGAGTGAATAAAATTAATTGGAATATGAGACCAGTAAAAGAGGACTCTATATCAATGAGAGAAAAACGGAATACATGAGGACACTAAATCCTTCACAGGCCACAATCTATTAATATTGGTGATCACCATTTCTCAGTTTGTGAGGCTTTGGGACCCTTGTAATTGAAAAAAAATGAGCTCCACAAAGAAATTGGAGCTAGAATAGCAGCAGGAAATTGTTTCTGTTATACAGTTAGCGAGAGGTTAAACTTCAAAGATCTTGCATGCAGAGGAACAATTAATGAATGCAAAGCCAGGAAATGTCCGAAGATGTGGACGACGTTGAGACAGACCTACAGCAGCTGCGAGTCAGAAGATGGAGAATTATTGCTGCCGACAGATCAACCTGGCAGGCTATCTATGAAGAGGCCCATGTCATTGGTGGGCAGTAGTGCCGATGATAATGAAATTAGTAATTAGAACAGAACAGTAATTTTAAATCTATAAGGTTAATGATTATCTACTTCTATGTTGACAAGAAATTTTTAGTTTCTATAGTAATGATTCTTTTCAACAAAACCGCTATTGAAAAATATAAGCTTGAAATAAAATGGATATCGTTAATAATGACGTTGAAGGGACCAGGTAAACTTCATAGTTATAGCTGATCATTGTTATATTGAATGTAACATGAGTAGTGAGTACAATTTAAGCAAAATTGACTTAAAACAATGTTTTGATTGAAAAGAAAAACATATCCATACTATTCAGTATGTGTAATATATACACATGTATTTCTTTATGAAGAAACGAACTTTTTGACACTAATTCTGTCTCTAGAAAAACTTCCATTACAACATTTTTTGCCCTTAAAATGCCAGATCCGATCAACTTATAAAAAAATTTCATTTCACCACATTGAATATGTCAGTCATAATAATTCTTGCGAACTGTCCGCTAAAATTTTGAAAACCATTCGTTGGTTAACAGATAGGGAATATTGACAGCTTCACAGCTACATCTTTTTAAAAACAATATCATGTCGGGAGCAGAATCTTTGCATCCATTGTCGTGAAACACTAGTTGATGATTCATCAAGAAGATCTCAAACTGATTATAAAAATTTGTAAGCCTTTTTGAGCGAAAAATGGCCCTGATAACAGAATATTGTGGCTTCCCTGGGTCCTAAACCATTTTAGAAGAACTCACTCAATTAAATCGTGAGTAGATCGTCATTGTTTTTTAGATTTAAAAGATTCATCACATACAATATGCTCTTCAATAGATTTGCAATTTTTTTCGAATACTAGTATGATTTATGTACATGTAATTCTTCAGCCAGTCAACTATTGGTCTTCTCTCTTCAATAAAGTTTTTCTCTTCGACATACTTATGAGAGCTACAGCGGCAGTAGTAAACAGAAATATGAATTGCATGCTAAAAGTGGGGAGCAGAGAAGAAATTGATCCTACAAATATGATTTTTACATAGATAAATGAAATAATAGATTTCCTTGAAAAATGAGAAGTTAACAAAAGGGTTTTTGGAGTTTTGAGAGCCTACGTCTGCTATATCCATTAAAAACAAACAACCTTACAAAAACCTTCTGAATCATAGGACCTGGCATTAAAGCTTATACGCCTTTACAACCTATGTTGTAAACAATATTCACTATATTTCATATTTTGTTTTTTTATTTAGCTAAAGTTTATTATTTTGTCCGTCCATTAAAAAAATCTTTTACCTAGAAATCACAGTTTTTATTTGATATGACTTCATTTACATGTCAACATTAATCATTTTTTAAAAGAATTATTTGTTGTTTAGGCTTGTTAAAAGAAGTGAGTTTGATAGTAGCCTGCTGTACAGTAGCTAAATAAATATATTAAAATCCCTTTAATTGACAAAAAATTTCTATTGAACTAAACAATTTCAAAGTATTATTAAATGTAAAACTCACAAAACAGAGTTGTACAATAAATACTGAACTAATAGCTGTAATTACATAATGTTCATGGTGTATTAAAAATATACATACCAAAAGATTTCTTTCCTGTTTCTGGTTTCCACATAAACATAGTAAAATCATCACTTCCAGATACAAGAATTTCTCCTTCAGAACCACTTACTTCACGGTATCGCTCAACAGCTGCTTTCTTTAAAGCTTCCTCTATACAAAAAAAATATATATATATATATATATATTTGGAACTTTGAATTTTTACGATTATTAGAATATTGAATTTATACTAAAGACTAACTATCATTCTGATTGACATTTTCTGATGGCCTGAAAGATGAACCCAATCGCATAACATAGTCAGTGTTGACTGACAGGCTATTCACCCAATGTGCATGACCTTCCAAGGTACGACAAAGTATACCCTACAAGAAAGGAAAAATTAGGTGAAATGATAAAAACAACTTCAATAATCTAGTTATATAAACAATAATCTATGATATAAGATAATGGAACAGATATTTCAAGAATTTACAATTATAAAAATCAAAGAAACTAATATTTGCAAGTCTATGTTGTTAACATACCGGGGAGCAACAATAAAATTTCAAATATGGATATATACACCTAATATAAATTTTCTCTACTAAGACAACAAAGTATACTGGTCAATAAAATGACAGAAAAGACAAAGATTAAGGTTATAATCAGTAAAATTAGTTGAAATTTCTTATTCATATTTTTTAATTTTAGAGATTATTAATACAAATTTTAGAGATGGGTAATTAGTCGACTGATCAATTATTAGATTGATTTATAGTCAAGGATTTTTTTTATTGGGCTAGCCCAGCCAGGATAACCTAATAAAAGTTCTTGACTAAATCTTGACAATTTTGTTTCATCCATACATGCAATTTGTTTTGTTTTATTTATCTAAATGCACAGTAATTATTTTCATCTATAGAACATGAAAACTAGAAACATTAAAAAAAAAAAAAAAATGTTATTGTGTAGAAAAATAATATTTGTGCTTTTCTCAATAATGCTTGGGTGACTTATACTATTTTAATACCTGGTGTTAACTCAACTTGCTTTTTTTTGATAAGCAATATCAGTACATAGCATAATTGTAAGAAGATATTTTCTCTTATTTCCCCCCACTGTTATACTATTTCTGTTGGCTCAAGATTCCATAAAAAGAATATTCTTTTTATGAAGGATAATGGATAGTTACACATTTCAATTGTGATAAACTTTTTTTATACCAGTTCTTTCTGTTTAAAATAGGTACTAAATATTCTCTTACTAAAGAGATGATATCAAAATTATTAGCATTGGTGGAACTAAATAAAAAATAATTAAGAGGTTTATCACTGCTATTAATCTTTAATTACATAAAAAGGTTGTGAGAAGGGGGGGGGACCCAAGTATAAAAAAATAAACAAAAAGAACAAACATGAAAACAGTTTTTAAACTTTATTGATAAATAGATTAATTAAACAACTAAAAATTCTATTATTTAAAATTTACTCCTAATCATTTTTAATTTATATTATGTAGAATATGCTAATTGTCATATTTCAAATAACTTTGATCAATCATCTTATAGTAATACTTCATTTCTATTAATACATAACTACCCTATTTTTTTCACAGATAAAATAAAATTGTCTGTTGGATTAGTGAGAGTTTACAGAACTTAACTGGTAAGCCAACAAAATATTTGTATTCATAAAAATTTGTTCTTACATCTTTCGGCCTCCAAACTTTGATTGTACGGTCTTGAGAACCAGAGTAAAGGAGAGAAGATCCACCCCAAATCAGTGAAGTGACACTTTTCGAATGGCTAGTAAGAATTCTCAAGCATTTTCCAATCGGTGCATCCCATATCCTGATATCACCATCTTTTGAACTGCTGGCAAAATATCTGCATTCTGCATCTATTTTAATCACAACCTTTAAATTATAATGCAACTACAACTTTAAAGATAATTCCAAAACATATTTAAATATATTACTAAGGTGATATGGTTCCCATGCCAGCGAGGTTATCCACTGCTTGTGACCTTTCATAGTAGGACCTTTTTGCTTGCCAGTGGCGGGATCCCATAAAACTATGTGGCCATCCTTACAACCAGAAACTAATTTTGTGGAATCAGGCGACCATGCAATGCAAAGGACCCAGTTGTTGTGGCCTAAATATTTTAAATATAAATTATTATTACAAGAAAGACAATTAAAATAAAACACAATAATCAGAATAGAAAAAAAATGTAAAAAACAATAAATAAATTTATAATAAATATTTAAATAAATAAATTTATAATAAATAAATATTAAAAAAAAACAATAAAAACGTTACACTTTGCCACCATCATGTTAAATTTTTAATACTTTTATTAAACAAGAAATGTTTTCCTGGACAACCAATGATCCAGGAAAAATATCTAGCATTGATTGATAAACTAAATAAATTACACTTCGTAATATGGATGATTGAATTGTTCTAACGAGTTGACTGCCGACCACGAGAATAGTTGTAGTTTTGTGTTCTTGCCTAGGATGGCAATATGGATTATCTCATACTTAGTTTAGTTTAAACAGAAAACCTACTGAACAAGCATGTTTGTGTGTGCTCTTTAAGTGTAGTGGCTAGGATACCACTTTGATATGTTGAAGGTTCCCAGTTCAAAATTTGTTTCACTATGTTTCTTTATTTGGGGGGTGGGTATGGCCGAATGGGATAACACGTGAGCACAGCAGCACACGACTGGCAACCCGGATAGAAGATTATGTCATAAAATAATACTGAGTTAGCGATCTAGCGCCAAGGGGGTCTTCTAAAAAAAAGTCTGTGCATGATATAAGCCAACTATGAATATGGTAAAAATTATATAGTAAAAAAACTATATGATTTTTACTTTTAGTTTATTGTAAAAATTGATGAAGTAATATTTCATAAAATTAAATAACCAAGTACTTCATGGAATTTTCCTCCATGAAATTAGAACATTGAGCACTTAGTATAACAGTGTTTGATATATAAAGGGTTGTTTTCAATCTGATGTATTTATTGAGTTTTTGCACAGACAAAACCCATAAAAATGTAGTCAAAAGTTGAGGACCATCAAAAATGTCCTATTTTCAACAAAAAATCGACAATATCTACTAAAATTAGAGTATTTAATAATATAATATGATTAAATTTTATAGGATTTTTACAACAAAATCTTAAAAAGAATCATGATAGTCAACATCATAATTAATTGACGGAATTAAAATGGAACAAAGTTACAATATATCACTAATGTTAGTGCAAAATGTTGTAAGTAACAATTTTAGACATCTATTTTATTTGTGCTAAAGGTGACATTTTGTAGTCTATAACTGCAATAAGTAGTTTGCTTCTATAGAAAATAGCAGAGCAAAATAAAATATGAAATTATACTAGTAAATGATGTAGAGCTAGTTGACCGTGATATAATATGAGAAGGAGTTGGGGAGGAGAAGAGGGGTGCCGTCAAATAAATACTAAATTATAGAAATATTATTATTTAATTATTATGCCGATGTTTTGACTCACCTCGCAGGTCTTTATCAGGACGTGGGATGTAGCACTGCGGGAGGCAGTTGAAACACTCAAACACAGTGTCACATCCCATGCCCTGATGAAGACCTGCAAGGTAGGTCGAAACGTCGGCATAATAATTAAATAACACTATTTCTATAATTTAGTATTTATTTGACCGCACCCACCGACCAGTGTTTCAACTGCCTCCCGCAGTGCCACATCCCCCCATGCCCTGATGAAATAATAAGTTTTTATGCTCTTCTGTAAAAAACAAAGTGCTTGTGAACGGTCTGGTTCCCAGTAAATCTCCCTTCTTATCTTATCTTACATCACCTTTTTATCTTATGTTACATCACATGACCTGCCTTTTTATCTCATTACTTGTATATATAAGGAAAGGAACGTGGTTAGAGGGGTCGAAGATTACCTTTTCAACCGCTTTAAAATTAATGAGTGGTCTCATAATTTGACAACAATACAGTGGGCAAAGAGTAGCTGAAACTATCGAACAGATGTATCATAATGTGGAACAAATTTTTAAGAGAGGTTTGTGCCCATAACATGTTATACAGGTCAACTAAGAGAATTGGAAGGCCTTGGAAAGTCTTTGAAGTAGACGAGAATCTTTTTTTAAAAGAAAAAATCATGTAAGGAGAGTTCTCCCTGTACAATGGATTTTTGGCAGAGTGTTTGGAGAAACAGACGGGTGTTTCATCGTAAAAATAAAGTACAGAAAGACAAGAATTTTATTAGAATGTATTAAAAATAATATAGAAGAGGGAAGAACCATTTAATCTGACTGTGGGAAAGGATACAACACCCAACTGAATGAAGCAAACTATCATCATTTGCAGGTGAATCACGGCTATAACTTTGTTGATCTATTAACTGGGATCCATACTCAACATATAGAACGTTTATGGGGCTCAGCTTAGTGGAGAAATAAGAAACATTAAGGAACTGCGAGGCAACACCTCGATTCATATTTATGTGAATTTTTGTGGCAGCAGGCTCACAGAGATGACCTGCTACTCGCTATTTTAAATAGCATTAAACTACTTTGTCTTCCAAAATAAAGTATGAACATATATGCGTAAAATGAAAGTGTTTTATATGTATATATGTTGTAAAATCTAAGTGTTTTGTTATTTATATTTCTTATTACTAAATTATAATATTATTATTATATTTATCTTTCTTATTAATATATTTATTTTTGCTATAGTATTACATTTGTTTTTGTCTATATCAATTTCAAATCAAAGTGTTTTGTTATTCTTACATTTTTTTTCGTCTATTTGAATTTCGATGAATATAACATTTGTTTTTGTCGGTTTCATATATATGTTGTAAAATAAAAGTGTTTTGTTATTACATTTGTTTTTGTTTTTGAATTTCATAGGAAGATAGGGATTATTAGTGCCTTGGGTTCAGGTTATAAACATTGGCAGATAGCAATCCATGGGGACCAGACTGTTCACAAGTACGAAAAACTCAATTTTTACATACTACCTTTTGCACTAACAGTAGCGATATGATACAATAATCATATGTAAACACACCTTTACAACAGAACAGTGGTGTTTGTGTTGTGAGATCCCAGAATCTAACTGTGGTATCACCTGAGCCGCTCGCTAGATGCTTACTGTTAGGACTAAATTTGACAGAAATGACAGCCTCTGCATGACCAGGCATAGAGCTAAAAATGAAATAAAATTAAAATTAAAAACTGTACAGAAATGGTTAAAAATGTCAAGTGAGATCAAGGCCTAATTTAGAGGACTGTAGGGTAATTTAGCAAGTCCATAAAACTAATAAGTCAGGATTCAGTCATTTTTAAGGTTTATATTAGTGGTGACGTTTCAATCCAAGCATATGGGTCATCAGGGTATGTTTAGGGCACTGATGATGACTTAGATGCTTGGGTTAAAACATCGGCACCAATAAAAACCTGAAAAATGACTGTGTCCTGGCTATTTATCACCTATGATATATAGAACAGTCAACTAACTTCCTTCAATAATTCATAAAACTAATAGATTATTAAAGCATAAAATTTAATTATTGAAAAATGTAAAAACATTAGCACCTTGTACATCTTGTAACAGCTCTAACTTTAAAAATTGCTTGTTGTTGGTAAATAATCTCAACAACATTTTCGGTATTCAATTTCTGAACATCTAGAACACCTTCTAAGGTCTTAACAATTTCTTGTTCATTGACATAAAACGTGTATTGGACAGATTTATCCTGAAATAATACTGTAATGATTAATAATATTTAGATATTTAAATATAATGAAACCAAAACAATAAGTTAAGTTACCTGCTCTAGTAAGCTATTACAAATGTATGTCAACTGATCAACATTAACATTGATATCTAATTCATATAAGGCACCAACTTCTTCACCGCGGTCTGACTTAAATTTGGCAAGTACACGCTTTTCCTCAGTTTCTACTTCCATTTTAATGGAACTTATAAATTATTGATATAAACTTATTTACTAAGTTTGATAAAAGTGATAATCAATCTATAGCATTATAACCAATCTATCATAAATTATGATATTGCATTAATTTAAAATACTTAAAGTAGAAGTGTTTTTACAAATTCGATTTAAAACCTCATAAACATCAACTTCAAACTAAGTAAATACATGAGCATTTATACTCTCCAAACACGTGCTTTGCTAACGAGGAATCGCCTATGAACCGTTCCATAGAAGTAGGAAGTTCGACATTCCTACTGAACGTGATAATTATTATTATGTATACAGAGTAACAAATTTTTTTATCCCAAGAAATTGCTATACAGGAAAAATCCTTCAGCTCAAAAGCCCTCCCCCCAGATATAAATAAGCAAGTTCTCTTATCTTTATGATTTAATTTCAAAGAATCCAATCTCTACTTCTGCTCGTCCTATTCCCTCATACTTAGTCTTTGTTTGACCGATAATGCAACCAAGTTTTTTTAACTTCTTCAAAGTCGCCTGCGTATTCCCGACTATCTTACTATTGAACAGTGTGGACCAAGTTTGGATGTCTTAATAGTACACTGCTCCATCTCCACGAAATCAAAAATGCGTGCAAAAGCATTTCAGATCTCAGATTATTATTATAGGCCTGGAGAGATCAGGTCTAATGCGAAATGTTCGATCCCGTCTTAACCAAATTCAAATACCAAATAAGTTTTTGCTCATCTATATTTAAGATGTCTACTATATTACAAGACTACAGATTTAATGCATGGCACAGGTGGATCTATGGAGGGGAGGCTTTCGGGCTGAAGCCCTCCCCCCCAAAATGGTAAAATGTAACCATGTTTTATGGTAAAAAATATTTTAAAAATATCTCTTAAAGTGTTATTGTTCGTGTAATTACATTTAATATTGCTTCAAAAATCACATAAACACCATTTCATATATGTAGATTGTATCTTTCTTTTTTTAGAGTAGTTATCATTATATATATATATATATATATATATATATATATATATATGAAAAAAAACCTTTCCAGCTGAAACCCTCCCCCAAAATGAAATCTTGGATCCCCTAGTGATGTAAGGTAGCCTGATTGTTGGTGGTTCCTTGTCGAATATTTTTGATTATTATTATATTTGTTTCATATCTCTAATATTTTAATTCAATTTTCTGACTGTCCGTTATGATACTGTTTAAAAGATTGGACTGAAAATTTTATTACTGGTAATTTTTAAACTTTATAGAAATACAAATTTACCTTTTTTGATTGTAAACTCTAAATCATCATCAAATACTTATTTTTTATTACTCTTATGAAATTAAAAAATATATACTTTAGCCTTTCACTACTTAAATCCTAAGAGAAACTGTTATGAGATTTCACTTGACTACTATGTGTATTGCTAATTGTCCTTTGTCAAATGATGATCTTTTAATCACAAGAGCATTAATTAAAACATCATAAGGGTCTCATTTCGATAGCTGGTTATGTGGGTTGATAATCTTTAGCTACCCCTCCTTCCGCAGTCCCTAAAGCTATATAAAATTATACTACAGATTACGTTGCCATAAAAAACCACTTCTTCTTAAAATCAAATTAATCTCTTCACTTCATATGCTTAAGAAATCTGGCAAAGGAAAAAATGCAGATAACAGAATCATCTAAAATGAAATGAATGTTAAAATGGTTTAGGAGACAATGGTGGTAAAACATTAGTTATGGTTTGTGCTTTAAGTCAAATTATAATATGTGAAATTAATTAAAATAAAATATTCATTATAGTATAAAAATATAAATATTTATTTGTATCATATATTTAATTTATTTTTTAGAAAATGCAATATATGATCTATAAGTGTATATTATAAATACATAAATGTAGAGTAATATAATCAATTTACAATATATTTGCAATTAAAATTATTAATAAAAATAATTTCTAAAAAAACAACATTATAAACAAAGCTATAATATATATAATGATAGCTATAAAGTTATCGATTGCACAACAGTATATCAGAGGCTTACTTCTTAGTTCTTGGTTCAATTCAATTCTCCCACTAAGTCTTTAATGCTCACTTATTTACTTTAGTATCCCTTATGTATGGTGTTATGTTTTCTAATAATTCTGATATTTTTAAAAATATAACAGAAAAAATCAAAATTCTTATTTTTCTTCAATAAAAATATAGTTTTTGTTTTGTTGATTTAAATTTTTTTAATGGATGTAAGCCATCGATATATAAAAGCATTTTACAACATTATTCATACATCACACACTAAAAAATTTTAATTCCTAAATCTCGAAGAAAAAAGATTTATAAAATCAAAATGTGCCAATAAATAATGCAATATAGATGCCTCTATTTAAATATACAATAAATAAATTAATAAATATTTAAAATTCTTTTCAATAAAACATAAATATCGGATCAGAATATAATCAAAATCAAAACAAATGGTTTATAATTATTTTACAACAAATGACTAGTAAGTTGCTAATTATCACAATAAAAAAATAATTTTACAAAATTTCACTGAAAATCTACTAGAGGGATATTATTTTAAAATACATAGTACCTCAAAGTATATAAATATACATGCAAATTTTAATTATTTTTGTGGTAAACAATTATTATTCAAAATTATATGAACTTTCAATCATAAATTCAGAAACATATAATTTCATAATTAACTTATTTTAAAAATAAAATTAAAATGATCTAAATATTTTAGGAATGATTACATAAATTTTAGTGAACATGACTGCTCTATAAATAAGTACATTCCATTTTTATGATTTTAATTTGGTCTGTGAAAAACAAACACGCTCAATAGCCATAGCCATACCTTTTGTATTAAAATCCCTAACTAATATAACTGACTAGATGATAAGTACACAATAATTTAACTAAGGCTATAATTTGTCTATTCGTTATCAGGGGGCTCAGTTTTAATTTTCACCTCAACTTGACTTAGAAGATAACTCATATCATCAGGTTGTTCTTGTTTTATTTGAACTTGACTAGATAACCTTTGGGAGACTTTATTCCATCGACTCTGAAACAAGATAATAATTATTACAAAATTAACATTAATTTATTGGGAATAGCATTTTTACAAAAGTTCATTTTGCAGTTTTTAACATGTTTATATTCACATAGTATTCATTTTAAAAATAAATAATTATTTGGATTGAGTTTTCTTAAGGATATATTATGTTGGGTAAAATGCAACTAACCAACTAGAACATAACATAATTAAAGGGGCAAATCAGTATACTGATTATATATATATATATATATATATATATATATATATATATATATATATATATATATATATATATATATACTGCAAATGATTTTGACAGTTAACTACTGTTCGAAATTATAAGATTGATTTTAATTATTTACTTTCAAAGCTTATCAATAAAAATGATTATTTGGCTGATGTTTCATTTTTTTAAATTCTAATTTTTCTTGCCTAAAGACAAAAAGGAAGACCGAAGATTTGACGGTCTGATGGCTGGCAAACAATGTCCAGCATAAGGAACTCGATGGTGCCCTGAGAAAGAGATGTTTTGAAAAAAGTGGTGAGGAAAGCCAGGACTCGTCACAGAGCTTTAATTCCAAATGAATAAAATTAATAATGTTATCTAGTGGTTGCTGATGGCCTAACTAAATTGGTGTGTCAGCCAAAAAATAACTTCACGTATCATACCTAACAATATTCAAACATTAGCCTGAATAGGATCAAAATAATCCAATAAAACTTGTATTGAATCATATTGTTTATTGTTGAGATAGATATGGAGAGTTTTCAAAAACAATAATTGATGAAGAAAGAACATTTAGTTCAAAAATTTAATCTAATCCCATTTTTTAAAAAATCTTCTCTTTCTCAAATAAAATTTTAATATACCCCAATTTAAGTGGAACGACTTAAATTTTTTATATTAGCGTCTGTAATGCTAAAACGAGTAAAAGTTATATATCAGTATCTTCTTCCAAATAGTATAGCTTGCCAGCCTAATAAGGTAGTAACAGTTCTAGAGTTACCTTTGATAAAATTTTACATGTTATTATTACCTTGATTTTTTCTCTTATTTGTGCATCATTGATTATTGGAAGAATTAAAGGATCTGTCGTTTTGTTGTTTAATGATTGTTCCTGTTCTTGTTGGCTGTCAGAATTATTACAACTTTTATGATGCAGAGGACTTTTTATTCTTGATCTAAAAAAATAAAAATTAAAACAAAATTAAATCGATATTAATCCTTTTTTATCTTCAATTAATTTACCAGATGAAAATTAATCTACTGAAATATTAATATTAAAAAAATGGCTAAATAATACATAATAATAAACTTTTTATCACAAATGAAAAAATCTATGTTTTATATATTTAAAGATTAATAGGTTAATATTAATAATAAGATTAACAATAGGAATAAATATATGTAGATTAAGATATCTTGTAACAACAGCAGATAACAGAACTGGAATATTTGTAAAAGGAATATTATATTTGTTGAAAACCATGATTTAAAGAATATTTGAATAAATTGTAAATAAAATATTAATAATGTATCCATTTTCTGTTTTTTTATAAATGAAAAAAATACTCAAAGATTAATAAAAACATCTTATATTAATTAGTTAATACCTATCAACAAATATTCATGGAATGAAGTGAACTGAGGACTGTGAGGATTTATACACTAATGAAATTTTAATTTATTAATTTCTGTGATAGATGTCTGACTAATCACAAGATATAGATTGCTTAATCATTACAGGAATATTATTGATTTTTTAATTTGGTAAATTAATGTTCGTTTAAAATTTATATGATTGTGATTGGTTAATTAATTAAATAAAAGAGTTTGTTCATGTACATAAAAAAAAAAAAAAAAAGAATTGACTATTTTTTGTTATTTTCTTATTCGACATTTACTAATTGATTTTACTAAAAATGTTTAAAATTACAAACAGATATGAATTGTTACCTTGGAATAATAGTGTTGTATTTCTGATGGAAGTTTCTCATATGTTTGAAATAATCACGCTCATCGATGTAAATACAGGAACAGGCATCACATCTCAAACAATCTTCCACTCGTATTTTCGTAAGACCCACTCGTTTCGCTAGAAAAAATAAAGTCGAAATTTATCAAACTTGGGAGTCACTTAAATACTGACCACTCATTGACCAGCATTCAATATTTTTATAAACAATCGTATATTTTATTATTTACGTCAGTTATTTCTAAAAACGTTTTTGAATTTAATTAATGATTTACTAACACATTGGTTTATAGATCCTTCTTGGTTTATAAGACATTTTTTTGGTAACTTCTGCCCTCCCACCTTCCATTTCTTGTTGTTTCCTCACTTCCTTATAAAGAAGATCCCGCCTGAGAATTATTTCCTTTTCGGGAAACGGGTTTTCATTAATATTGTGCAGTTCTTGGTGCAAAATTAGAGAATCCTTATCAAGAAATTCTTTTCTGCATTTTTCACAAACCCAAAGATCTATAAAAAATAAATTAAATTTCTAATGTGAGTTTAACAGTTCTATTTTTTATGGAAAACGATGTTACATTAGGAAATGGTTCAATAAGAATAGATTATATTTCTTACCTCTTATACTTTCTTGTTTAAATATTTCGTTTTCTTTCGTTGTTTGCAGATCGAAACTGCAAGCTTTGGTCAAAATGAATTCTTCCATATTAAAATTGTTCAATTCGAGATATCTATATCCATTAGAAGAGAAAAAACGTGAAGAGTTTTAAGTGCGCCTACATTTCTATTTTGGATGACCCCCAACCCCAGCCTCAACTCCCCTACTAAAAATATACCACATGTTACTATAGAGCCCCCCTCCCTCAAACATTTCCCCCACTAACTTCTGCCACCCTCGGTCGAATCGGATTATCGATCGCTTGGGAAGAAGTGGATAAACTTCGATGAATTGTGCAGGAGTACTTCCGAGAAACAACTTCACACTAACTGAATGAGTAAGGAAGTCTACCAAGCCATCTCGATGATGATACAAAACCTTTACGAATTTTTCAATCAGAGAAGAATAGTTTACAAGTCATAGGGTTTTGCGTGTGCTAGGCATCATGTAATTGCAGTTCTAAATTTCATAAGGAACTATGTTGAAGAAATAACTTGGTTCATTTTTGACCGTTATGTAAAGTAACAGTTCAATTGAGCATCGTACGGGCATACTCGACGAAGGGAAAGATTTCCTAATTTTTAATTAGTGCAAAGTTAAATTGTATTATTGTATTAGAATAATTATTAAAATTGCAACAATTGAAGGAAGGTTGTTGGGCTAGGCATTGGTGCACCTGGTGGGGATATGTAGAGAGGAGATGGTGAAGGGAGTTCTTTTTTTTAAAATTTAATGGTACGTTTAGACATTTAACAAACTATGGGAAACATAATTATCTATCTTAACAACAGCGACATTATTGCTAAACCAAATTATTTATTTTATTTCTCTTGATACCGCCAGTAGATAGATAATATGAAAAACAAGCAACAAAAATTAACTACCTATATGAAATGGTGTTTAAGTGGTTCTTGAAGTCCTATTAAATGCAATTACACGAACAAGAATACTTTAAGAGATAGTTTTTAATATTTTTTTCTATAAAACATGGTTATATTTTACCATTTTAGGAGGGGGGGGGGAGTAGGGGCTTCAACCCGATAGCCCCCCGTAGATCCGCCTACGAGCTAAACCGATAAAACAGTATATCTGATTAAATTTTGATTTCTTTAAAAACTTTTCTGTTAACATTGAAGACTACATCTATATAATTTAACAGAATTATATACATAATTTTTGATAATTTGTACCATATATGATTCAATGGTCAGTGTATGGCTTTCTTAAAGGTGCGTTTAGACATTTCACAAACTATAGAAAACAAATATTTAAACGTTTTTCACTATGCAAGTGTCTTTATTTCCTGTTTTTGATGTTTTCCATCTGCTGTCAGTTCAAGCTTTCGAGTTGAAGCCTCCCTTCCCCTCCTCCCACCCCAAAATGGTAAAATATAACCATGTTTTATGAATGAAATTATCTCTTAAAGTAATTACATTTTACAGGACTTAAAGAATCACTTAAAAACCATTTCATACAGGTAGTTGGTTTTTTTTATTTCTTCCGAAGTAATTATATTTAAATCCACCTTAAGAGTTTTTTATTTTTAAAAGTCAAGTGGGAAAAAACTTTTTCTTTTTATATTATTTTTAATTTGTATGTTATATTTTATCTTGAGGCTTTTATATTGTATTAAAATAGGAGGCTTTAATGTTCAAGAATCTGACAACTTTCGATTTGGTGATAGGATCGATCCTATTCAAAGAGGAAGTTGTCGTCACTCCTTCCCACTAGCGGATCCAGGATTTATTTTTGGGGGGGCTTCAGCCCGAAACCTTTTTTTTTCATAAAAATAACGATAATTACTTTACAAAAACAGAAAGAAACTAACTACCTATATGAAATGGTGTAAGTTATTCCTTAAGTACTTTTAAATGTAAGTACACGAACAATAATACTTTAAGAGGTATTTTTTAAATTTTTTTCCCATAAAACATGGTTATATTTTTCCATTTTGGGGGGGGGGCTTCAGCCCGAAAGCCCCCCCGTAGATCCGCCCGTGCTCCTTATAAAAAGAAAATCCTCTGTCGGTAAAATTATTGATTTTAAACTGATGTTTTGCCAATCCGGCCCACGAAAATTTATTTGATACATGGTAAAATTTTAAAACTATGAAATTAAGTAAATGATCCAAAACGAAGATTACTGCAACATTTATTGCATGAGTTGTTTCTTTCAGAAAGCTGATTTCAGAACTGAAGTGTCATTTATAGAACAAGATTTTTTTCCGTCGAATGGATGGCTCGCGGGACATAGTAGAGGTCTCAATGTGGCCCAGGGGCCAACAAGTTTGAAGACCTCTGTCATAGACGATAAATAATTATTATAGTAACAATTGATTTCATTATGGACATTCCATGCCATCTGTATTACTTTTATTAATTTTTTTTTTAAGTTTCTTTTTTCACTCACCTTTCAGAAGTTCCGACTACCAGCGGGTGTGATGTCGAGGTGTAGAACAAGGAATACGTCATGGAATAGGCGTGAGGGAGAGGAGTGCCCAGCGGTCTTCCTGTATTATATTTGTATCTATGGAGGAGATCCCTCATCCAGCTTCTTTTGAGCCTTGTACGGGTGCTATAGGGCATGCTAGTTCTGGCCATACCTCGAATCAGTGAGTTGGTATGTCCGCGTAAGTGGTCGTTAACTGTTGGTATCTGTTAGCCATGGAGCCAGAGCCCAAAAATCGACCTCATCGCAGGCGAAGGTTTGATTGTAAATTACCAAAGTTTATGTTATTCTTAGTAAAAAGAACATTTCCTGCCATTCCAGAGCCGCTGCTTTAAAAAATGGCGGCTGATTTAAAGAATATTAGGCCACCAATTTGAGCATCGAAACGGGAAATTCATTGCGAAAAACATAGGAAAGTATTCATTTTTTAACTTGTATATATGGGTTTAGAAATGTAAAAAAAAAAAAAATGCTAACGCTGTTAACCAAGGAAAAACTTATTACAACCAAAAAGTCAAATTTTTTCGATATATTTTTGTTTTTTCACCTATACCTCCTTAACGATGCATCGAAGCGAAAAATGTATTCGTTAATAAATTAAAGAACGTTAAATTTTGCATCGAACGAGTAAATAAATCTTATAATTTGGTTACGTGTTAAGGTATAAACCACGGTCAACCAACGCTAATTTTTACAAAGTTTGTCAAAAACAGAGGCAAATTACCCTGTAACTTGAAAATGAGTTCTCCAAGAGAAAAAACTTATATAATCGAAGTAGTAGAGCATCAAATTTCGCGTCCGTTGAGTACTGGTATTTTTATTTTAGGCCAATTATATATCTCGATTCGGGATTCGTTATTTCTTTATGAAATTCGGTATCTTTCGACACATCCTTGCAAAATCCTTCGTTGCTGAGAGGTGCAAAAAAGGCTTATATTGCATATAAACAAAAATAACTTAGTAGAATAGAAACCCATACTGTTGAAATATTGAAAATCACGTTCACCTTTATTACCAATTTCTAATCATCGGGAGGTTACCGATTTTGTTCGGAGTAAGTGACCTACATTGAATTAGTTGGTACTCATTGGACGCAAAATTTAATGGTCTACAACTTTGGTTTTATAGGTTTTTCCTCTTAGAGAACTCATTTCCAGGTTGCAGGGCTATTTGTAGTAAATTTGTTTCAGTTTTTGAAAAATTTCGTAAAATTAGCCTTGGTTGACCGTGGTTTTATACTTTATCGCGTAACAAAATTATAAAGTTTATGTATTCGCTCGACGCACAATGTAACGTTCTTTAATTTATTAATGAATACATTTTTCGCTTTGATACATTGTTTTGGAGTTACATATGAAAAAAATATCTAAAAAATCTGACTTTTTTGGCTGTAAAATGTTTTCACTTGGTGGGCCACGTTAGCAATTTTGTTATTTACATATCTACACCCATATATACAAGTCAAAAAAATAAAAACTTTCCTACATTTATTGCACTGGATTTCCCGTTTCGATTCTCAAATTACAGGCCTAATATTCTTTAAACCAGCCGCCCTTTTTGAAAGCAGCGGCTCTGGAACGGCAGACAAGATTCTTATCGCTTAAAATAACATACACTTCCGGAGTTTACAATCAAACCATCGCCTGCGATAAGGTCGATTTTTGGGTCCTTGCTCCAGGATATGTAGGTCTTTATGTAATGTTAAAGGCGTACCAGGGAGCCTTGGTGATAGTCCTGAAAGCTTTTGATTGAAAAGTCTGTAGTTTAGGTGTGTGCCTTTTTGGCTGTTCCGTATATCTGTGAAGCCTGGTCCAAGTTTTAATTTCTAATGTCTTGAAATGAGTGAGTATAATAGTCGTAGTCTTAGGTTTAGAATTTTTATTTTGTTCTTGATATGTGGGCCCGATGTCATTCTTGTCAAATGTTTTGCCAGATCTTGAAATTTGTCTGCCTGAGGAATTTGGACATTGTCCAGGTGAATAGCTGGGCAAGTTTCACTTCGAAGGATAAAAGTGATATGTAGTGATTTGCCCAAGCGGATCAGGGCTTTCGGGCTGAAGCTTCCTCCCCCCCAAAAAATTAAATCCCGGATCCCCTAGTTTACAAAAACTATCTTAGTCGATTGTTTTCTACTATCAAAGAACTCATTTATAAATTTATATATGTTCAATACAAGGAATCCAGGCTTCCTTAAGACCATTTATCGATCCTTTGCCATTCTGCCTATCGGGAAAGTGATTCTCATCTTCGGCCATAATAGACTAGGAGCTACCGCCGTTTTCATTTAACGGAAGGACTTACACCTAGAAACCATTTTGAATTATAAATAATCCTCATCTGAATACACAACTCCAATCAATAGCTTGAAAGCCGTCGCTTTATATAAGAAAATTTAAATTAAAGAAGCGAAATTTAACGGTTCATTTAACGGAAGAACATACGGCTGAAATTTTTATATGATGTCAAGAATATGTCCCTAAAAGAGAATTCCCCTTAACTGACGATTTACTCTGTTGCATTTTGAAACTGACGCGTCAAAGTCATTAAATTAGGCCAGTCGGAAAAATTGAGTGAGGAAAAAAAGTTGGGTGAGGAAAAATTCAAATAGTCGACTTTTCTTTGGTATTTAACATTTTTTGGGATGCTGAATCTGAATTTGATATTCTCGAACGAAATTTTCCATTGTGTTCCAAGATATATGCAAAAACAGC